GTAGCATAACATAGCGTAGCATAACATAGCGTAGCATAACATAGCGTAGCATAACGTAGCGCAGTGTAACATAGCGTAGCGCAACGTAGCATTACATAGCGTGACGTAGTGTAACGTGAGAACAGGTAGCTCACTACATGAATAACTGAGTAATAACTGCAAAATGATTGTGGTTCCCGAGTTTGGCTTGGCAGTGTTATCTGCCTCCTCTCGAGATCGAGGCTTTTTTTCCTTGTTTCAATGTGCGTCTTATCGCAATGTATGTTTTTCATTAATAATATATATATATATTTTTTTTTTCTTTTTAAACCCTTGAGGTCATTTAACACTAACAATGTATCTGTTCAAGTTTTCCTCTAGCAACAAAGGAAAATGGGATGTGATTTTAATAAAGTGAATTTTAATGACAGTAAATTTGCTTTCTACTTCATCGTTTTTATCGTTTCTCCTCCTCTGGGATTTGGATGAAAACCCTTCACTGAAAAACAATCACATATTTTAAAGCGAACTGAGCGTGAGAAATCCCCAAGTGGATCAAATCAAAGTGTAAAGCAAATCACAAGCTTACGATTCCCCTTTCAAAGAGGGAAGGTCGCGTCCCTTTTAGCCTGCAGCCCTTTTCTGTCTCACCACTTCACATGGAATGTAAAAGAAGGCCACTCAACCTGAAATAATCAAAGCTCATTTACATTTTGTAAAAATCATGAAGAGCGATTCTCATCAAATCGTTTTTCACTGACTCACTATAGGCCAAAACAGTAGACATCTACTCTACGTCAAAAACAATTTGCATCGCTGCTAATACATTAACATAATGCTTGATTAAGAATACTCACAGAATAAAAAATACTCTCCCAGCTGAAGCAAGAAAGCAAAACACGAATTTTAAAATCAACCGGCTCAATACTGAAGAAAAGATGAGCTGCCACTTTGACCAGGAATTTCTCTAAACAATGTGTTTTATGAGAAATATTAAAATAGATGTTCTTATAAATATATATATATATATAAATGGAAAGATTGTTATATGAAACGGTCTATTTTCTGCAGCTGCTAACAGGGTTTTTAGCCCAGGCCATTTGGATTGGCTGGGTCGGTATATAAACATGTCCTGTGCCCATTTTCAGTTGGAATCAAATCTACCAAACATTTAGGTGCTACTTGGCCCAAAATCACATGGGCACGACACGCTCGTTCCTTGGGTGGTTAGTGATTTACTGGTTTGATCAGAGTTTGGGATAAAATGGTGACACATTTTCCCAGTGTACGAAAAAATGAAATAAAACTAGTTATTTTCGCTGAGGAAGTCAAAGGCTTCCCGCTCACATAAAGTGCGCGCCCTCGGCTTTTAATCGGCACTAATAAAGAAAGAGGGCCTCAGTAGGTTGACTAGCTAAATGTTAGCATAGGAAGCCGTGGCCACAGCAGGTGGAGATCTGCAGACAGGCAGCCTAGTTTTCTGCCCCCGCTGCGGCTGATCTGCCTCACGGTGCACCCAGAGGGGGCAATCAAAATAAAAGTGCTAATGAAGATAGGAGCGCTACGGTGCGCGCTCACTGTGCCCTGTTAAAGAAACACAGGTACTCTTAAATGTTGCCGATGGCCTCAGTATATTGATTATATTCACGGTTTATATTTAAAGCAGCAGACCGGCACATCTACAGTCATGAAGAGGTGCGACATGCCCTTAATCAGCCATTTTCATATCAATACTTCATCCTGCTCTCACACTCCATTAGACGTGTCAGCGATCATTACGCACAACCGGTACCCGAGACTCTGTGCCTATTTATAGGGCCAATCTCATTAAATGTATCATCCTAGGTTACGATGTCTCAATCATCATCATTAAACGTCACAAGGACAAGTCGATTTCTACTTTACAGCGCTGCCATCGATATTATCCATTATTGGGAAGACTATGAAAAGAAGCATTAAAAACAGTAAATTAAAATGATGCGGCCAATAAGAATGTATTCAGTTAATATGGACCGTCTACAACAACTACACATTATTTTGGAGAGTGCAGAAGCATCACTGACCTTTACCAACCTATAAAAACGATATTTTACTATTTTGATTTGCCCTTTGCCAAAAGAATTGTATTCATGACCCCCAACGAGTACGGTAAACAACATGTGCATGGGTTACGATGCAGGTGGTGGGAGTTACAAACAGAGCTCACATCCAAGAATATAAAAGAATCTGAGTTTGGTCTACACAAGATAACACGAAGTTAGGGAGTAAATGGTCGTTTCATTCTCATAACCTGAAGCCTCTCGCAGCTGTCTGGAGTCTCTTTGTGTCTGAGAAAAGCCTCGCCGGTCTGGTACGTGACCCGCTGAAGGCCGGGGCGATGGCACTCATTTTCTCCTCGTGGGGAAGTCAGGGAGCTAAAAACGGAGGAGCTTAAGTCCTCCGCACACAGGGCAGAGAATGCGGTTGGAGGTCAGCGAAGTTGAACCGACAAATCCCCGCCGACGAAATATGTACACATTAAACCCATGATTATACAGGCGCAGGCACACAGAAATAGACCAGGAGCAGTGTGTTCCAACCCTGCCTCACGGATTCTGCACACTGATGTTTTCTGATCCCTTTTATCTTCAGCATGCGAAGGTTTCCGGGCAGCCAACCGATGCTGGACGTAATCTAAAAATAAAAATCTAGAAGGCAGTTCAACCATTTCGAGGATTAGATTAGAATTTTTTAATCCGAAGCCAATTTCCAAACCCAGCTGCCGAAGGAGACCAGTTCTAACCTTCAGAAGGCCTGGAAGTGGAGAACCGAGAGCGGTGACCACTTACAGAAAAACAAGCACGCGGCCACCTTTCCCGACCCCGGCCGTGTATTCTTAAAAGAGGCCCCCAGCAACCGGGACACGGGGGTCCAAATGTTCTCAGGGTAATCGTGTTATTGTTGGCAGCCCTCAGCAGGAGCAGATATGGCTTCCATTTACTGAAGGAGTTGCAGGGAGGGAGCGGTGTTGTGCGAGTGCAAAAGTGCAGAAGGCTCAAAGGCCGACCACAATATAGCAGACAAGAACACATCTTAACCGTAGTCGTTTTTTTGGGGGGGGGGGTTGGATTGGAACACAGGAGGTTCTTGCGAGTGAAGGAGGGTCTTGCTTGTTCCTCTCTGGGAGCAGTGGGCTTTCTTGCATTGCTCCATTCTGGCTGCTCTAAAGCCGCCGTTCCTCCCTGGCCATTTTGAAGAGTAACAGACCATGTTTGGTTAGAGGAGATGAGGCAGTGCAGAGCTGCTCTGACATCAGACTCTACATGAGTTAATCTCATTTTCATCAAGCGACTCTACGAACCTCTATGATATGATATTCTTGCCAGTGTAAAACTTGTATATTAAATTATTTCCGGTAACAACGTTGCTTTGTGACGTATTTCCAGACTCATTGCCTCTGATCTGGAGCTGTTGAATGTGTGTCCAAACATGAGGTGCATTTGTTTCCATTATCAATGTGGAACCGTGGGGTTTTACTTTTTAGATTTAACTCAGGATGAAACAATTCGTTGGTTAAAATATGTGTGGCGGTTTTTGAGCAAACATGATAGATACTCCTAGTTCCACCTTTTAATTAAGAAGATCAGTTGTCTTTGTCATGAGGCACGAAACTGAATATCTGCAGCGTTGATCCGTCTCCTCTAGGACACTGTGATGGACATTTAGTCAGAAGACGGAGAATCCAGAATCCAGTCGTAGACACAACTCTGGCTTTATTCCACGGAGGAAGATTTTATCCCTGCATGAAGAATCACAAAGTTGCCTTCTTTTCTTACCCAGAATGTGGGAATTAAAGTGAGGTGCAACAGTTTCCCTGAGGCATGAAATGCCACATCACAGTAAATTAAGCTCATCCCTTTTCAGACGTGCCTCGACCAGACACGCCCCAACCCTGCTGCCTCTGGTCTGGTTATACGTCAACACCGGTACTTAAATCCAATCAGAACTGTTGGTGTATTTCAGTAGATTGCATGTTAGCTGACTGAGCTCGGGGAGAACACTTGCTTTGGTGTCCATCCGCCAGCCAGTCGACAGCGAAGCAAACCAACCGCCCCCCCGTGCAGGCGAGGAGCCAGTGTTTATTTTCACCAGTGCCTGTGCCCAGTAACGCTGGCACTTGCCCAGCAACACTCAGGCAAAGTAAGGGGTCCAAGGCTGCTGCTGCTGCTCCCCTCACACCCCCACCCTCCCTGCTGCGGATTCCCTGAGCAAAACCTCCATCCAGCCCCGTCCTCCCTCAAGGTTCACCTCCAGCACTGAAATGGACTTTCTCTGAGCAGACGCATGAAACGCTGCTGCCATCGCCGCTTGGTTATCCAATCGACAAGTTGATTATTTGTTTATAAAAATGGAGAGGGGGTGTGTGTGTGTGGGGGGGGGGGGGTGGTTGGTTGGTTGGCTGGCTGGATGCATTGAGAGGAAAGAAAAAAGCAGTTGATGAGACGAGAGATGAGAGCTTTCAAAAAGCTTGCCAGGCTGGCATTAGCTTCCCCTCAATGCAGCGGTGTGTGTGTGTGTGGGAAGGACGTGCATGCCACTCTCTTAAAACTGCACACACGCACACACGCGCGCACACACACACACACACACACACACACACACACACACACACACACACACACACACACACACACACACACACACACACACACAATGGATGCACTTGAATGCCTCATACGTTCGAGGGAATAAATGCCCCTAACGTTCATAATGTAATTCTCCGAGGGGAATAATTGTACCCGAATGACAGATTCGATGTGTTTGATGTTGCAGTGGCTCTGCAAAGACTGATGTGTTGTCTGCCTTTCGCTGCTCGTTGTGCTGGCTGGTAAAACGCATTTTTACGATCATAAGAGGGGGGCGCTCGATTCGTGACTCTGCAGCTCCCCGCGGCTGCTCACTTCAAAACATTCAAACATCTTATGGACGCGAATCCAGAAGATAGAAACGCGGTTTTTTATCCGTAGTACAGCGCCACTAACCTTGGTCGGGTCGCCTCCTGATATCCACTTGTTACAATGGAGATGGAGCACCATGGATTCTCCCCCAGTTAAGTTTCCTGGCGGTCGGACAAAAAAAAGAAAGAAAAATACGAAGCAAGCGATCCGGACCGAGGAGCCGAATCCGAGAGAGGAGAGCGTGAAAAACACGCGCACACCGCGGGTATCACAGCGTTTCTCTCCGGGTTCTGTCCGCAAAGAACGCGGAGGAGAAGAAGAAGAAGAAGAAAAAAAAAAGGTTGTGTCTTCAAACAGCTGTTTTTCCAAAATGGAGTTATCCGCGCCGGAGCCAATCAGCGCGCGCCTGTGGAGGCTCCCACTCCTCTGTGGGCTGGAGCCAAAACACTGCGAGGATCAGACGCTCACACAGCATCAAACACACACCATCAAACACACCAACAAACACACACCATCAAACACACGCCAACAAACACACACCAACAAACACACACCATCAAACACACGCCAACAAACACACACCAACAAACACACGCCATCAAACACACGCCAACAAACACACGCCATCAAACACACGCCATCAAACACACAACATCCAACACACGCCATCAAACACACGCCATCAAACACACGCCATCAAACACACGCCAACAAACACACACCATCAAACACACACCATCAAACACACAGCATCAAACACACACCAACAAACACAACCCATCAAACACACACCATCAAACACACACCATCTCACACACACCATCAAAACACACCATCAAACACACACCATCAAAACACAGCATCAAACACACACCAACAAACACACACCATCAAACACAGCATCAAACACACACCATCAAACACACACCATCTCACACACACCATCAAACACCCACCATCTCACACACACCATCAAACACACACCATCTCACACACACCATCAAAACACACGCCAACAAACACACACCATCAAACACACACCATCAAACACACACCAACAAACACAACCCATCAAACACACACCATCTCACACACACCATCAAACACACACCATCAAACACACACCATCAAAACACACCATCAAAACACACCATCAAACACACACTATCAAAACACACCATCTCACACACACCCTCAAACATACACCATCAAAACACACCATCAAAACACACCATCAAACACACACTATCAAAACACACCATCAAACACACACCATCAAACACAGCATCAAACACACACCAACAAACACAGCATCAAACACACACCATCAAACACACACCATCTCACACACACCATCAAAACACACCATCAAACACACACCATCAAACACAGCATCAAACACACACCATCAAACACACACCATCTCACACACACCATCAAAACACACCATCAAAACACAGCATCAAACACACACCAACAAACACACACCATCAAACACAGCATCAAACACACACCATCAAACACACACCATCTCACACACACCATCAAACACACACCATCTCACACGCACCATCAAAACACACCATCAAACACACACCATCAAACACACACCATCAAACACACACCATCTCACACACACCATCAAAACACAGCATCAAACACACACCATCTCACACACACCATCAAAACACACCATCAAACACACACCATCAAAACACAGCATCAAACACAACCCATCAAACACACACCATCAAACACACACCATCAAACACAACCCATCAAACACACACCATCAAACACACACCATCTCACACACACCATCAAAACACACCATCAAAACACAGCATCAAACACACACCAACAAACACACACCATCAAACACACACCAACAAACACACACCATCACACACACCATCTCACACACACCATCTCACACACACCATCAAACACACACCATCACAACACAGCATCAAAAAGGCACCAACAAACACACACCATCAAACACACACCAACAAACACACACCATCTCACACACACATCAAACACACACCATCAAACACACACCATCTCACACACACATCAAACACACACCATCTCACACACACCATCAAACACACCACATGTCTGCTTGTTGTGTCCTTTGTGTGACTGTAGTCGTATTGAGACACACGTCAAACCGGCAGACGCCCCCTCTGGGGGATTCCTCGGATCTCTCTTCAGTGTCCTACGTGAGTATTCAGATTATTTAAGTAAAACATCCAATCGTCAGCTAGCTTTTAACTACTTCTGATTGAGTTTTCTCCAGTAATTCATTTTTTTTGTTAAGTGGTACCGTGAAAATCTTTTCTATTTATTTATTGTCCAACTACCTGTTCAAACCTCAACATTATAAGGCAAAAAGTCTTCTGATTTGTGTTGTTGGTTTGGTTTCTTAAATATCAACTCTGGTATATTTTGCAGAGAAGCGGAGCTCAGAGGTGATAAATAAGCAGCTGCCTCCAACTCCGGCCAAACCTGCACCTGCAACTTTGAACGGTGTGTAAAACCAGTGAACAGCCCCTTTGTTTGAGCTGACATTTTTTCTTTTCTTTTTGCTTTGTTATGAACTCACATCACATGTGAGTGTGCAGCACAAAAAGCTACTTTGCAAAATGAATGTCATGGAAACAGCATTTTTAACAGACGAACAATAGCCAACAGTGTAGGCTGTGTGAAGTAAGAAGAAAAGATTTGAAGTCTCATTAATGGTGCAGAAATAAGTGCTCTTTGTGAATGTTCCAGAAAGAATAGATGGAAACCTGCAGGCTCACATATGCCAAAGTCATTTCACTTTGACCGTGGGACACAGCTACACGATAACAACAACAGTATAATTGTTATTGCCACTTTTTGGCCTAATCCTGAATCCCATGTTAACCACAAACAATCTCATGAAAACACGAGTATGCTTCAGGTTGACAGGCTTGATAAAAGTATTTATTTTCTTTGCATTTACTGTCAGTAATAATTTTATATACGTTATACTTTAACTCCTTTTTAAGCTTTTAAGAATTTAGTACTTCTATTGAAGTACACTTAAATGCAAGCCTTTTTTAATGTATATGTTATTGTACTTTTTCATTACTTTTTACCACACCGTCATGCTGTGATCATCATGCACCAATTACCAAATACAAATTCTACTTCCTTAAACCTTTTCTGGTTTTAAAATAATTACATTTTAAACCCTTGTATTACTACTTCTCAACATGTGTCCCTGTGTGGACCCACGTACGAAGCAAAAGTGCAAAGTGTTGCAATTATGTTGTGAAAATGCCCTCAACTTCTGCAGAGAGCATGCAGCACACCACCAAACAAGACATACAAAAGAGACCGTTCTCCATCCGAGATTTTCTTTACTATCGACAATATTGACCTGCAACACAAAACTGCTAGCTGAAGACATGCGTAAAATAAAACTATTGAAACTAGCGTCGTGCTACTGCGAGAACACAGATCTAATATTGCACGTTTCTGTACATGGCCTGTGGGGAAGTTTGGCAAATCAGAGGTCCGTAAAATAAGGACTAAACTAAATCTACTCCTCAGGCGACTCCTGTGATTGCCGATGGGCTGAGTGATAAAACACAAGGTAGAAAAAACATAAAAGCAGATTATCCAAAATGGAAAAAAATGACCCTAGTAAAAGTAAATTCATTTTAGTGAAAAAACTGAAGCATAAACTAAAAGGCCCTAAAATACTGTGCAAAGAATGAGGGGAAAAAAAAAAAACATTCCAGTCTGTAGAGTATTTTTTTTCCCCCCTCACAGTCAAAGCAGCCATCTACTCTCTCGACAATGAAGTACATACACGCTTTTGTAAGACAAGCCCTGATGATAATAATACACACAGATATTGCTTTGGTACAGACACATATTGTTACGTAGGGAACATCCACAGTTTAAGGCAATGCATTAGACGGTTACATACACACACACGGTCTCAGTTTATCGTGTTGGGTTGTTAACAGTGCAAACAGACAGCGTTTGAGAAACGATTTTTGAAATTTTGAAAATGTATATTAAATTTAGCATTTTCTGTGACTTAAAACAGTACATACAGTTTTTTCTTGCTGTAATCATCCTGCTAGGAGGTCGCTGTCGAGCAGGCCGGGAGACAAATTGAGTTCCTGTTCTGCATAAAAAAGCCTCAGTTAGCCAATTCAAGCTGGTATCAGGAAAATCATATTTAGCTTCAGCTAAAGAAAAACAAAACCAGAACGGTGAAAGAGATCCTTCAAAAAGCCCAAGATGGACAAGAATATTCATTGGTCATAACCTACGTCAATGTACATGTGGGTGCTGGATATTCCAAAATGTGACCGTTATCCTTTAAAGTACCACTAAAGACCAAACGTGCATTGGCTCGAGTCGTGGGCCTCGTCGCCTGAGCCTGCAGCCGTCTTGGAACCATGACTGAATGCTGTGCTGCGTGTAAGCTGCAGAAGACTACACACCTATAGCAGTGCTGCTTGTTAGTAAAATAAATCATGTGTACGATTGGCAACTTGCCCCGTAAAAGTCTACACACTTGTTTCAAATGAAACAGTCCACTCGGCGATGGGGGGGAGGGAGGCGTGCATCAGTAACAGTAGTAGAGTTGGGAGCGGAGCCCCCGGAAGGCGTCGTCGTCCTGCCCGCTGGCCTGGCGCCCTTCAAAAAGCATGGAGTCCGGCAGCACCACCCCCTCTAGTGGATCCGGCTGGCAGAACTCCACTACGAACTCCTCCTCGCAGTCCAGGAGCACCCGCGACCACGGAGACAAGTCCAGTTGGCCCGCCGTGCCGCCGTACTCCTCCGGGAGGACGGAGCGCGGGACGTTCCGGTGCAGGGAGCGCAGGTCGGAGCCGTGGAGGATGTACTGCGGGAAGGAGGAAGACGAGGAAGACATGGTCATCTGCTTCGTTATTTAAAGTGGAAAAAAAAAATTTTGCCCACAGCTATAATTATTTGGCCCACTCCCAGCGCAGCTTTCAACCACAGTGGGCAGCAGTTTTCAGTAGGAAAGCTTAAAATATAGCATCTGCTCAGCAGCCCAAAAAAAAGTCAGTAGCTTTATGGAACATATTGGAGGATTCATCAGCTAAAACAAGGGACAAATTATTTAAAAAGAGAGCTAGTGTGGCTGTTTCTGCTGATCGCGTGAATAAACGCTGTGATAACACCGTTGCCATATTGTTAAATTAAAAAAGGGCGACGACAGCTCCGCACCCCCCCTTCTCTCCCTCATCATTCTCCCCACATAAATAAACTGTTACTGTTTAAGTTTTAATTAAGACAAAGGAAGCCGTCTATTGTGTATTGTCTATTGTGCATATGGGTGGTTTGCGTTCATCCCCTGAAAAGAAAATGCTCGGCCTTCATTTTCCCAGATGGAAAAAAAGACCATTATTCGAGAGCAGAAGCTGCAGATAAGGGAGGTACACGATATAAATAGTTCTTTGTTTAAAACAAAAGAGTCGAGAGATAATTCAAGGACAATAGTTACCCTCTCTGCCATCTTCTCCTTCAGAAAGGGCTTAATGATAGCAAAGATTCCTTTGAAAATCCTAGGCTCGTTTATTATGTTAACAGCCTTAATTCTGATTGGAAATCCATCCTGTGAACGAGAAGGGAAACAGCACTCAGAACAGTTCAATTGGTCCTTGTCAAACATTTCAAATGTGTTGTGTTACTCGTATGAAAGAGCCATTGTTGTAAAGACAAGGATCATTTTCTCAAATGTCTTAACATAGTCAGCCATATTTATTGCTGTGTCACAACACAGAAAAAACATTTTGAGATCATGCGCAAATAAATATATAAATATGTATATAAAATATAATAGACAGAGAGAGATACATGCTTTGTAAGTGGGAAAACCTATAAAATTTGCGTATCAAACACTTGTTCTCTCTACTGTACACTGAATACCTCAAACACATATCATGGAAATTACAGGAATTTTCTAATTTCATTTTAAAATTCATCAGATTATTAGATAATCGAGTCTTTGTTTTTACCTGGAGGATGCTCACAACCTTTTTGGCTAGAAACGGGCCTGGATTGGAAGCTTGCGACATGCCCACTCCGCTGTAGTCGGCCAAAATCACAATACCGTTCACCTGCGTCTCCTCCGGCTGGATCAGCTTCTCCAGAGTCAAATAAATGGCCCTCACGTTGTCGACAAACGGATAATCATTGGGTTTCCATTTTCCTGTAAAAGGAGACGAGTTTAGTAATAAGACATCATGGCTCAAGTCCATTCTGGAAGAATTAGTTAAACAAAAAGTACTAATCTAAAACTACTGAATTCGTCCATAAAGATCAAGCCGATCGGCACCTGGTCGCAGAGAGAGGATGTATCTCCCGTCGGGGTCCGGCTGTGGCAGCACCGTGAGGAAGCCCAGGTCCAGGACGTGTTTCACTGTGGATGGCTTCAGGTCCTTGAAGACTTCCGGCCAAGCCTTACGGCCAGCGTGGTAGTTGAGCAGCAGCTGCAGAGCTCGGTCGTAGTCAAACTTCCTGGCCCGCAGGAAGCGCAAGAGAAAGCCGTCGTCCAAGCGCGTCCTGAGATTGGGCTGCTCCTGCAGAGTGAGGGGATGAGAATAAAAGCTCAGGCTTGGTAAACATGCCACGACCAGTAAGGAAAAGGGCGACCAGACAAAATTATGCCATTCTGGTGATATTTTAGCTTTGTAATTTTGCAAAAGCCCAAAATAACAACAATGTCCTACTAAATTAGCATCTGTGTATCGAATGCCAGATGCATCGTATTATTCTGTGCCATAGAGCTCCATTGAGTCACCGTGAGGTCCTTGATAACAATCAACATTGAGCAATGAATTGTTTTGAGTTCCATAAAACGCCTTGCTGCCAAAAATATGTCTCATGCGGAAAATTGTACCCAACAGTTGCACATTCACTCCTGCTTGCAATATGAGTGCCAAAGGCTGTATTACAACATTGCTCAGCCATAGGACCAAGTTGGCTTGGGCCTGACAGCAAACGGCTAGTGATGCCAGAAAGCTCTTCAGACAGTCTTTTACTAAAACATGTTTAAATGCATTCATTATGAGGTCTATTTCTCTCATACTCCAAACACCTGTATTAATCCTCCGAAACGCTCTGCATTAGTCAATGTCAACAGATTTGTGTTGCTAAGCAACAGCTCAGGACCATCGTTACCCCCCACGCCACCTGATGTTATTCACATAGACTCCAACTGGAAAAAAGGACTGAAACACATTGAGAATGTTTCAGCTTAAAACTATGAAATGCTCTTTACCTTTTAGAGTTGCAACGTCACAACCGTGCAAAAATCCTGACAGCTTTTTGGAATACAGGCTGTGTGTGTTTCAGTACGTTTATACTGATTACGCAACAGCTACTGTATATGCTCTTTTAAAATGAAAATCAAACTTCGTGGAATATTGGTTCAGTGTAGGTTATTAATTTGAATATATTTTCAGTGTACATTTTTGTAAGTGTATACAGCGTTTAAAGTAGTTATATTGTACAGCGTTGGCTTCTTATTTACCTCCTCCATTAAATATAGTTCCAAACTCTCATATGTACAAAAAAAATATGTAATCTGAGAGTTTGAGAAGCTTGTAGGGACGATGTGTACTAAACTGTCCTTTTTTGTCCTGCATTATATATATCTAGATTGTTTGATACCTTAAGTATCATGTCTCTCAGTGCTTGGACATCCCGCAGACGCCACTCTGGCTTCTCCTGAAGCTCCTCGCGGGCCTTGTGCACCAGCTCAGGGGTCAGGGTGCAAGAATACATGGGTGGAGGAGGTCCAGGGAACCAGCTGTGCCCTGCTGCTGCTGATGGGTCCACTGTAGGAGACCTGAGATCGATGGACTCATGCTGATCATCCATGGACTGACTGGGCGAGCCTGTTTGACCAGAAGCACACAGGAGGGACAAGAGAGAGACAATAAAAACACAAACAGACATCAGCTGCCGTTTAAGTCACTGTAGTAAGATGCCACTTGCAAAGACCACATACAAACATAAAAATTAAATATGATGAATTATTATTCTAACTGTCGAGCATTAAAAATGCAAAGACCCACTTCAAACTGAAGATAATTAAAGGACATGTGCAGAAAATCTCCACCTGTTGCTTGACGTAAACCTTTGAATGCAGCACATTGCTTTCATTAGAAAGAAAGTAAATGAAAGTGGTTAATATGTCACACTACTTAGTTGTAACATGTTTTCATGCAAAAAATTCAACTTTTAGATTCCCAATATGTAGATTCTGTTTGGACAACTGACCTGTCCATGACCCCATTAGTGTGAACGGTCTGCTGGTAAAATCATTCTCAAAATCTGAATCCCTCACTGACACTAACTTGCAGCCTGTGGTTATTTTGCAAGAGAATCTTTCTAGTTATTAATTTCCTTGCAAAAAGGTAAACAATTCGAGTTGTAATGGCCGAGTGGCGCACACACCCTATTTAATGCATTCAATAAATCAGCCCCGGTCAGCCTACTGCAGACGATACATGCGAGTCAGTGGAGCCCTGAAGTCACGCCCTGCTGCTCCACACTTTGTCCAAATGGAGCTCGAATGAGTAGTTCTCGAGGTGTGCAGAGAAAACACAGCGGAGATTCCTGCATAAATGCGATTATGCGCTTTCCATCACTGCACACACATAGTTTGCATCCATCAAGATCACTAAAACAACATATGTTGGGAATAAAACGTTCCCAGGTAGATCATTGACACCAAAAACATGCCAACTGTGTGTATTGGTTAAAGATTGAGTCGGATCCTAAATCTGCACTGACTGGATAATATAATCTGATCCCAAGCAGAAACGAATCGAAAGCACTCAGAATGACGACTGAATTACCAACCTAGAAATGCTTTTCCCTTGAAGCACCTAGAACACACATGAACGCCTTTTTATGAGCATGTTTTTAGCAAGAGCTAAAAATGTTATTCAGAATCCGCCACGACCAGAAAAGTGTCAAAAATCACAACTGACCTGTCAGGAAAATCCCTTTTCCGGGTTAGGAGATGGCGCTTCCTTATTGGCTCTCCGGAGAGCACGTGACACTCTGTTGATGCGCCAGAGAGGTTGCGTTCTGCGTCGGTTGATTTTATGGCAATGCTGCATTCAGATGTCCCTCGTAATCCAGGCACTCCAATTAAAAAAATAAACAAACAACTGACTAACTAACGTGGCAATATTTTACTGGGTAAACCCAAACATCATTCCACAACTCCTATGTGGAGGTTTTTTTTGCAGGGATTCGATGCAAATGAACTTCAAAAAACAACTTACTTGTTCGCTCACTATTGAGTGCTATTTTTAACGTAGATCACAGCATAAGTACCATGTCAACGACAGCACACCGCGGCAACACAAGTCACCCCAAAAATGTATTCTCATTATGGCTTGTACATGCTATGGGGAGTTGTATTCCCTGCATTAAATTAAGATATTTACCTATGAAGTTAAAATCTTCAAGTTAGTTTTAGTGTACATTCATTTGAGTGAGTGTCATACTGTTGATATGGTATTAACGTGGTATTAACGTCGCTACAACGCTAGATGGCAGAGTTTGCCTTGTTAATATTACGTATTCCTTTTATTCGGTCTGGCAGGTTTTCGATTTCAAAATTCAAAATTAATTCTTTGAATTATATTAACTAAAGGATTCATGTGTACTGTTTGGTTGTTTTGATGTTGTTTTGTAGGTCAAACACCAGGACAATTTATGTGTGCTAACCAAAGCACATTATCTCTATCTATATTCTACTGGAATGTAGAAACAAATCCATGACATGTCAAATCTCTCTCTCTCTCTTGAATCCGTGTTATCTATAATGATTTTATGGCACTTTATCAGCCTGAAGCAACATGTTGCATTAAGCTATCAGTGAACAAGCAGTACTGCCACGTTGGAGCCTTTTTTCACTCCAGAGACTCCAACGGTCGGATTTGTTTCTTAGGTAGTCAGAGAATGTGCAAACTTCATTCATTCCTCAGAAAATCATAGATTGTCTACAGGAAATGCAATGTAAAAATAGATCTTGAAATTTATTCATTCATCTTCACATTGTGAGGCAAAATATTGCCTTTTTTGTAAGGCAGTTCAGGTTACAAGACACACTTTTTAAGACAATTTATTCCAATAGTTAAAACTTGCCAAAGTACTAAACAAAAAATATAATATATATATATATATTAAAAAAAGAAATACAACATATTATTGGGAAACTTCCTCAGCGTGCTTGTGACTTTTATAAAGTGGCACTACAAGGTTTTTGGTGTAAATTTTAACATGTTGAATTTAGCTTCTGTAATATGTATTTTCCAATGTGTTCAACAACATATAATCTTTTGGTTTTCACCATGTGTTTAACAGCTGAACTCGGGATTTCTGTCAGCTTTCATACACACTTCCTGACTGAAAGTTGATATAATTTTATCCCTAATAACCATAACATGAAATACTGTGCAACACTAAATACATTACAATGCAAGGCCTGTTGTAACATTCATAAAATACTGACATGACCACACCGCCATGTCAAAAATGAGCCTTACTGCACACACTGAGGACATTGGAAAATAAGTGATGTTACCCAATAAAAAAACTACATATATACAACAATGTACGTCGGCCTACATGTTAGCTGTGCAGAACAACAGTATGTGTGGATAGTTTGGATATTATTCATTTTGTCTGTCTTCTGCTGAGCTGTGGTTTAACTGCTGCTGCGTGTTGTGAACAAATATCCCTGAAGATCAACAGCAATCTGCAGCGGACTAATTTAAATTATGTTCTTTATATTTAGCAACTTTATTGTTCCAGTCAAGTTAACAGCTTTAATGCTGTTTATGTATGACAATACACATATAGACCCTGGATTAACACAATAAAAAAAAAGAAGGAATAATATTTCAGGGGATTGTTAAACGGCCTCCTGCTTTGTAATAGTAGGCTGAAGGATGGAGGTCGGCTGCTTGGGCACCATGGCTATGACCCCCTGAGCCAGTTTATAATGTTCTGAGCTGGAGGCAGTAGGTGGAGATGGGATCGGGCTTTCAGGAGTGGCTGAAAAGTTGAACACAAATAGGAGCAAGTTAGAGCATAATTAGATGTATATTTACTATTCTGTCTTGGGGCAAAACAATTTTAAAATGACGAATAAGCAGTTTTGTGAAATTTCTCAAAGCATTAAACATGTTAAGAAAGAATAACAGAAGTTCCCTTTGACAAAATAAGCCAGATTAGTTTCCATAAAGAATTTAGAGGATTATTCTGCCAAGCCTGTTTGTCCTTCCAGCTACCTGACTAGGCTGCACATGAAGCTGGGTGAGGGAAATTGGAACATCACTCTTTATCAACGTATGATTGATTTCACTTCACTTAGATTCATTATTCCGATTAATAATTGACCTTGGGCCCAGTTTTCCCATTGCATGTGACAATGGAGGAGCCTTAGCATTTAAGCTAAATACAGAGAATCGGATCTTCATGCCACAACAATTGTTGTCCTCATTTGTCGTTTTTTGCACTTACAGATTTGACCGTTATGGATCGGCGTCGGGATGTTGCTGCTCACTATAACATTGGTGCTGAGGTGCTCTTGAACCAGGTGAGGGTGCAGAGAGTGAGGTGCATGTGGAGCCTCATTGGCAGAACCTGGGAGAGAAAACACACAAAAATTGTCTTAATTCTGACTATCCACAAAAGACAATATTGTCTATATTCTGAATTCACATGGATACTGCATTTCTCCCCAGAGCCTTTAGGATCAGACGTCTCGGTGAGTGCTCAGTTATCTGAAAGAGCTCACCTCCAAGAAGCATTTCTTGTAGCAGGTTGTCAATCTTTGCCATGCCAAAGAGCTTGACAAACTGGATCTGCTCGATCATTTGCCAGGTGATGCTCTGTAGCGTCGGCAGCAGCAGCAGCAGCTCCCCGAAGCGGCCCCGGGAGTCGTACTGCCTGTCATTGATGTAGTCTTCCAAGCTGACCTGGACCTGGTATCGCATCCGCTTGATTTTTCCCGGGTCACTCAGACCTTTAGCGTCTGTCAGCAAATAAAAGCAGGTGTTGCGTTTTAAGGAGTCAAAAAACGTGTTTATCTGTGTGCAGCGTGTACTTTTCAGTGATGTGTTTGTCGCCTCAAAATGTACCTGGGTCAAAGAAAACTATGGCTTTCAAGCAGGCGTATTCATTGTCGTCTATCTGAAGCTCCTGGAAGGGGAGAACCAGTTCATCCAGGATTCTCACAGCCACCCTGCCGACCTCCAACTCCGGGCAGTTTCTGGGAATGATGTGGTCATTTCCTGCAAGAGTGTCACATTTTGTGGTTTAGTGCAGGTTGGGACAAGGCTTCTTGTAGCAATAAAAAACAAACGACTTTATATGTCAGTTTTACCTAATAGGAGGATGTCTTTGTACAGCATCGACCTCTTTGCGACGCCAAGCAGAAGGTGCTCTCCAGCATGAGCTCGCAGCAACGCCACCTGCAATGCAGTGAATTCATTGACTCGTCAGCTGTGTGACAATAACTTTGCATTCATTAGAACGTTTTTGCGCTGAACAGATGTACTCCTTTTTAAAAAACAAGTCTAGTTTGAAGCTTTCTGTGAGTGAAAAATCCCAGAGGAAGACACTGACTCCTTTACTGATATAACATCAGCAAATCAGTTACCAAGGCCTGGTGATCACATTGTTAATGATTCAGCACTTTTTTATAGGTGGGATATAACTTTAAAAACAGCTCATCATGTTCTAACTCAAAATATAAGAGTATGTAACCCCTCTGAGTTTGAGGTTTAAAGTAAAACAACGTTTCCTTCACGCATCACCTATATCTAAACTATTAGGGGTTTATTTAGGAGGAAAACCTCCTCATAGTACTCCTGCGGCCCACGCTGTGGTCTTCGGCTAACTGGTAGATGAGTGACCAGTGTCTACACAACTATGTGCACACTGTGTCTGCCCGTGAGTCTTACCTGGTCATCCAGGGGCAGGTCACAGAAGGCTGGGATGTACTTGGCCCACTCCACCAAGACCAACAGCTGTTGCTTCATGGACTCACACACGTCCGTGATTGCGGCGATCTTTTTGGCCCTTATGTCGCCGTTCAGTATCGGAGCCGGCGAGGTGATCTGCGCGTGCAGATGTGGGGTCATTTAACGCCTCCTTACAAGTGATTAATCACAGTTAGATGTGATGATTTCAAACGCCTTACCTGTCTCGACAGCACGTCTGCCTGGATGAGTGCGTTGATGGATGGTAAACTGCTGTCTTCGTAGCTGGATCTCCTGGTGCTGATTCTGTCTCTTTCATTCTGCACAGCTAAAAACACACATCATTCATGGTGTCATCGCTGCTGCAGAAATATTCAGAGGAAAATGTTTGCTTTGTCGCAAGTAAGGAATATATGACAAATATGCCAAATATGGTCTGTCCTCGTCTTCGGCGAGACGTCTACGTCTTCTAAGGCTGTCATGTTTATCAGTATATGGCTATTATTGCCCGGAAATGTTTGCTCAGCATAAGCTGGTTAGAGACTTCAGCGCTTTACCGAGTGAACATTAACAAAGTACTACTCCCGTGGGTGTCGCAACACGTCGATTCAGTGGGGACGGCTCACACTCTGGCAGTGCTTTGCTGATGAAAAGGGAAAATTCTCTTTTTTGTTTTTTACAAAAACATATAGATTCCCTCTGTGTACTTAAAAATCACAAAACGGATCCCACCTTCTTTCTTCATGCCGGCCCTGAAGCATTTCTTCAGTCTGCAGTATCTGCATTGATTTCGCTTGTCTTTGTCTACGATGCATTGTCTGTTGAACCTGGAAAATGAGTGGATCGAGTTAGTTAGTCATTGAACCATAAATGACACTTGAATGCGATTAAAGCTGCAATAATCAGTTGATTGATTGAAAGTAAATTAATTCAATTAAAACTATTTCTATGATGGAGGAACTGTTTAGATATTTTTTCAAACAAAAGTTTCTTCCTAGCAGACTGCACATCTTGCTTGCTTGATTTTAGACAAACAAAACCCACTTTTGAAGTCAGCTTGACCTGTGGACAGCTATCTCTCACTATTCGGACATTTCATACAAAAGAATGATGAATCCATCGCTCAAAGAAAAGGGCCTGTAGCTCAGCAGCCCAAGACGCCATTCTGCTCTTTTATTGAAACAAACAACAAGGTTGTGTTCTTTTTGCGTCCCTTTCACTCACTCAAACAGCCGCCCCCCACTGCCGGGGCAACTCGAGCAACGCTTTGCCTCAGTAGAAATATCACACGGTCGCAGATCCGTCCTCACCTGCACGAGTACATGTGGTTTTTGCGAACGCTGCGTCTGAAGAAGCCCTTGCAGCCGTCACAGCTGGAGGCCCCGTAGTGTTTGCCGGTGGCTCTGTCTCCACATATGGCGCACAGGCTGCCGGCCCCGAGGTGGCCGGTAGCATTCATGTTGGGGCTCTCAGTCGGTGAGGAGTCTGAGAACACACACAGGGTGAGACAAACAGACGGCAAATCATCAGTTTTTAGTTTTCATGAAAAGCGACAGAATGGATATTCGCTTCAGCTCCATTGGCGGCTGATCAAATCCAGCATTCGTGTTCGTGAACCTGCAAAGGTCTGTTACCTGCCTGAGCAACTCAGACACAGCCAGCAGAGCGTAAATGAGGTCGGCTTGATTGCCTCTAAAAAAAGGGCAATCACTGGAGACAGTCTTCTTTTTTTTTGTCACAGTCTCACAGTTATCAGTCTTGGTCAATCAATCATCGAGACTGTCGTGCTATTGATGTGCGGCTGACTCGTAAGACATTGTTATGCGTTAATAATTGAGTGGAAACATGTAAGTGTCGTTCCCTGTGAAACTTTCGTTTTTTGAGTCTCGTCGGGAAATTTGGAATCAGGATCACAGCCAGATGTCATGGGAGACTGCATATACAAATACGTTGGTGTCATTTTGAACCCCTTCTTTTTCACTTTTCCACACTGTGGGAAAAGACCGTTTGTAACAGGAGATGTGCGACCAAGATCCTCCAACTACTGCTTCATCGGAGGATACATGTCAATCCGCTGTAATCTATCTGACACCACGCCGCTCCCCAAGCTCAAACAGGTTCAAATAGCTACGACCAAAAGACCTGAACGCACGTCTCGTAAATCAAAGTCTCTCAAAGCTGAATGATTGTGCTTAAAAAAGACGAGCACTGCACCGGACCACCCCTCTGCGTGCAGATGGACGAATGACCCCTTTTTATCACTTCACGCCAGAACTCCCTCTGTCCTCTCCTGACCCGTTAAGTTTTAAATCAGTAAAAGTTTCAAAGTGCACCGCCAGAGTGTACATATAAATGACTCACCTGTACCTAAGGGGAGCATTTGCATGTTTTCGAACTCCAGAGTGGTGTAAGCCGGGTCCAGAGCCTCGCTGTAGTCTGCCATGTCCATGTCTGCCAGTGCTTTGGACGAAACAAATTCTAAGACTACTTGACAGTGGGGCAGAAAGACTTGTCCAAGAAGCTAATGTGCCCCCCGCCCCACTCATCCTCATCCCCTCACCCTCTCCCTCCACACCCCACACACCTCCACTAAGGGCCCCCCCACCAACCCTCTCCCCCGCCTCCCGCTTGCTTAACTCCGCCCAGTAACAAGGCAGCGCCCTGGCCCGGTTGAGTGTGATGGGGACCTACTGGTGTCACACAGGAGACCAGTGACTGACAGCAGAAAGCGCCTCCTTCTCCTCCTCCTCGTGTCTAACCAGACGGGAGGTGGAGTGTCGTTCTGCTTAATGGTTAACTAGCCCCTTCAATGTTGAATCACAGGGTTGTTTTTTTGAGCTTCTTTCGGGACGAGATAGCACAACTTTGATTTCTGACATCTCTCCTTGGTCTCTCTCTGGTCATTAATAGATAAACAATTCTCCTCTCTGTGAGCTAAATCAGGTCAATCCTTTGCCAAATCACTCCTCTGTCGCTTCAAAACAGCTCAATTTTACAGCCAGCAATTTCTGCAGCATGCTGTTATCACATGCACACCAATTTACAGCGTCCACATAAAGTTATAAAGCAACCAAGACCGAATGAAGGTGCAGCTCAGCTTTGAGTGTCTGCGAGGAGACAAGTGATAGGTTTATACTTTATACTTAACCAACATTTCAGAGGGAGAGATCACTACATTTATCTGAGAGCCATGACTTGATTTTGCAACATCTTCTCCTACATAAACGTCTGGACATTTTGCAGGTGAAGCAGAACTCTCAGGTGTTGAAAAATGAAACTGAACGAATTAGATATTAAGTTAAAATCTGAACTCGGATTTAGTAAAAAATTATACTAGAGCTTTGATGAATTGATGAATAAATATACATTTGGTTGCTCATTTTTTGACTAGAATTCAACAAACTCTCAGTAATTCCTCAATGCTGGATGCTAAAAGAGGTCATTTAAAACCTGTTTTACATTATGATATAGCAGTTTATAAACCAATAGGTTACATTTGAATGCTTCTTACTTGCTTAAAGTACTTTCACAGTGTTATTGCTATGAGGCCAAACTTCCAATTGAGCAAACCCACCAGCCAGATCATATCCGTCATATTCACCCTCAGACCCACCTCCGTGTTTAATATGACGCTGGTAAATCTGAGTTAATTCCAGCATATTTAACAGAGGAAATAACTCTTAAAGCAAAGCGATGCCTTTATGTAAAAGAATTCATTGTTTGGGAAAAGGACTGAGCCAAGAGCTCCACTCAACTTGTTGGAAGGCAGCTGCATTTTAAAGTGTATTTTGAAGAAATAAAAGAATTAAAGGATCATCTTCAGTATTATAATAGTAGTTATTTTCTGTAGCTCTTCACCATAAATATGTTTCAACGCTTCGGTTGTAAATTCCTAAAACCCCCAAAAATTGGGTATTACAGTGATTACAAATCATTATAAATTATAATGGAACTCTATATAGTTAAATGCGTGCATGTGTGTTCGTGTGTGCGTGTTTAGCAGAGAAATCGCCACAAACATGTAGCATGAGGTTCAGTACATATTTTGTTTTTATTCATAAGGCACTACGGGATAAGCAGACAGTGGAGGAGGTAGGGAATAATGTCAGTTTTCTAACACATGTGACTTTTTTTAACACACTCCTGATTCCTGAATCTTATTTCTGTTTCAACAAAAAAAGAATTACGTGCTTGCGCAAAAGTGTCCCGCCTTCCACATATCACACTGCAAAACAGTGGTCTTGTATTTTGAAGGAGAAAGTGCCCAGTACCATAGGCAGTAGGGTCAACGATCCTGAGTTTTAATTTGGGACCTCAGAAGTAGTAAACCTCATGTGGGTGAACCTGTTAACCATACACCCAAACCTTACACTAATAAAATTTTTTTTCGTTCCGCGGACCACACACCATAATCTTCTTGAAGATTATAATGACAACCCCCCCCCCCCCTCCCCCCTCCCCCCTTAATCCCGTCAGAAACGTTAAAATAGAAGTGATCAACCTGTGATTCAACACATAGACACTATTCATTTCACTCATGGAAATAGATTAGTCGACCTCGGGAATTTTTAACAACCCTGATTACCTCAATCAGGCTTAATCAGTCACGATCAGAAAAAGATTAGCATCGTCTTTACACACTCACGGATCTGAGTATTCTGCTCAATCCAACCCCTGCAGCCCAGTGCGAGCGTGTTGTTTCACTTGTGTGTACAGAGGTCATGCATTACAACATTTCTTCATGTTCGATCCGTTTTGCTCGTCTGCAATGCCCATATTTGCTCAAGAAGTGTGCTGATTATTTCAAAGCAGTAAGCAGAGGGGGGAGGAGGGGCGGGGGGAGTCATGAATGAGTCACTCAGGGAAAATCTTATCTTCTGCGTCATTAAAGTGCTTTTTATCGCTGCTCCCATCTTAAATTTCTGTGAACTCCTCAAGGAACAGTCGTATATACGGTACTATAAAGTATAATCTGTGGTTATAGCTTTCTTAATCACAAACTGACAAACTGTTCTGATGTGTAAGGTGGAGACTCTCCCATAGTTTATCTGCATTTTGAGTTGGGGGTTCGTGTTTGCATACTGTACCTGCATTCCCTGCTGGATTGACCAAGAGGTTACGACATAAAAAGATCGAAAACAGAATAAAATTAAAGACACTGTTTAATCTGTCCCCATATTTATGATACAAATCTGCAAATTGCTCAAGACAGAACTTAATCAAAAATGTGTTTAGAAATTGCTAGCCGGTCTAAATAACTGCCTTTTTTTCCCCTTTATCCAGTTAGATTGACAGACTTTCTGGGGTAAAATATCAAAACAACAAAAGCACGGATTGACATGAAAAAATGTGCAAAATGAGTGAAACCCATCAACCTCAGTGTAACGCCATTTAAAAGTTATTAGCAAATCGCTAACTCACTAAACTAACTATGGTGAACATGCTAGATATCAGTATGTTAGCATGCTGATGTTAGCATTTAGCTCAATGCACCACTAAAGCACCTAGACTTGAACCGTCTGCAAGAACAGATTTTAATGGCTGCAGCTTACAACAACTGCCTGACGTTTAGCTGTCAGATACCTGCTAAATACTGGCCGATCACAGCGCTGTCTTATAATCAGTCACCCAAACTCCTGCCCCGGGGCTAAAAGTCAAAGGATCGCTGAGACCTGATGTAACACTTGTGATTCTCCCCTTTGAAACTTCAGTTTGTGAACAAAGTCCTGTCTATCTTCTGAGTAGGAATCTCCGACCACTGGCCAAACTCCATTTGCAACCACAGCCTATTTGTACCTTCTCCTCAATGACTACATTTCATTTTCCGAGAGTCCGATCTCAAAGGCAGGCGGCAGGAAGGCAACGTGGTAAAAAAAAAAGAAATCTAAACGACAGAAACCAGCAGCTGGGAGGAAAAGGGCCTGGAAGAGTAAATATGATGTGGAATCTACGCTGTCCGGGGACTTATTTTGTTTCTTTCTGAGAGAGCTGCAGCCCAGAGGAAATGTGAGTGTTTGTGAAGCACCATCCAGGAGCGTGATGATGTTGATAAGAGTAAAAACAGAAGGAGACAATGTGCCTGCTGCAGCATATTTGAGGCTGCTGCGCCGCTGTCCTGCAGTAGATGGAGGAGATAGGTGAGTAGAGTGTCATGGCAGAGACCTTGTCAACAGATAACTATCTGCAAATAACACCAGCTTATGCAAACCCCTGTGGCTTTCTTTGCCATTACTTTCATCGCTTCCAACGACAATCATTCATTCCTTTTTGTCAAGATCACAATTTTTAATCCTTGCGTTACTGTAGTTTGTTTAGTATAATTGTGTAAGACGTTTCTCTTGCTTTTGTAGCGGAAATGTTTTTTGAACAGTTCTACTTAATAAGTTATTTTTCATTCTTGTCAAATAAAAACACATTATACATTTAAATCATCTTGGGAGGAGGTGGAAGGTGTTTTCAAATGAAGAATGTTATCAGGTTACCAAACAGAATAATAAGAATGAAATGTAAAAAAATGTATTGGTACCTCTTCAGTGGTTTGACCCGCCTCTTTAAGGGGATTTGTATCTGTGTTTGATAAAGATGATTACAATGAACAAAAAATGGAAAGACGTTGAAATAAACGGTTTTCTCTGAAAGAGAAGTGACATATTTTCCTCAGCCACGATCACTATTTGTTCTCACAGTTCAAATAGACAGCTAGGGCCTAGTCAGTATCTCGTTGTATTATTGGGTCATTCAAAACATTCAAAACGTAATTGTGCAGTTGTAGAAGGATTACACAACACTAAGATTTGTTAAGATGCGTTTGATATTATTTTCTGCTCTCCGTAGCAATGAATTACAGTGCATTTCTTCATGTGAACTAACTTTTATGAAGTGCACAACCTTCTAGTTTTCATGCAAAAACATCTTCATCATTAAGACCAAAATAGCCCCTAAACACATTTAATGTGTTTTTCAAGCTGAAGACAATATTCTAAAGATAAAATACCACAACAGGTTTCATCTTGTTACAAATCCAGTCAGACCGAACAATTCTAGTAGCCTCCGTGCCACCAAATAAGTAAACAATTGCATCAATAAACATGAAGAGCCATGCAAGACGTAAATCAATCACAGTTAGTGATAAGGCTTTGTAATTATTAACCCTGTTTGCTGAGAGTTCATTTTGACTGCTGGCCCAATCACCTCTGTCAGCAGCTCTGCTCTGAGCACTTTTATCTCTTAGATCCTCCGTGAGGTCCTTCAGTCAGCCGCCGATCAATAGACATTTAACCTCTTCAGCTTGAACAACAAGCCACTAAATGTTTAGGCATTCAACCTCGTCCCGTCAGTGCACCCGGCCTCAAACCAAAAAGGACTCTATCCAAAATCGAAAATGATTCATATTTTTTTAAAACGTTCCTAAATATTTGTGATTTCAGATAATTCAAGAATTCAAAAACATATTCATTCATCTGGATATTGCATCAGTAACACTGGTTCTAAATTTTAGGAAGAGAGTTTCAACACTTCATTGGTTTATTCAGTGCGGTCTTTCTAACCTCTGAGGTCACATGCTGCTCTCTACTGGCCTTAATCTGACTGCGTGGTCCGATCACACTGCTGGTTTCAATTCAGCCTCACAGTCAACAGTGGTGCAGCAAGTTGAGCCAAAAAAAAAGAAGCAACACAATTTCTCTGCTGTGGTGTATTCTTTTCAAGTACTTTCACAAGTAATTATATGCAATTTCAAAATACTAATTTACAAGTAAAAATCCAGGATGAATTGAACAAGTTAAAGTAGTTATGATGCAGAAGGAAAATGCCAGTCAGTTTGATGGTATTAAAATATTTTGTGGTTATTTCTATGTTAATTAAATGGTAACTGTATTTCTATGTTAACTAAACGGTAAATGTATGCAAAGATGAGATGTGGAAGTTGTATTTTAAGGCTGTAGGTCCTTATGGTTAAGCTAATTTAAACCACATTATAAACAGTTGAATACTTCAGTCTGTAACAGTCCATTATATCTCATGAGGTCATCAAAAGAATTGCATATAAAATATGTTACACCTAATAACAAGTAAAAAGCACAAAGAGTAAAAAATACAATATTTTTCTTTGAATTTGAAAAGCATCACGTTTCAAGTAGCTTGACATTGATATGACTAAATTCAGTACATTAGTTTATGTACCTTGTTTCTTTTCACCGCTTAAGTGTCTCAAAATCCTACCGGAGTCTGTTACTTTCTACCATTTCCAATCAGGCAGGATGAAATCCCTGCTTACTGCTGCCATCATGTGGACACCAAGTCTACATCCAATTCACTGTTCAGGTAACGAGCCCCAAGCTAAAAGTTTCAGTCCCAAACAGAAGAATCGCTGAATTATTCTGCAAGCGAAATATTCATCACATACAGTAGAATCCATCAATTGGGGTTGTCAAGTTATCGTTAACCTCATATACATGAAATACTCACCCCAATGAACCAGCTCTTTTAAACTGTCAAAATTCAAAGCTTTGCCCTCTGAAAACACCTCGAACAACACATTTATTTTAAAGAATTCAAGCAGCAGAAAACCAGAATCACCTATTTCCATTTCATCAGTTTCCCCCAACGCTTCCGGCTTGAAGCTCCCAGCAGCTTTACTTCCACCACAACGCGGTTTTAACGCACAAACCGAAGCCCGTTGTTCGCCCCCCCCCCGCTCCTTTTGATTCAGAAACGCCCGGCCTCAACGCCCGGAGCTCTCTCTGCTCACTTTTACCTGGGTCGGCGAGGTGCAGCGTCCCATTCTGGCCATACATCCCCCTGAAGGCTGAGCCCTGACAGCCGGGTGAAGGCCCATGAGACTCGGCGGCTCGCTCGGCCAGCCCGGGAGGAGAAGCGCGGCCGCTGTTACCGGGTGGTGCAGTTTGCCGTGGGGGGCCACCGGGCCGGCTGTGAGGGCCCGCGGCGCCCGGGGATAATCCCCCTAATGCCTGTCACAATGAGATTTGATTGGAGACTTGAACACCCGGATTAATGGTGTCAAGTGAACAACGTGTAACTCCGACCCTGCAAACAATCTGGTAACTGGGTTTGCGGCTGTTTGACACCAGATTGGCACATCTAGATCATATTTATGCTCCAGTTTAGATTCAATTTCACTCCATTAGCTGAGTGATTTATTCACCAGGATGCTGTGGCTTTAACAAGTTTAATACTTTAGCATTTTAATCCCACAGTGAATGACTTCAAAGATGAAGTTAGATGTTCCATATTGGTGTTGCTGTTACTATTTGATCCTTTAGTGACTTTGGCTAAATTCAGGCTGAAGGGGAAGGAAAGCAGCTGCTCAAGGACACAGTCAGAGACTTTATTATTATACAGTAACGGTAGAGGAAAGTTTAAATTCAAAATGACTAAATCCAGATGATAAAAAAACAACAAAAGCAACATTGTAGAAATACAGATTAAGATAAGTTTTCCAAAGAAGATTTTATGGATTGAGTATTTGGGTGTTTGTGGTGGCATTGTGTTTATTAAGAGTACCAATGATGACTCAACTCGTACAGCCAACGGCTCTGAAGTTAATGGGATCTTTGGCTTTTAAAATATTTTTTAAGTGGATAGGAATGTGTACGAAACCCCTTAATTTAATTCAGAAAAGCCTTGGTGTAAAAATGAATCCCTTCAATGTTTGCGTGGGTGTTTTGTAAAGTAGCTTCTTGTTTAATAAAAACGTAGCAAGACTAAAGTCATGTCGCAAAGCACTAGAGATGCAAGTTCATGTCAAGATCCAAAGCAATAAAAAGAAACAGCTTTAAAGTTAACGTAACAGTTTAAATCTCTTAACTCAAATGTTGATGTCCGGACAAGAGCGGTTTATTGGTTCTGTATAAAGACTCTCAATTTGAATTCAATTAAGCATTTAATAAATTGCCATAATTGTAAAATACTTTTTAACAACTTGAGTGTCTCCATTTTCCGAATTGTGCTCCCATATTAAACAGGCTAATTAACTAAAGCTATGCAGTTACTTTACAAATCAATATTTTTCCCACAGTAAATGCAGTTTACTTCTGAAATATAATGCATTACCCAGCAGCAGGCCTTTCTCATTATGGATTGATATCCTTGGAACAGCAGTTGACCAACTAATCTCACCGCATGGACAACAAGTCCTCAGAAAAATAAAAATGTTATCATCTCCATGACAACGGGGTGAGTCTATCTGACAGGGACGTTCACGTGATGCGATTAAAAGCTCCAGGACCACTGCAAATGGATCCTGTGCTGAGATTACTCCCTCAACAGTAAGCGATATAAGACATTATACTCCATACAATTAAAAGCATAAGTAAATATAATGCAATTATATAAAATGTTGCTGATATTTTTACTGAGGTAAAATATGCATTACAAACATGTCTTCTCAAAGGGGCCAAAAAAGCCTCGCTGAGAAGACAACATGACAATATGATGCTGTGTTTGTGAATTCCGTTCGTTTTTTAGCCGTTAACTTGGTCTTTGTCACTCAGAGGGAGTAGATCATATCTCCCCCCTTCGTGGGCAAACAGATACTCGCCGAGGAGCTGGTGGACGGCTGCTGTCATGTTTGCGTTCACCGAGTAATTCTTCCCACAGCAGAGCTGGGGAGTTTGTCCAGGTTGCGACCGTTGAGCAATTAATCCCACATGTCTGACACCAGTCGCACGTGTCGTAGGACACATGCTGCACGTTACTCTGAAGCTCAGACTAAAGGAAGAATGAGGATGTTTCTGTAAATTGAACCAGACGCAGCTCTGATTTTTTCTTGAAATATCCCCATTGAAGCTCCCAGGAAGTCGTAAGCTACAGTTGACACAAGCAATTTTAACAAATTTAATAGAAAATTGAGCATGAAATAGTATTGCTTGTTTCAGTCATAAAAGCAGCCAACTTTTGAAGGAAACCGAACAGGGATTTGCAGTTTGTTTGGACAATGGGGCATGTTATAAACGGATCATGGCCAAAAAGAGGCTTAGTGTATACTGCTGCCAAAGAATGCAATTTTATTTTTGAACATGAATGTCCACGTTTTTGAACGTTTGTTAACAAATCCATGCAGGAGACGTGGCCAGTCAATCAGATGACACTACTTTTTGTTCATGGATAAAAGCGTACATACATACAGACAGACAGACATACATAGACATGTACAGACATTATAAACAACATCTATATTTTGATGTGTCAAAAAGTGAAGTGTTATTGCATTAAACAGCTGGACATTGTAGTTATTAGCAAACACTAATGAAGTGAATATTCAGTATTTGTGTTTTCAGTGGCAGAATAATACACAATTGGATCTTCAGAGATGTTTTACAGCAGCAGTATGTAAAGTTAAAATGAACAGCAGTAACCTTGTTTATTACATTAACTGTATTAAGTGTAGGAAGAGGATGTTGACCCCTGTGACCTCTCCCAACTGGTTTTCAGAGCCTTGAGTTCGTTATTTGGGCCGCTACCATCTTTTTGTCTTTGAGTAGCTAAAGAGTCAGGCTGAGTACAACAGTGCTGAATAAAACCTTTATAGGCAACCAAAATGTCACAATTTACTGTCATGAACTGTAAACACAGCACACAACAAATTTGAAGGCGAAACACTGACAATTCCCAGACTGGACCTGTCAATCACAAGGTAGCCACACCCTACAGCGGACCCTGGTTTATCGATCATTTTACTCATAAATGTGACTGTCATTTACTAAATGTACATCATGTTGTATGGAAGACAACTTCAAACTAGCGATTGAGAACATAGTGTTCATAATATAAGTTATGTTACATTTTATAATACAGTAGATTACCAACTGGCCTTGTAGAGATCAAACATACGTCTGCAGTCCCTCAGCTTCTTTACATGCATATTTTGTTCATATTTTATTTACTAGAAACCATGTTGCTGGTCACTGTAACTGTGAAGGAACACATGGTGACGTTTGGAGGAAAGAAGTAAACAGTGTTTCCACCTGGCTGCAGGGGAAACAAAAGGCCGGGTCTTTAGCAGTGATGGGAAGACGTTGATGCAGAGGAGCTCAGAGAAGTTGGGAAAAGCAGATGTGGGATCAATCTTTTGGATTGATAAACCTAAACACAAATAGAAACACTTCACTCCTGCAGGGTTTCCTCTCCTCAGCTAGCTCAATAAAGAAGTCTGTTAAGGGACAAACCAGCATTTCAGGCACATTAATCAATGTTCGTATCACTTTTCTTCTCATTTGGTCACGGCTTTGTGAGATTTGCATCCCGACATGGGGACATGCAAATCTTTCAATGAATGACATGAGGAGTAAAAACAAAACCTCCATATACTGTATTAATAAACACTGTTGTGAGAGGCAATAATGTAAGGCCTTCACTTTTATTGACATACAAAACAAAACGGTAACACACAGTGTGTCCAAAAGCCTCCAGCAGCAATGTGAAGAGAGATGTTTGTGTCTGCACAGCATCACATACATCTAAGCCTTTAAAGTTGTTTGAGTCAGGCTTTACCAAGAAGCAAAAACGTATTGTCGTTTGTCCGACTTCCGTACCGCCGCACCAACAGCATCAAGGAAATCCTCTCAGATGCTCCTGTAAAACCTGCTCAGACTCTCCAAGTGCTCTGACATCCCAAAAACCTCCGTCCCATCATCCCCATCGGGCCCAGCTCTCTCCCATGGTCTCTGTGTGTGTTTTTAACAACCTCCATATCTCTGACACACCTCCTGAATTACAGCAGTGTGAACGAGGCGGACACACCGAATGGCGATGACATTTCCAGCCTCGACCTGCGGCGATCCGGCGGAGCAGCGGAGCTCCAATCCCCCGAAAGAGAAGGTTAAAAAGCGAGCAGCTGCCACATTCGCACGTCCTTTCCAATGCAACCACCGGGCTGATTAAAACAAAGGAAGGTGTGTACTCACCAAATGGAAGTTCCACACTAGAACCACCTGGCGTATTTACATTGACCATTTCGTCCTCTGCTCCCTCTCGAACGTGTGCTTAAAATCCACTTTTTTCCCCCCTCCCTCGACATAAGGTGTAAAATGTGGAAGTTTGGCGCAGGTTGCTGGAGTGTGAGAAGGCTGTTGTTGGTGCAAGGTAAGGCCGGTGTTGCCGCTGTTATCTTATTGATTTTCCTAATCTGGGCAAATGTGGGTGGGGAGGTTAAACAGTAACCAGGCTCGTATGGACACCAATCTATATAGCAGCTGTAACTAAGGCAACATGATGATAGAAACCCAAATACATATGAAGTTATTACACGCTTGTCTTCTCTCTCTCTCTCTCTCTCTCTCTCTCTCTCATCACCAAACAGAAATGTCTCCATACAGTTTGGAAATGAGTATGAACACTTAAAAAGAAACAAATAAAAGAAAGAGAAAGGCTGAAGGGTGGAGGGACAAAAAAAGATGGAGGAGGAGGAGTGGAGAATGTACTGAAGGTGGCAGCATACAAACGGGGAATGAGTGACGTCACCCGTTTTGTTTTTGACTGAGGGGGGAATATTACTGCTGAGTTGTAGGATGTATAATTAGTCCTGAGTCACCTGTGGGTGAAAGACATCCGGCGAAATCTATTTTAAAATGAGTGATGAGTGATTTCCAGGGAAAATGGAAAAATCACAAGTTCTGTGCCTTTATAACTCATTAATTAACGTGTCAACAGACATTTGTCTCCAAAACAACATGTTATGGTTTTAGTGGCGGTTTGTGACAAGATAAAACTGAGGATTCACTTTCAGCCACTTTCCATTTCTGAAATGTTATCACAGCAAGCAAAGCGCTGTACTGAATTACTCTTTACACTTTTGTTCTTTACTGGGAAAAAATAGTTTCTACATAAAATATTTTACATGTTTGCTGTTAGTGGCTGTGTGTGTGTGTGTGTGTGTGTGTGTGTGTGTGTGTATTGGTTGGTAGGCACAGCTGATCCGCTCATATTTAACACCATAAAAGCTGCATTAGTCTCCTGTTTTATGGCACATAGATTTAATGAGGTGAAATGCAGCACTGAAAATGTCCCGCAGCAGCAGTGAATAAACACAAAGAAGTGAACAGCCAAAGTAGCAAACAGACATTGGTATATAATATATGGAGGGATATACAGCGTCATTAGTTATTTAAATATATACATTTCAGTCATGCAAACAAATTGACTGCTGGAATGAATGGACACTTTCTTTAAAAATATTGAATCAGGTTAGAAAAAGAATCAAAAACACATCCAAGCGTATGTGTGAACTGTACAAGAAAAGTGCACTGTCCTTTTTGCTTGGTGCCTTTCAAAATGTATTTAAAATAAAAAATCTCTCCATAGAATATTAGAAAAAAAACATGAACCGAGCAAGAATTTAGTAAACATCCATAGAATTAACTCAGCTGTGTGGGAATCCTTCACTATTAAAGATTGAGTTTAAATATACTGGATGGTTGCGTGGTTTTCTTATGATGACTTTTGTGTTCCATTAAAACATGTTTAAGACGCTGTGCTGCGTTTCTATCTGGTCAGTCGCTTTTCTGTTTGGGGAGCACTGGTTTCTCCAGCAGGAGCCGCCATAGCTGGACGGACAGACAGAACAACACTTCCCGCTCGTAAGCCTAGTTTATGCTTCTAAGGAGGCGCGGATGGCCTCTGATTCACGGAGGGTGATCTCCGCAAACGTCGGTTTGCCGGTCGAGGGGAAGAGAGTTGTGGAGGAAAATACGGGACAAATGTGTCCGCGATGAAAAGCTGCAGTGTCGATGCACGGGGCAATAAAGTCTATGATACATAAATAAACAAACCAACGACTTCCACACACAAAGACGTGACTCTCTAGTTCGTCTTCAACAAAAACACGTAGATGAATTGCTCTGCAGCACACGCAAGACTTTTTGAACCATGAATTGAAATAATAATATGCACAGTAGCCATAAGGCATTGTATTATGCATTATCCATTATAGTTTGGTTGTAAGGACAAAACCCTGATGTGGATTCATTCATTTCATCCAACTCAACTCAATACTCAATTACTCAAACATGAGTAAATCTGTTGGGGACATATTTCCACTTCCCCCCCCCCCATCACCCCCCATGTCCCCATTTGTTGTGTTAGTGAGTATTTGATGAAGCAGGACTGTGAATGTAGGATTTAGTTTGAATAAACTACAGTGTGTGTTTCAATGGTTACACATGGCAACAGTTGTCAGTGGCTCATTGATGCTTTTTTAATAATTTTTGGACAAAAAAAGAGATCCATGGTACAGGAAAAGTATATACCAGGCTTTGGAGATACTATTATTTAGTCAAATGTATAACAAATAATGATATTTATGTTTTTCATGAGAAAAATAATACTTTTACATTTCCTGGTGATCATTTCTCTGTAGGGTTGTAAAAACCACAATGTTTGAATGCATGACTTCTGTACAGGATTTCTTTTTTTGTTTGATTTGTTCTGATTTGCCAAATATCAATAAAATGTTCTTCCTGTTTTTATACTGACTGATTAAGAAACATGACAACATTTGACCAGTTGCCTGAAAAGAGCTGGGTTCACGTTATGTCGACTGTTTTATTTAGTTTCTTCTATTCCAGAAAACTCTTTTAAGGGAAATAAACGTATTCTTAATGATAGCCACTTTCACACTACACTTAAAACCTGGTTATTTAATCACATATTTTGTTACAGAGAAACTTGTTTCCCCAGTTTTATGCCTTTCAACTCCTCTTCTCACTCTTACTTCAAGCTCTCCTTACTTAGAGTAGTTGCAGACCAGCAGTGTTGCCTCCTTCCTTCCACCTGCTCACGAACCCGTTCATGTCAGAGCACGCTGCTGCTCGCCCACACCATCTGAGAGGAAACACAGAACTTGTTTTTTGAACTGGCTCGGACTTGGCTCGCAACCAAGGAGTTGCTAATAGACTTTAGCACAGTAAGATCCTCCTCTGGATATCTAATAATTAATCTACACTTTACCTGAGGATGCTTCTGCCTGAAATACTCAAAATATGTTTGTTATGACTCCCACTTTTCTCTTTAAAAGGTTTTTGGGAAAATAAATACTAGTGGTCCTCCTTGTTTAATTCAGGGCAGAAATCCATTAAACTCATCCGTAGATATTGTTATCAAATTGTTATATCGTTATCAAATTGTTACATTCACTTGTTGTAAAACAGATTAGTGATCAGCACAAAAAATACATCATCCAAACCATAGAGAAATTCATCATTTAAGTGTTTGCACTGAAAGAGTCTGAGGTTCTGACATATGGATGTCGATGACAGGTACTGTGTTTGACATGTAAGTCAAATTAACTGTATTAGATTTGTCGCTTTTTAAGCATAGTTTTAACATTATTAACCCCATGCCACACCGTGGGAGTAGTGTGCAGCAGTTAAGGGGGTTTGGTGTCTTGCTCAGGGACTTTTCGACTTGGGACATGGAGCAGCCTTCAAACCGCCAACCTCGAGGATGCCGGTGCACCTTCTCTATTCCATGAACCACAGTTCAAATCAAAATGCACATTTTCAGAACTGCTTTAAATGTGTGACCAAAATTGTGTGTTCTATTTATTACCTTCTCAGAAATGAAAAACAAGATATTTTGTGTTGAGAGGATAGCATGTTCATAATTGTTAATGCTGTTACGTGATCTTCTACGGACGAAGGAATCATTAGAGCGTCAGGGTTGTAAAGAGGGGACACATACAGACAGAGAAACTGTGCAGATAAAGATCTGAATCAGGAACGAGTCCGGACTTTTTCTAGAATCTCAGAACTTTCACCCTTTTTGTTCGAATTTTGACTCTTACCCTTTTTCTCTTTGAATCGCTACAGTCTGATTTGGTTTTGAAGTAACTAAAACTGTTTTTTACTCGTTTCTTCGTGGAGACCCTGTTACGTACAACAGGTGGCGACACACGAGGGAGTTCAGCGGCAAACGGAAGTTGGCCGAGGAGGAGCCTCATTGGTCGAGCCGCAGTGACGTCACAAGGACTCGTCCCGGTCAGCTCTGTCACTATGGCGGCGGTGGATGTCATTGTGGACAACTTGGTGACTCTCTGGAGGATACCGGCAGTCAGGCAAAACTTCCACTGGATATTTTTGCTCATTTCGGTGGTGGGATCGATTCTGAAAGAGCTGGAGCTCGTCCCGGAGACGTACTTCAGCAGCAACAGAAATGCCCTGAATGTGTGAGTCGAGCTGTTGTGTCATGTTGCTAGCTGGGGGGTGACTTTAGCTAACAGAACTGACGGATTTAAAGCTGCCGTGCTCACTGTAAGTTAGTAGAAGGCTTTGTGGTAATAAAGCTATTTTTTTTACTAATTATCTGCTCATAATAACAAGGTGAAACAACCATGTTGTGATGTTTCCCTGACTGCGTTGTGATGAAGTTCGCTACGCCGACGTAATTTGGGTCAACGGTCACTTCTTGTGTCATCTGTTCGCACAGCTGTGTTAAATGGTTCTGTATCACACTCTGTCAGTAAAACACTCTGTTGTCTGCGTTGCCAATTATTGGAAAAAGTGATACGTTAGTGTACTTTAACAATGAGTAAATACATCTGTGTGTTCAATGATCACCTTTACCTCACATCACTGAGGGCATGATTATTATTATCATTTATCATTTAAAACCAGCATTTAAAGATAACCTCTAGTGTTCCTGCTCTAACTCCGACCATTCAACATCTTTCTGTCAGTTCTTGTCTTTAAGGAATGAAATGGTTTTCATGGCTATAGTTACTTAAAGGGTTGTGATGGTTTAATAAATGGCGTAGTACCCAGGCGCCTTCAACCCAGAGTGTTTCTTTTAATCTGATACAATATAAGAATGTAGTCCAGAATACATTGTGTTAGTTAATGCTATTAGCTCAGACCAAATGTGAACTTCCCTTTTCTTTCTTGCAGGTATTTTGTCAAGGTATCCTGGGGGTGGACGCTGCTGCTGCTGACCCCCTTCCTCCTCCTCTCCAACTCAACCGTCAGCCGCAGCGCGGCCTCCCTCGGCCGCCGGCTGCTGTCTCTGGCGGTGGCGACAATCATCTGGTACGCCTGCACCGAGGCCTTCTTCTACGTCGAGGACGTGACCGGCTCGTGTTTTGAAACGGACGGCGCGGACGTTGTCATCAGGGAGTTCACATCCAAAGTCGGCTGCAGGCGGGCCGGCTACCAGTGGCAAGGCTACGACATCTCGGGACACTCCTTCATCCTGGCCTACTCGTCTCTCTTCATCATTGAGGAAACTGCGCCCATGACCTTCCTGAAGACAGCCGGTCTCTCTGCGCTGCCCAGGATGGTGCTAAACTTGCTCTACGTAGCCTTGAATCTGATCGTGATTGTTTGGGTGTGGATGTTTGCGTGCACCTCCGTTTACTTTCATGACCCGTCTCACAAACTGCTAGGGACGGTATGCGGGCTGCTGGGGTGGTATCTGACATATCGGGTTTGGTATCTAAAGCCATGGTCGCCAGGACTCCCTCCTCGGTGCCACCTGAAGGACTGAAGCTACACACCTGAGCTGCGGTCATGCTTTCCTGTAGTTTGTTATTGTTGCAGCCATCCTCATCACAACACACTACATTTGATGTTATCTTTCTTTGGGTCCAAGCTGGCCAATTCTATTAGTTATTCCCTCCTTACAGAAAGGTTGCTTTGTACTGGATGGTGTTTGGCAGCTGCTGTTCCCAAAATGACTTAGTAATCTGAGATAAAAGCAAGACGCTGCTCTGCTGCACAGCTTCAGCCTCTCACCTCCATCCACCGAGGCTCGCATGCTCCAACATTGTTTGTCCCGCAGTTTGTTGCCTATTAGTTTTCGACTCTTGGATGAGTTATCGCAGCTTTTTAGACTCATTAGAACATTTCGAATGTTTACAGCTCCATTGCAGATGAGATACTGAATCAAATGATTTAAATGAGCTGTTGCGTATGAGCAGATTTATTGTGACTGTGTGTCGACACGATAAGTCAAGTATGCTCAGAGAATGCATCTTCATCATCATCATATAGAAATAGGGAGTATATACATGGTTTTAGATGGCCATCATAGACACACTTTAATTTTAAGCCAGCCCTGCAAGGGTCAATTGGTAATTAATTAAATGGTTTAGTTTGTTAATGTTTATAACTAATTATTATATGTAGATTTTTTAATTGATCAAAAATGGCCATCATATTTCAAATTCAAATATTAAGTTGTGTCCAAGCAAAAGTAAACAAATCCTCGGGATTGTTTGGGTTTTGTGCTTGGAAAGATAACTTAAACATATTTATTGTCAAAGTGTTATTTCCGTTTCTGTTGGAATAGTTGACTACTTTTTTTTTAAGTTGGAATTTGATTTGTTTTCAACGACACCATGAAAAGGCCAAATATAAATTGATCTTACAAGTATTGTCAAATTTTGCCAAAGCCTGATTATTTATATATGATAAATTCCTCTTTTATCATGGAGTGCCAAACTATTAAAAACGCATCACTGATTAACACGGACACTGACCTGTATGTTCGGTCCCATCGCATAAATACTCACTAAATAAACAAATCCTTTTTAATCTCCATCTGAAAATAGTTAACTAAAAACTGCAATGCCCCGTTGGCAGCAAACTTTTTTTTTTTTATCTGAAAGTTGGTTCATGTCCTCAGTAGAAACCAATGGGCCTGAGTCTGAGTGCCACAAACAGAGTAGGGAAGTATTAAGCATTAAAATAAGGATATATTGTGTACTCAAATATAAAACCGTCCTTATCCTGCAATGAGACACTTAGGGAAGCTTACTATTGGTACATTTCTTTATGAATATTGATTTGTCAAACAATGTCAAATGTTGTCGCACTGATGTGTACATTTCTTGATGTGTCAAATACACAGTTACAAACTAGGCAGAAGGGAACAATGTACGTTAAAATGAATAAAAACAGGATCTGTTTATTCCATTTTCATTATTTATTTGTCATTGATGGCAACTGAATAAATTAAGGCTTATGAACAAACATCATTAAAGCACCATAAATAAATGCATATATATAAAAAATAAAAAATAAAATACAAAATATAAAATACTATAGTGAAATATAATGGCCACAAATAACAACTTGTATTCCTTGATTTGAGTTCTTTGTGTGTGTGTGTTCAAAGAAGGTACAACCCCTCGGGTGCCTTGATTTCATTCTGAAGACGCAGTGGAATCTTAACCGGTGTGCTCGCAGTAGTGAAAAAGCATTCAACATGATTAGATGATCATCAAGTTTCTTGATATTCGACTCTGCAGTGACATCTACAGTTTGTCAATCAACAAAGGAAGTGAGGGTCTGAGGGTTAGGGTTAACTTAAATAACAAGTCAATTTTATAACTAAATTGCAACAGGAAATGATGCCTTTCACTTACGATCACTTACTTTTTGCATCACTGCCGTTCATACAAAAACATTTTAAAACCAAACAACCTCCGTGTTTCCTTTCATGCACATCTGCAATGTCTCATGTTCAATCTATATGGCTGTGCAACCACTATCATTATCAAACATAAAACTAAACACGATGAACAGACAAGACCTCTACGCTCTTCAGAAGATTCAGGAGCTTCCTAACGGGACATGTCAAATAAACCAGACTTAAGCTGTAGACAAACGATGTACTGTGAGTCCTTTCTGCAAGAAATGTCAGCGAGAAGCCATAAAACCAAAAGCAGCTTACAGCTCCGGCCTCCAGCTCACATGATGAGCTGAGGCTGAAAAGCGTATTGTTCATATCGTAAGATGCTAAACCCTGAATGTCTGACTAAGGAAAAAGCATAAAGTCTCCCAGTAGGGGTGAACACAGTGTGGAGTGAGAAACTGCATCAACAAACAGAGGAGAGGGGGGTCTTTTTGTTTATCCTCCTCATACTCGTGTAAGTCACCTTTTCCTTCCCTGTTCCCCTCATTCAACATTTGAGCTCATTTTAAATCCAGTTTGGTGAGAATGTATCTGTAAAAACAATCGAGGCGGCGACAAACAAAAAAACACAGCAGTAAAATCCAGTTTCTCTTGGCTCAGTAGTGCTGAGGGACCATCTTGAAGACACGGAACAGTGCGGGGGCTTCAAAGGTGACAATTACCAAGAGAATATTTATCTATGGTTTTAAAGTTTGGTAGTAATCGTAAATTCTGCCTCTGGCCAGTGTCCATCCAGCACAAAACACTTACACAATAAGAAAGTACCCATGCAACGACATATACATCCTAATCCTAATGTAACACTATTTGTGCCGTAGATGCAGAATTTACAATTGTCATCCAAACGGCCACGTTTGGCCTCGTCTGAACAGGGAGGGCGACCGTGGACCTGTGTGTGCTGTGTGATCCGTGGTGCTCTAAATAAACTCACTCACTGTGTTTTACTGTGTGACGGGTGGACAGTTAGTTAAAAGCAGTCCTTCCAACGCACGTGTTCACATCTCCAATTTCTGCCCCGTCATGTAGCACTATAGTGAAAATAAAACACACAACACTAAGCATCAGCTTTTCCCGCAAAATATACATTGCATCAGAAAGTATTCAGGGTCCTTTACTTTTCACATGTCATGTTGTAATCTCGCAAAATCACTCAGGCTCATAAAGAATATCACAATCATTCTGACCCCATTCGCAGTGACCTCGGGGGCCTCCTGTCTCTCAGGATACAGACAACCTTGAGGGGGGGGGACTGCAAACAAGGTGTAGAAACATCTCAAACACGATAAACCTCAGCTAAATGTCAAGCATCAAAGCAGAAGGTCTGAATTAATATGTCAATACCACATTTTTCTTCTTCATACCTCTGCTAAACAAAATCCTCACCATTGCTGGCTATTGAGTGTAGATGGATTTTTGTAAAAATGGTTGAACAAAATGTGAGAATCCACGAAATCTTTGATGAAACCCAGAAGGTTGTTTAATTAAACTGTTCAAAGGAAAGTTCCTGAATGATTAAAGACTCTTTCACCTGGATAAAAGAAAGTATGCTGAATCACATTTTAGATTTTTCAAAATAAAATGTGTTTTTCAAACCGAGGGTCATTTCTGGCTACTTGGATTGGAAAACATACACACACAACTTAGTTTTTTTTCATCATGAGGGTTAAAAGAGTCTTTGAAGATTGTTTACGGTATTAATGCTAAGCTAAGCTATACGGCTGCTATGTCTGGCTTCAAATTTAGCATTTAACAGCAGTCCACAATCTTCTGGGGTTTGCAAAGATTGTTTGGCTGCTTCCAGTCGTCACGCTAACTGAGCTCACCATCTCCTGGCCGTACAGCCTCGTATTCAAGACCGTATCCACGTCTCTTCGAGAGAGTAAAAAACTACATTTCCCCCAATCTCAAAGTATTTGACTGAAGTCTGCTTCCGTCCTTTCATCATTTCTTCCGGCAGCACTTAACAGAACGTCTTTGTCACGTAACATCTTCCTGTGGTTTTTAGTGGGTGAACCTTAGGCGTGAAGAGCAGGTGTGAATAACGGCTGTAATAGTGGCATGCGAAGGTCAGTTAACCCCTGTTGCTGTTATTGTGTTTAACACTTCGTCTGGGTTCCTTTAAGTTTTGAGTATAAGAATGCCTAACTCAAATAAAAGTGAAACTAGGACTTGTCGGCCGCAAGTTGCCAGAATTTAAACTTGATGTAGGCCTTGATTACCAGAAAATGTGCTGTCAACAATTTCTTATTATGGAATGTTTTAATATTCTTTGTTCACCCAGGTAAGTAATAGTGTTCTCTATATAGATTCATTACGTTTTTCCTGCTGTCATAAAACATTACAGAAAAGCTGAAACATCACACAGATACACAGACATGTAACACAAGAAGAGGGCATTAACTACATGTATTTCTTTTTTAAATACCAGTAGGCAAAGTAGCCCATGCCTCCCAGCGAGCCCATGAGGAAAGAGGCGCCGAAGAAGGACGGCGGCTTCTTTTTTACCATCCGGAAGGCGTTGGGTAGGACGGCGGACAGAAGGGTTGTGTGGATGTCGCCCAAGACCTTGCGGAACGCGTAGCGTTTTTGCACGCGCACAAAAAAGGACTGCAGGTTGGCCCGGCTGCCGTCCTCCCAGTATTTCTTAGAAAGTCCCAAGAACTTGAGCCTGTGCAACAAGGCGCCGAGGCAGACGTCGGCTAGTGTAAATTCAGGTCCACATAGCCACAGCTCACACTTTTGACCTGCAAGGAAGTTAGAAAATCATAAGTAAACATTGTTGGAAATGTTTGGAACGTCGTTTTGGTGGAATTGTGATTTTCTTTGACATACCTTGATACTCTAGTTTTCTTTTCTCCAGCTCGGCCTCCACTTGATCGAGAACCATGGCCAACTCACCCAGAATTTTCTTCAGGTAGTTCACATTATCGTGGTCCAAGATTTTTGCCTGATTTACAGAAAGGATTAAACAGATGGAGGTTGCATGGCTGGGAATTACATCGAGATAAAGTAGGAATAATGTGAAAGTACTCTAAGACGAATCTTTTTTTAAAGTTTTTAACTAAGCTAAGCGACTGCTGGCTGGTCGGTTAAATCTAATATCTAGGTTAAATGAATTAATCTAGATATTAGGTTTAGTTCCTTTCTTTTGAAAACAGTATTTCCAGGTCTATTTTAATTTCTAAATTAAAAGGAACTACATTTGAAATAAATATAATATTTTTTCAGAAGGTTTTTAAAGGATCCCCTCTTGAAAATCCTCAGATCCGTCACCTAAATTAAAATATTATATAATGTATAAACACTCTTAAGGTATCAAGTCAGGGATGGGTTTATATAATTTGTTACACGTGTTACCCTTTAACCTCTGAAACTAATCCAAAGAATAATATTTCCTTGAATTTAAACTATTTTTTTTCCATCATCAGTAATATGCGCATTATGAGAAACTTCATGTAAAAAGTGATCCGTTGACACTAGGGTTTGTTAAATAGGGTTTGTCCCTCCCTTGTACACAACATTATAATATAGAATGAAGATACGAAGATACAAAGATACGTTAGCGCATTTTAAATCCAATTAATGAGCACATCAAACTCACCATGAGCTTCTTCTGCTTGGACAGGTACGGTTCCGTTAGCTGAGGCTCCTCGTGGTCCAACTTCATCAGCTCCGTCGCAGCATTGGCCAAATGTCCTGCAGAACGCACAATACTGTACTGATGCTGTGGAGAAAATATCTGTGCATACACTGAGCAAGCCAAGTAGTCTTGGATTGTAAATATTCTGATGCTCATTCTTTGCACGGTGCAGACGTTCTGTCCTATTGGTACGAGTATGAGTGTTCGCTGACTGCATGGAGAACTTACTCTAATCCTTCAGGGTCCCTCGTGGGCAGACGGAGACACTTTTGTTGTTATAATCCACATTGTAAAATATATGAAGCTATATATATTGTTGGGTATTTAGAATACATTCTAAGTATTTATTGTTGCTGCAAACAAGATGGACTCAGAGCAACTCAAATATCTTCAGCCTTTAGACAGATTCAATTAAAGGTTCGAGATATTTATTGTCATGTGTACAGTTAACAAAGTTACTCTGTACAATTAAATTATTATTTTGCAATATAGCCAGCAGCATAATGTCAGAAGTATTACATTTTACTCTGATGTGTTTTTAATGACGCTTCAGAAATGATTAAATGTAAAACAAACATAAGCAGATAATCAAATACAAAACTAAAGTAAAACACATACATATTACTAACTCTGTACTTATTACTAAGTAATACATTAACTGTTGCCAAAATGAGGCGCTAAAAACAATAATAGTACCAAAAAACAACACAGGTAAACCCTAACCTCGCTGGAAGCTTTTCTTTGTTCACACACACAATCAACTTTATATCCTGAAAGAGAAATGGACAACGCGCCCCCTGCTCCCCTACTTAAACCTGCAGAAGGAATATCCGTCTCCAGAGGAAGAGATGGTTGACCCCCTCTCTTCCTCTTCAAGCCCACATCCAGTGAGGATCAGCCGCCGCTTAACCCGTCGGCAGAGATGCTTTAAGAGCTGCCGGTCTAAGCTTCGCTATTCTTTCTTTCCCAAAAGTAAAAAGGGAAGATTTGAAGCACTTCTTTGCCTAATGTGTGAATGTGAAGCTGCAGCCGGCAGTCAGACTGGAAACAGTTACTGTAGCGTTGCGGCTAAAGGCACCTACTCAAACCTCCGTCCAAGTCAAATCATTGAGTCATACATTCTTTATTTAAAACTGTCAATTAAAGAGAAATGTTGAAAAGTTCATCTAAATTCCTTTTTAAAAACATACTACGATTTACCGTGACAAAATAATAACAAAGGATATGCACACACAAAACCTCCACCGTGTCTTCATGTAAGAACAATGAATTGTAAACAGCCGTATCTACACAATGCGCTGAGCGGGCTTCACTTACTACGTATTTCTGCGGTGGCGTACTTTGGGATCATAGAGTCGGCGGTGAGCTCCGGATGGAGGATGCAGCCGTGTGTGTAAGCGTCCATAGGCAGCTCATCCAGTAGCCGACGGTACTGCTGCACCCGCTCGTGGAGGGGCGAATCTACATCGGGAACCAGCTGAGCCACCGTCTCTGTGGGGGGGGGGGGGGGGCGAGAGACGCATGGGGAAATATTAAATGAAGCTGTCACAGATCTCTGGAGATGACAAGCACAACGTAAAACATCTATAGCAATATTTATATTAGTATATTTTGGTATATTGTCATGAATTTCCCTGAACAGTTGGAGTTTCTAAGCAACAGTTACTACGCTTACTTTTACATCCCTCAAAGTCTCCCAGCGCGGCCACCTGGTAACAGAAGACATCTACACAATACGGAAGCAGTCTGAATAAAACCTCCGCAGACTGAAAAGAGCTTCTGCCTTCCGTTCTGGAGCTGCTTTGTCCAACGTATATGTTGTATATTTAAGTCATGTTACATGACATAAAAAGAGACAGATGTGAGAGTGCTAAAAATGTCCTCATCCAAATCTCGGCTATAAAAACCCTTCACATTTTTCTTTTATAAAAGGTGGTTCTCCAATATGATTTACTTCTCCTTAAAAAGATCGAGAGAACCAGCTTTTCTTTTCTGTCTCAATTCTACAGTGGTGACTTCATGCCGAATGGCCGTGAGGGATAGTGTTTGTCTTAGCGACCTGCTGCTGAGGGTCAGTATTAAGTTTAGCAGAACGGAGTGAGCTTTTATCTCCGCGCAGGGTCACAGCCAAGCAAACCCAGGGACGCCGTAGCCGACAGTTGGCCGCTTGAGGATGTGCAGGGTGATGGAGAAGCTTGGGTAAAGGGTGGAAGTGCACCGGGCAGAGTTCCAGAAAGCTGAGTAATCATTCCCAGGACCTGCAAGCTGAACTGGGCTTATCGTGCAGCAGCATCTTTGTCTGCTGCAGCACGGTGGCGGAAACATCACTAAGAGCCATCTGAAGAACAACGCGTTGTCTCGCTGACAGTGATGCACATTACGGAATATAAGAGCCACTGATTGCTTCTCCGTTAGTCAGCACACAGTTTCACACCATGTTGCTCGGCGCCAGCAGAAGAGTCTCTCTTTTCTGAGACATCTGCACTTTCCAGGGCACCTGCAGCTCGCGTTCATTAGGGATTTACGCATAGAGAAAAAGCATATATTTATGGAATTGTCCAGCATATGGGCTCTGTATTTTTTAACAGATGAACGAATACCCCTGCTGAAGTGTTACATAACACCTCATAGTTGTTGACTTCAAACTTGTTCCAAAAGAAATGAATGCAACAACCTGCGTGCGGCACACTATAAAAAGCTAAAAATGAATGTGTCTGAATGGGAACAAGACATCAAACACCAGGGTCGGTAACTGCCTCCAATTACGGAGCGAGCAGTGAACCAGATCCCTTCCAAGGCTTTCAAGCATCGCTGCTTCCAACGAGTCACCAGGAGGATAGTTGCTGGTCAACGTCACTCAGGTCTTTACTGGTTTGAGGCCTACTGAGAGCAGGATTCAGTGCCTGCATCATGAAGTTTGCTTACTTGTGTAACTGCTCAGGCGATGAATGGACCCTGTCACAATGCACAAATATTTGCACATCTTTACTTATTCATTTGTTGGCCTGAACTTATTAACAATCTCATTAATTCATATTGACGCAATTCGATCGTACCAGTTTCATCTGATCTAGTTAGAGGAGTTCACATGCAGGGACATTATGTCACAGCACAGGACACATTGACACACAGTGTGCAAGGACGACAGATGGTCAAGTATTGAAGGCTTTCAATTATATCTGCTGCTCCGGCTTCACAAACTGGGAGGATGCAGCTTGATACGATAACATGTGTGAGGTCTGATTTGTATTAAGATCATAAATTCACAATTCAAAGAAGGCATTTTTGTTTTTAGCTTTCTTCTTAGATCCGTGACTTTGTTCAAAAGCTTTCTATTTTAGACTTTTCTATATTTTCAGTGTATATTTTTAAGAAAGAAATCTTATAAAAGGGGTCTTGAGGATCTAACGCAGCCAAAGCTGCATGTGTTGCATCCCAAATACGCTTAGCTGTTGAGGAAAGATACCAATTGTCAGACATTGTTTCACTGCAGTGCAATGCTCTACATGCTGAAGCACGTGTGGAGAAACCCAAAGCTTGACAGATCCGCCATGACTTGTTGCACCAGAGCCACTTAGCAAGTTAATGCGTCGCAAAATAAATGTTCAGCGTGAAGAGAAACCCAACAACACACCCTACCTCCCACAAAGTTTTTCTCCATGTAATCTATAATCTGATTGTAGTCACTGATGATGGTTTCGCCGTGGAGGAGGACGGGCACCTCCTCGCCCAGGTTCAGCCTCATGAACCAAGGCTCCTTGTGCTCCTGCAGCGGCATGCTCACATCCCTCTCCTCGCACACCAGACCCTTCTCATTGATGACGAGACGCACCTGCAATCACAAACACAAGCAGGTCAGATGAGAAGGGCCACGCATACAAAAGAAATAAAACGAATCAAAAGGAAATGTGAATAGGTTTATGAAGTAATAGGCACAAGGTGATATTTTGACACTTTAAAGACGTAAATACAGGGGAAAAGACTGATTTTATGTGCTTTTATGTGAAGTAAAACAAAAGGAAAATGCTTAATGAATCTTGTTTTTTTGTTGTTGACAAGGAGTTATTACAATAATACCAAGGCAAGGTGGGGTAGTTAACATATTCAGCTTTTATTTCATAACACAACTTATCATGTTCATGTGGCGTATAATAAATAACCTTATCTGAAATGTTTGTGTGATCTGGCAAAATATTGAGATGATTTACAGCGTGCTAACGTTTCAGCAAAGACCTTCAGGGATGAAGGATAAGCCAAGGTCCATGGAGAGCTATCAGTGGCAATAAGATTAGTGAGAGGAGAAGACACTCGGGCTATAAGGCGCTGCATTGGGAAGAAACATGGCCAGACATGGTGTAATGAAATACTACTGAATGATCTACCAACCAAAGCACAGCAATTACAGCCCAACTGATGGTTCAGAAAGAAGGAGCCACTCTATGATTGCAGCTAGAAAGAAACACTTTTACATCTTTATCAGCAGAACTACAGACTTAAGCAAGGATTTCAATATAAAACTATGTTTAGGGTTCCAGTAATACACTGCTAGGTGAAGCCCACAACAACTTTTCTTTAACAGTTTGTTATATAATAATATTAGTCACCCTTTATGAATGATGCCACATAGTTCAGCTGCCAGGGAACTACAAAAAAAACATGTCTCACTTGACTTTGGCTGCACGCATGCAAGTCTTTACAGGGCTGTTGATCTATTGGTGAAGTGTCATCGTCACTTGCTCGGTGTCTCATTGGCAAAGTGTTAACTGTAGGTTGTTTTTTTAGAAAAAGAAAAAGGGTTTTCACGCAAGATAGACTAAATATAACACTGCCTTCCTGTGGGGGCTGTGGGGTTACTTTTACTTATCACGATGCAAGCACTTCTGTTGCGTTTAGGCCCAATTATTGACTTGAATGCTGGTGGAGTGGATTCAAAGTTGTACTCCAAAAATGCCATTCAAAGCATGTATCTGCTTGCACAACGACAAATATAACACGCCATTGTACAGCTACCAGGAAATCAGTATTGAAATTAAATGTTGTTTAGTAGTAGTTGATTAACTGACCAAGTGAGTAATGGACTTGGATCCTCTAAAACTGGAAGAGTGTATCCATGTGTACGAACGAGGCACAACGGAAGTCGATAATAATTAGACAAAGCACTAATTGTCATTTCATAACAACTGTTTTTAAAATCACATTCCAGCTGATAAGTATTGCACTTGCATCAATTTGGGAAACCAACAAGATGCAGGTGTTCAAAATCGTATGTCACCTTTAGACAAAAGGGTGGTAGTGTTGTTTTTTGCCTAATGTTGTGTCTTATTCAATACCTTTGTATCGTAGCAACCTTTACTAATAGCCAGAGTCACTGGGCCCGCTGGTTGAGGCACGCATGCAATCTGCAAGGCTACTACTGAAAAGAAATATCAATATCAATTAATCTAGGTAATCACAACTTCCAACGGGATGTTCTTCAACTGCTTCTTTTGTTAATCATGCCAAAACAGAAACATACATGATGAATAATTATGTGTGACAAAAAGAGAAGCTGCAATCACTTGTATAAAAGAAAACAAGATAATATTTGGCTTTTCAGAATTAAAAATGATTGGCAAAATAAAACAATCATAAGAATATAGTTCAATTTCTTTGAATTAAATTCAACTGGAGAGATTACGAAGGAAAAGTCTTAGGAATTATTTCAGAAGAGAGCGTTATCGTATGTTGTGAATAACAACATAAATACCTGTGCTGGTATCTGTGTTTTCTGCACTCGTAAAGTAAAATAAAAAAGGTTTTAGTTTTGTGGGGATCGGAGATCTCGACAATTTCTATTAGCGACTGCTTTAAAGGATGCCAGTTTGTCTCCAAATATGAAAAGGAAACCTTGAAAACCAGCGTAGTATTTTCATAAAGATCGAGAAAAATATCATGTTCTTAAAACTCCACACCACCAGATTGAAAGAATAACCCCTGTGATGCCGTATTGATGTCACCATGGTTTATTTCTCTGAGGAATTCTCACAGCTCCTCCTGAGCCGCAGAAGACACAATGATGTGTTTCCACAGGTTGCGTGCTGCTACATTTGACTCGTGAACTAACTGTATCAGATTGGTGGAGTTCCCCTTCGCTATACTTTACCCTATAGATTCATACTAGTTATGTATGTGAATGAATCGCTTTCAGAGCTTGACTTAGATTAAGATATGCTCATTTAATAGGAAAGGTACATGTTACTGTCTACTTAACCAATGAAAAGAAGCCCTTAGAAAAAAAAACATATGGTATGATTCAGCTGCAGAGGAGGGAAGATGGCCTTTGGTTGGTTTTGCACATAATTCCAATCAATTATTAAGGATGTCATGTGTCAAAGCACATAGGTTGTAACATCATTTACCAGCCATGGGGAGACTGAATAGCATCAACTGTTTCCAAAATGTGGCAGCTCAAATGGGAGAGGGGGGGGGATCCATACAGAGGTAAATAACCTGAATATTTGTCACCAATCCAGCTTTGTGTCGAGGAAACGAGCCCCATGCTGCAGCACAATGCTGAACGTCTCCAACGGGAGACCTGCCCCGCTGCATGACCGTATTCATATTCCGGGGCAATACGTGCAAGAATAAACATGCACGGAACAAAACGTGTTTTAATCATAATAAACCCACAAGGGTTCCGTGCTGTAGCATCATGCAAAGGGACGTGGGACTCCCTCCATTTTCAAGCCCTGCGATTTTTTTTACCTTTTGGGAGGTGAAAGACTGCGTCCAGTGGTACAAAACGAGCCTGTCTTTATTGAAGGGTCTGGGTTCTGCCGTCGGTTCTTCACACTCCTCCCCGTCTGTGATTTTGCCGTCTTCGTCCATGGCGGAGATGGGCCACCAGCTACAGTTGGTGGGGGTAACATTGTTGGAAGACGCCATGACAGAGCGTTTTGTGCGTGTGGAGGAGAGGAGCGAGGAGGGAGAGAACAGTAGAGGGGGAGAGAGAGAGAGAGAGAGAGAGAGAGAGAGAGAGAGAGAGAGATTCAGCTCAGCAGCATCCGTCAAGTCACGGACAGCTCCGGGTGCTGAAATCGGCTTCAACGACTGAAAACAAATTCTTTATTTATTTTTTAATCACGCATAACCCATAAGTAAACTGCTCCTTCCTCGAGCATGCTGCTGCACTTTTGATTCAATCGTATGTGCAAGCGTGGCCCCGTTACGTCACACGATGGGCCACGCACAAACATGCGCGGTGAAACCCGCGGAGGAAGCGTTTTGTCCACAGGAAGGTCACGCGGCTCTATGTAAGGACGTGGAGGATGTAGTGTGTGCAGGGTCAATGGCTACAGTCAGTTAATAAAATGAAATAGACCTACAGGTGCAAATGGAAAAAGAACAATTACAATTAAAAATGGAAATTCAGATTACTGGACAACAATTGATACCCTTCAGCTAAATAAACAATTTAAGTCCCTTTTGTTTTCGAATCACCTCATATCGGAAAATAAATATGAACAACTGTAATTAAATATTAAAGTTTTTTTTTACTTGAACTCGTGTAAAATTTTCTATAACCTGTGATGGTTATAATTGAGTAAATTTGAGAAAGGTTTGACACAGTTTACAGACATTTGTTGAGTACTTTATATTTAACTAATAATGTTTTGGCACAAGTAGGATTTTGACTCGTTTTACTTGGCATAGATTGTCGTTGCATTGTCGTTGCATTAATCTACATGTATTTTTAATTTATTAAGAGATTTGAATATTTCTTCTTCCGTTAGTATTCAAAAACTTAAATATCTATGATGCAGTTACCGATATTTGCCAGCAGGAGGAGTGAAGCTAATGAAGTAGACACACTGCATGATTTGTCCCATAGTAACAAAATCATTGCCACTCTTTGTCAATTAAATTAGGGTGCAATTATAAAAAGCAAAAAGCAGAAAGTGCAGAATATTGTCATTTGACAAAACATTTATACATTTGATTAAGGAAAAATCCATTGAAAGAAAAAACATCATATTGAACAATGGCCCATCCGTTAAAGCAGAGAAACATCAATGAGAATTCCAGAGATGTATCCGATATCTTTTATTAGGCATAGCCTTTTGTTACCTCGTTACTGCATTAACTGCAGGGGGGAAACTTATGGAGGGCAGAGGACTCAGTGGCATGTACTTCAGCCCCGAGGTGGCAAGACTCTGGCATGGCTCCTTGCAGGCAGCAGCATAAGGATTGGGTCGTATTTTTGGAAGGGTGTGTGTGTGTGGATTGGTCGCCTTGTTGGGTCTGCTGAAATATTTCCAACGGCAGCGACTGTCAAGAGATAGCTGGGCGGCAGGGACGGGGGGGGAAGGGGGCTTTTCACCGTGGCCACCTGGAAAAAGCCACGTAAGATCGGTGGCTCGTATAGACATGAGTAATTCGAGGTAATAGCCCGGTCATTCAAAGAAGAAAAGGGGAGATTAATGAGTGAATTTGACGAATCTAAGAAGAGGACACTCCAGTTCAAGAGGACAAAATTAAAGTTGCGTGCAAGGGCGAAGACGCACCCCGGGGGGGCTTCATGGACACGCGCAGAAACACCCAGAACAACTCCCCTAAAAGAAACCCCCAAGAGTTCAGCAACCAGGATACCTTCAACCGGCTTTGATGTCCGGTGAAAGTGAAGTCAGCCCGCGGGAGGTTTTATCTTTAGCCACGTAACGGACCCAAACCCAACTTTCCGATCGGGGACTAGTTAGACCGCGGTGAGGCATGAGCGGAGGTCGCTTCGAGTTCGACGACGGCGGAGCTTATTGCGGAGGCTGGGAGGGGGGCAAAGCCCACGGCCATGGCATCTGCACCGGACCCAAGGGCCAGGGCGAGTTCTCGGGCTCCTGGAACTACGGCTTCGAGGTGGTGGGGGTCTACACGTGGCCCAGCGGGAACACTTACGAGGGGTACTGGTCGCAGGGGAAGCGTCACGGCCTGGGAGCAGAAACCAAAGGACACTGGATTTACAGAGGGGAATGGACTCATGGCTTCAAGGGGAGATACGGCATCCGGATCAGTGTTGGCAGCGGAGCGAAGTATGAGGGAACGTGGAATAACGGGCTGCAGGATGGATACGGAACAGAGACATATGCGGATGGAGGTGAGGTGGATCTAAGTTTAGACTTTTGACTTCTTTTCAATGCAAAAAATTATTACTTGAAATTGTGAAAGTAAGAAATACTTATTTTACTACCAGTTAAATATTAGTTATATTCTTCTGAAATGTTATGTGCAAGTATAAATTTGTCAAGTAAACTTTAGGTAGATAATATTGTTCTTTTAAATACAGCACTCAAATAAGTGTGGGCTACTGGAGCTGGTTTCTGTGATAACACAGTGATGGAAGGTGAATTCAGTAGTAAAGTTGTGCATTGAAATGAGGAGCACATTTAAACTTTCAATCAAAAGGCTTATCTACAAAGAAAAAAAAAATATATATATATATTTGTATTTAATGGTCATTTGTTTCATTTTAACTGCTTTAAATACGTCTGGGTATGTGAGGGAATTTCCCTCTGTTTTATGATTGTATTTCGGTTGGCAAGTTCATGTGGGAGGAAAAAGTCCAGTAATCGCAATATAAGAATTTCAGGCGAACCTCAAAATATTAATGCAGTGCAGCACTTGATTAAATTCCACCGCGGAAGGCATGAGAACAAAATAGTACAACATTAAGACTAAAACCCCCCGAGCCAAGTGTGGCCATAATGGCCATTAAACAAAGCTCATTGCAGGAGACATGTAGACAAATCACTAAAAGGGCGGACCAGTGATCCCCATGGACGTTTGCGGTGTCCCCAGATGTGTTTAACCAGAAGAAAATATAAATCTGCTGCCGTCAGTGAAGAGGTGCTATTACTATTGGTTGTTTTTGTGTAAAACCTTGATCTTTAATAACCAAAGCTATATAAAAGCCTATAAATGTAATGAGTAGAGTAAAACATAAAGTAGCATGAAATGCTAACAAGTAAAATACAAGAAGAATGAAGTCCTTCAGTAAATTAAAAAAATGAACTTCTTTACTTTCGACCAACTTTTAGTCCCTGGAAGCTTTTTGTGCATGCATATTCCCCTGCTGATCCTCTTGAATGTGTGGAGGAAACCAAACCGTTTAGAAAGATTCAATTGATTAGTTTGATCTCTGCTTGTACATCAGCGGTGGTTCCTCTCTTCAGCAGCTGACTCATCAGCTTTAAAGCCCAGTCTGGTGGAAGTTGCAGTGGGGGATGTGATAGCATCAGATGTCAGAATGTAATTATAGCCCACAACCCCAATGCCCTCCTGGCCTCACGGGCTGAGACGTAGCTGTCACTATGAGCCACACTTATGTCAATTTTAGCATGAGACCAGACCTCAAGATTGTCAGTGAGGGCATTAATGAACATTTCTCACTAAAGACATCCATGACATTCAGGCAGAAAAACAAGTGAAGGCAGTTTTACATAGTAACTATTTTCGCTCCACGCCATGTTTTGAAGTCAACATGTTAGTTTTAGCTAGTAATAAAAAGGGGGTGGACATGAAAGTGGTTTATGAGGACGGTGCTAGATGCAAAGTCAAGAAACTACCAAAAACAGTGGAATTTATTTTCTAGAAACCCCAAACGTCTGTTCAAAACGTAATGCTGATTTATACAGACGTGTTGTATTTCACAATTTAAGCGAAACGCTTGACCTCCTGTTGGCACAGAAGTCAGGCGACTGCCAGAGTTTGATAGGACCTGTGGACTGAGTAAATGTTTGTACCGAATTTCATTGCAATCCATCTGAAAGTTGAGATAGTTTAGTCCACACAGTACTGGACCACAGTACTACGAACTAACCATCTAGAGCTACGCTACCAGCATGGCTACGAGGCGGCTTCTGATGTGTGCTTGTGATGTGTCCAGGTACTTTCCAGGGTCAGTTCACAGGCGGCATGCGGCACGGCTACGGGGTCCGGCAGAGCGTACCCTACGGCATGGCGGCAGTTGTCCGCTCCCCTCTTCGGACCTCCCTGACCTCACTTCGCAGCGAGCACAGCAACGGCACCGTCTTGCAGCAAGACATCCCCGTCATCACCACCACCAACGCCTCAGGTGAGGAGACACCCGTCGCCACCCCGACCCACCTGGGACCGTCCCGCGGAGGCTTCGCCCTGACTCTTCAGGTGGACCCGGAGGCTGTGAAGCCTAAGAAGAAGGGCTTGTTTCGCAGGGGCTCCCTTTTGGGTAAGCTGAAGAAGTCTGACTCAAGCACCTCGCTGTCCAGCCAGAAGAGCAAGATCAGCTTCCTCAGGACGGAATCGGCCCTCAGCTCCAATGCCAGCGACACACACTCCACCATCAGCATCGGGGACGAAAGCTTCGCCGGAGCCGAGGACTTCCCCCCGGTGGAGGCCGACATCGACGCCACCACCACAGAGGTTTACATGGGAGAGTGGAAGAACGACAAGCGCTCAGGGTACGGAATAAGCGAACGGTCCAGCGGGCTGAAGTACGAGGGCGAGTGGCTGAACAACCAGAGACACGGCTACGGCTGCACCACCTTCGCCGAGGGGGGGAAGGAGGAGGGAAAGTACATGAACAACCTGCTGGTGAAGGCCATGAAGAAGAGGGTGATCCAGCTGAAGGGAACCAAGATCAAACAGAAGGTGGAGCGCGCGGTGGAGGGCGCTCAAAGGGCCGCAGCCATCGGCAAGCTGAAGGCAGAGATCGCTGCCTCCAGGTAAGAGCAGATGAGTGGAGACGTGATTCTCCTCGTTCGTCTTGTTTGCATGGGACGTATTTATAAAAACTAACAGGCTTGAGTTTTCTCTAGTCGTTGTTTGTATCACTCAAGTAATATTGCCCCAACAACACTTTCCCGCCTTTGTGAGCATAGCAGCAGCTGCTCTGCTGGGCTGTGGTGGATGAAGCTGTGGCCGTGGTTGTTGCCCGGACTGCGGCTGCTGCAGTGCTGGTAGAAAGACAACTACGACATCATCCGATTGCCACGGTCGTCATCTTAACCCCCAGTCCGTCTCGGTCGGCCTTGTGTGTGAATACTATATTGAAAATACATCTCATCCGTCGTCAATGAATCAGAGGGAAGAAAAAACAAGGAAACCAAAAAGTACATTTCTTTGCGTACAGAATATTTTATTTTTTATTTTTAGCGCAATGGTTGGAAGGGACTTTAAGGATTCTGACCTGTCCAGTGATTGCAGACAGGGACAGTTTGATCATTTACTTCCGAAGGACAACAGCATGGCAACTGAGACAATCTGGCAGGGGAGGACTGGAAATGGGCCAGTTATACACTGCAGACAAACAAGAGAAGCGTGTAACATGTGATGGTGGTGGGAGGTAAAACTCTCCTGTCTGTTGAATATGAAGCTAAAACCAACAACTGGAACCAGCCAGGCGGTCCAAAGGTAACACTTTGCAGTCTCGCGAGCTGGTAGATATTATTGCTCATATGTGTAGCTTCAGTTTGCCCGTGACCGTACAAGGCGGTGAGGCTTTTGTCCGCAGTCGTCTCCAACACCTGATGTAAGCTCAGTGTTTGTGGCAGATGGAGACTCGCTCTGATGGACTGCAGACCTCCGTCCCAGCAGATTGAAATCTAAATATTGTACTGCTCGGCATAAGCAGTATAGAAGAACGATTGGTTGGTCTTCGCTGCAGCTCACTTACAACACATGAACCGGCGCCTGTGCAGAGCTGAGACTGGAAGCTGAGTATTTACGTAGGACTGCATTCAGGAACACCTCGGTGACATTTACAAACCAAACACCACCTAATAGCAAATACAGTGTATCCTCATTATGTTCAACTACTACAAAAACTACTAGAAGAACAGAGACGGGAGTACTTTCAATTTCGTGTAACTTTGACTTCCATTGTAATCTACTTTATGCTTTTCTGTTACATTTCACAAGGATACGTTGTACTTTTCCAGTCCACAGCTAGAGGTTCTACTTTTCAGATTAATCTTTTAGATACAAACGTTCGGCAAAGTTTCTAAAAATAAAATGCATTATTTTATTTAAACTAGTGGTTCTCAAGCTTTTTTTTTGCATCATATCATGTTTGTCAGATTTTTTGCAGTTCTGCCAGAGAAACATCCATCCATTTTCACTTGCAATGGAGTATTTTTACATAATCTTCTATAAGTAACTGATTTGTATACTTTTGACACCATACAAACTCAACGGCAGAGTGTTCTTGCATGTTGAACAGGAATCTGTTTATTATACAAGCCCTGGAGACGTGACACATCTGTTCCTGGCAGTGGCTTCCTCACTCCACGATTCCTTTGGCACTGAAGTCAACAGTTAAAAATACATGTACAACCTGTGCACAGCACGGGATGCCGGAGCTGGGCCTCTTCAAGTCTAGTTAGCTGAGCGTTCACCGGCCCCCAGACACTCTGTGGACACTGTCCTGTTGCGTAGGCTGGCTGAAGGAGGACCTGCGCGGTAGGAAAAAGGGTGTAAATGACGCACACACACAGACACACACACACAGGGACCCTGTGGTCACAGAGGAGCCCTGACTAAATATGGGCAGGCGCATTCTTGCTGTATCACAATCGCAGGGGAATGCAACAGCTGATTATCTCCCGCCCGACCCCCCACCCACCACCACCACCACCTCCAAACCCCATCTTTCCTGCCTAGTCACAGACACACACCCAGACTGTTTTCATAGGCTGAATCATAGCAGGCTTTGTGTCCGACTGCATGCCCATTAACTATTACTTTACTTCACTCCCGCCCGGTTGAAACAAGGCCAATGCTTGTTTAAATGGCGCACGGCTCGGCCTGAAACGCCCGTCTGCTTACTGATTCACTTTCCATCACCCGCTGCACGCTTTAGCGCCACTGCTCGCCGTTAACAGTTTGAGATCATAGATCTCGGCCCGTCTTGCGTCAGCAACGGTGTCGAGTGGTTCCACGGATATAAATATGACACAGCTCATAGGCAAGTGCTTGGGTATAAAGGGTTATATGTGTACCACACCTAGCTTTAGTGTTGCAGCTTCTATTACACACTGTACTGCTGATACAAGCATTCTGCGTGCAACATTTGTAAATGGAGTTCAGTTCTAAGCTCAGGACTATTGAGGATACTTTTGTAGCTACTCCAGAGATTCGAAGTAATTGAGTACATTTTCCTCAAGGTAGTACAAATGAAGGTATTCTTTTATACCATTTATGGACTGAACTGAACTAGTTAAGAGCCATTTATAGTGTTGGTTTCTAGTTAACGATCCAGATTGATAACATAAGATATAATCACCAAATAGACTATGATTCATGTGACTTTGGTGCAATTGGTTATAATGTTTTTGGCAATGTGGTATTAATGGTTTTACTGAAGTCATTTTCTACTCCACAAATATTCCTTATGTGACCTCCATGCAATGTGGGAATAATGAGTTTTCAATTAGTTCTATCCAAGCAACTATCCCTTTCAATTTTGACATAGTGATTTTATTATAGTAAGAAGCATTAAGTCGTCTTTTTATAGACATTAAATCCACCTTTCTCACGCACACAACACTCACACAGTTAAAAGGGGCCCGCCACAAAGATAAAGTGACACATGCCAGAATGCCAGAATATCTCTTGCAATCAGCACTGCAGCATGACAAAAACAAATGGTGACAAAATAGCAGAACAGAAGTACCTATTTACAGAACCACTCCAACATTCATGGCTTTGGCTGTTTCTTCCTACAGCTGACGTCTCATCAATCCTCAGAGTATAACAAGCGTCTTCTTAAGGCCTTAGGAGCATAACGGGTATTCAGGTCACAGTGTCAAATGTCTTGTCTGGTTGCAGAGAAGCACTGAAGGACCAGCAGTTATCAAAGTGTAAGGGCTGTCTAGTTTCTGACCTGAATCCCTTTGTTCTATTGTAGGAGGAAAGTGTGCAAATTTGACAGATATTTCCAGAGGTGCTTCCTCCTCCCGCTCCTGAATAATATAAATAAGAGAAAGAGAGCATGTGACTAAACTAAAAGACATAAATAACACAAGTTACATCTACAGCCTCAGCTGGTTCTTGTTTGATATTTGAATCACGAGACAACATACCAATTTCTATCATCTTTCATGGGGACTGAAAGCTACATTTCTTAATAAAAATACCTGAATCCTAAAAAAAAGTTTGTAATTCATTTGATTTTATCTTGGTTTTAGGCAGGGTTTTTTTTGACAGTATCCTGCAAATACAAAGCAATGCAATATTTGGTTTAACATTTGTTTTCAATAAGTGACGTTTAAGCAGGCATGGCAGTTAATACAGTGACTGAGTGATAAACCAGAGCATGTGCATGAAAAAAATCAACAGCTGAAGAACCTAATTTATGTTCAGTAGGGAATCCTCAGTCAAAACAATCCCCATATTAGCTCTGCAACCTGCGATGCTCTTGGCAGCCATGCTTACCACTTTTAGCAACTATGACCAAGAGTGGAGACATATTATTAGACTGCTTACCGTTACAAATATAAGGACAAAACATTCGGGCTGGTAATCCGGACTGGTGGCACTGGTTGTTTTTCAAATAATGCAGCATCTTGAAAACTAGAGTTTTATTGGTTATTTTAGGGTTAAATCTGTTTTACTTTGCAGTGCAGGCGTGACCTCTTTCTTCACTCCCAAGGATGTGTGACGGTTAGCAGTACTCAAGTCTGGGGTTTCTCCTGCACATTTATGGTGCTGAGAGTTGTGCTGGTCGGACACAAACGCACACACGGACACACACAGACAACAGTGCATTGATAGAAACACTGTTAGGGTTGAGAGAGGTGGTGGAGTAGCTTCCAGTTAAGTGGTTATGGAGGCCACGGTGCTCTTGTGAACTTTCAATGCAGCAGATGTTGTCTGCTAAAGTCTGCAGACAATTCCTTCAACCTCATGACGATTCCGCTGTCAGACCTTAATAGACTTTCCAATTCCTCCCCGATCAGGTCAATTTAGCACAGGTCGACTCCAATCAAGATGTAAAAACATCTCAAGGAGGACTAAGAGAAATGGGGGAATCTGGGAAATGTAATATACATGCATGCATATGTTTTAATTGAGCAACGGTAGCTGTCAGGTAAATGTAGTAAATTAGCAATTATACTATTTGCCTGCAAAATGTAGTCGAGTGGATAAATAATCATTTACAATTTAAATACTTTGAGTTAATCTTTGTCCAAAAACTTTTTTAAAACCCTTCAATGAGACTCACTGCTTGTTTCTATGAAGCAGCCGTTGTAATTATAAATCCATGTTGCTGAAGGATTAAACCTATGATATTTGGGGTGTATTTGCTCCTGGGAGAGGACAGACAGTGTCTGTGGACAGGTGGAGCTCATCCAGTTCAAACGGGGAGCCTCAGGAGTCTCTAATTGTTCCAGTGGGAAGCACCTTCCCCACTGAGTCTTCACGTCGACCAGGGATCTATTTTCAGCACAGTGTAAAGTTACAGCATGTCAAGTATCCCCAGAGTAATCACAATCAGTAATTATCCCGGTTAATGAGCAGCAGGAACCTTTTAGCTCAGGCTTTCTGCCACACTAGCGATCTTTCGGTGGTTCATTTAGCTCCAGACTGAAATATCCCAACAACTACTAGACGGGCGGCCATGACATTTGATTCTGACGTTCATGTTTCCAAGTAGATGAAGTTTACTGACTTTTGTGATTCCCTAACTTTTCATCTACTGCCACCTGCAGGTCAAATGTTTTCAGTTATCCCGTTCCACAAAGTTTTGGGATGGATTGGCATATAATTGTTCCCCTCGGTATGAAATGTGGTAACGTTGATGATCGCTCATCTAGAAGCATCTTATTTCCATCACAGCGCAACAGCCGAAAAGGACATCTCCTCTCTCAATAGCTAATAATAATAATGACGCACGTGACAAACAGCCACCCGACCCCGATCAAATACTATAAACAGTCACACACACTGGGGTATTTTTGGTACCAAAAGTCTCAACTTTGAAAGGTCAAGATCAAGGTCAGCATGCATTAAAAGCACATGAAGACATAACGACATGTCATGTAACATACTTGAGAACATGCAGGATGGAAGTAAAAAAAGAGGTTTAATAATTCCTAATATCCATAGTATTGAATTCTTGAAATTGAAAAACTACGATATCAATCAATCTCCATTCAATCAAGAATTGTTCTTTGTCACACAGTATATAACAATTATTTCAATCATTGATTAATCTGTAGATTGTTTATTACGACTAGCCAATCAATAGATCTATTGGGTCTATGGAATATCATAATACCACAAGGAACCGAAGGAACTGTCTGCTAATTTTTTTTTTCAGTCAAAAAACGAAATGTAATCACTAGAGCACATATGTAAAAACAAATAGAGGATCCTCACACCAGGGATATTTATGAATTGTGTTGCATCTGTTCCTCTGCAGGACGACCCATTCAAAGGGCAAGTCAGATGCGGCTGACCAGGCCGCCCAGGCTGCCAACAGCGAGTCCAGCATCGCCCGACTGGTAGCCAAAGAGCTGTCCCCTTCCTTCTACCAGCCAGGTCAGTGCACGACAGGCAATCTGCAACATGGACACAAACATGAAAAGTATAGCTACTTTAGTAAAAGCGTAATACAGTTGGATTTGTTATTTTCACTTGAAATTGGATGCCGTCATTTTTAATTTTTAGTTAGTTTATTTTTTATTTTTTATTTTTTTAGGAGGCTCATTTAGCTTCTTTCCCAAATGACACAAATGACACGCAACAGACAAAATATTCAAATAGATTTTTTAAGTCAATACAGATCCGACACATACCAATATTTTGATGAACCAGGGCAGAGATAGTAGGACATTAATATTACAATAAAGTAGCATCACTTACTGAAGAAAACATCAAACTTAACTGATTACTGTTGATGCAAAGTGGTGCAATGCAACTAAATACACTCAAGTACTGAACTTTTACTGTTATTTTTACCCTACGTTTGATCATTTTCACTTGACTCCATTAACACTCATTCAATAATCATCAAAAATTGTAATACAGTATATTCTGAACTTTCTGCATGATTGCTACCTTTATTTGTTGACATTCAAGCATATTTTGCTGCTAATAGCAGGACTTACTTTTGTATTGGAGTATTTCTACAGAGTGCTTTTGCTACGTTTTACTCATAAGTAAATAGTATAGTATCTAGTGTGTCCCCGTGCAAACCTCCAGCTAGAGAGCAGCATGCATTGTTAGAATGTGCACCATATGCTTTATTTGTAGCAGGCAAAGGATACAATAGCTTCCTATTGAAGATAAATCTGGTTAATCTTTTCCACCAACCTTCCATTGACCCTCTACGATGATAAAATCACTGTACTGGTTGAACTGATCTCACGCAGGTCCTGAGTATCTGAAGAAGAGAGTGTTAGTGGAGGCCATAGAGGGAAGTGAGACCACAGAGACTGTCATGCATGAGCCGCTGTTAGCCGAAGAGGAGCCCCTGCCCACGCCACCCGAAAGCCCACTCATGAATGAACTGGACAGCCTCATGGCTGGCTCATCCCCAGGCCGCACCCCCTCCCCCAGCCCGGGCATAACCACCAAGGAAGACTCCAGACTCCTCAGTCCAGGGAGCTGGAACGAAGACAAAACCATTACGGCTGCTGGCAGTAAGGGAAGCAGTAGAGCCAACAGCCGGCCCAGTAGTCGCCCCACTACCCCGTCGACCTCCGTTTCTGCTCCCGCCCCCCCTGCGCCTGGAGTGGCAGGTGGGCCCCTTCGCCCCACGCCCAGCCGTCAGAGCAGCAAGAACGAGCAGGGCTCGGACCTGGAGATAAAGCCCCTGCAGAAGTTTGACTCAGAGGTCAAAGGTCTAGATTCCACTGCAGACCCGGCTGCCCCTGTAAGGAATAGCCTCATCTGTCCAGATGAAGAAGAAGCACCTCGCCACAGCTCCAGAGTGTCCTCCAAAGCTGCGACCCCCGAGCCCAAAACGTCCGAGGGCGAAACGGAAAGAGCGCCATCGGTCCACGAACGAGCACCGTCCGTGTCTGAGAACAAAGTGGAGTCCAGGGAGGTGAGCAGGACGTCCAGCAGAGCGGAGACAAAGCCCTTGCCCAAGCGCCAACCCAGCCCGACGCTGTTCCCAAAACCCGCACCAAGTCTTGAACCTAAACCGGTACCAAAGCAAGTGGAGGCCAAAGCTCCTGTTGCCAAACAAACCCCGAAGGTAGAGCCCAAAGCAGAAGGCAGGCTGAAGGCCATCGGGTCGAGCCCAAGGGACGAGGAGTCTCTGGAGCTTGAGGTAAGAGAGTAAACACATTGACCCGTTATTAGTTATTTCAAGGGGCGACTGATCTCCCAAAATGCAGAATGCTTTTTAAGGAGGAATCATCATTAATTCTACAGATTTATAAGATCTGGAACAGAGATCACTAACCTCGTCTCTCGTACACTTCTTTTCTTTGAAAGGGCCCGAACACCATAATGATCTGCATGGTCATCCTGCTCAACATTGGCCTGGCCATCCTCTTCGTACACATTTTGTCATGAGGCAACTGTCAATGGACCTCAGGTAATGAATGGAGAGGATGTCAGAACCTGTTGGAAAACGATCATTTCAGACTAATTGTTTTTGCTGCTGCAGGTCACAAGCAGGCCGTGCCTCCTGCTCCTCAGACCGGACCAGAGGTCAAAGACGAAGAAGCCTCACGCAGACTACCGCAGCTCCTCCAAACGTTTCTGTTGGTGTGACTGTGAGGCTCTGTGAAGCTCCTCTGATCGCAGGGGTTCAACAAAAGACTGAAGAAGATTCGGTACATCTGAATGCGATGATGTTTGTGTGTTCAAGTCGGGGTTGGATGGTGGAGCACGTCCTCAGCCGAGCTTACACAGGAGAAGCAGCGCTCAAGGCGTCTCCTTTCGACGTTGTCAGTGTCAACAATAAAAAAGCTTTCAAGTCCTCCTAAATTGGCTCACACTGGCTGATTGGAGAATCATTAGGTAATTATACTTTGTCGCGAGCTACGTGGGTGTGATGTGTGTTTACGTCACATGCAGACTGAATATTCTCTCCACTATCCTTTTCACTTAATTGCTGAGTTTAACTGCAGCAGAAATTTAGAAGTAATAGCTAACTTTTTTTTTTTAAAAGCATACATTTTCAATATGCGGTCAACAAGCTAAAGGAGATTAATTAAGGAGCGTAAAATGTGTCTCCGGTGTGTTGAAATACTTCAATCCGTACATCGCTAATGTACAGTTTTTTGTTTTGAATCTTGCGCTTCAGTCTCTGCATCTAGTTACATTTCGGATAATTGCATTTGAGACAGTGGTGTACTGCAGTGTGAAGTTTTCTATTTTCACTGGGATTTACATGCATTTACTGTCATTCTGCTGCTTTGATTTGAGAGCTGAATCAAATAGAAAAGGCAAAGAAGAAGCTTATAAGTGTTACTGTGGTGTTTCTCGCGCAGCGCTGCTCAGCACCCAGGTGGTTTTAAATGAGAGGTGTGTACGTTTTGCAACAGATTGAGCAAGCAGAAGATTGACGGCTGGGATGCATCTTATTTAAAACAATCACTCCGCATTGGTGAGGTTTCTGAATCTATATAGATTTACGTAAGTGCATCAGCGGGAGGCGGGTTTGGATGTTTTAGCCTGTGAGCTTTTCGTGGTTAAATGTATATTTCAGAGTAGGAAAGTGTCCACCTGGCTCCATGCTGCATTATATTTAGAGCCGGCTACGCCTCAGTGCTAAATCAAGACTTTAATCAATACAACTTTTGTATGCATGAGAATATGAGGGCACTTTGTGTGTATCTGTCAGTGTTTTTGTATCGTTTTGAAGTGCAAATCTTTTCAACAAACTATTGTCAGAGGAAAATATGCAACCCTATATGTATTTATTTCCCAAAGTCAGATAAACCTGAAGTAGTGAAATGGAGAAAAAAAAAAAAAAAAGAAGTTCTTAACTCCATGTCTTACATTGAGAAGAGCACTCCATGGGTGCCGTTTTGTCGTTCTCCCTTACAGCAGCGTAATACGTTGCTTTATAAAAAGGAAAAGTGGTTAGTTGAAATTTGATGGTTCTGCATTGTTTATGGAAAAAAGGGAAACTGTAAAATGATTGAGGGAAGTAAAAAACGCTGTTGGCAAAAAATAAATAGCATTAACGTAAGACAATTAAAAGTGCAATACAACTGTACTCGAATAGATCAGTGTAACAAGGCCGTTTGGTTTCATCGGTCTAAGAGCAAATGACGTTGCTGAATTTGAATGAATTTGCAGTCAAACTTGGTCAAAATAGCCAAATAAAAAAAACATTTGTGAATGTGTTCTTTTCCATTATACCAACTGCAAAAAAATGTTAAAAATGAATTTGTTGTTGCTATGAGAAATAAGTTTTAAAAACTAAAACAATTACCGTCTGGCAGCTAGCTGGGGCAACCTTGTGCTGTAGTAAATACCAGCCCTAGTTTGTTTTGTTGACCCCAGACTTAGGTCATTAGTTTAATTTCCTAAGAACTTCAAGTTTCAGTATTTTGCTGTTGACCGAAGTGACAAAAACGAGAAAGATCTGGTTAAAACCATAGAAATCAGTCACCACCAAATAGGTGTAACCTATTGATAAATTACTTATTTTCGGACTAAATAGTGTATTAAAGACAAAACATTTTTTCCACGTGAAGAGTCTTTATTTTCTTTACAGTAAAATGCAACAGATTACGGCTCAGTAGCAGAATGCATGTTTAATATTCCTCTCCCTCTTCCTCTCCCTCACCGTCAATAGAGTCAGCTCCGACCTCCTCATAATCCTTCTCCAGAGCTGCCATGTCCTCTCTGGCCTCTGAGAACTCTCCCTCCTCCATTCCCTCCCCCACGTACCAGTGAACAAAGGCCCGCTTGGCGTACATCAGGTCAAACTTGTGGTCAAGCCGAGCCCAGGCCTCTGCAATAGCAGTGGTGTTGCTCAGCATGCACACAGCCCTCTGGACCTTGGCCAGATCTCCACCAGGAACTACAGTGGGAGGCTGGTAGTTGATGCCCACCTTGAAACCAGTGGGGCACCAGTCCACAAACTGGATGGAGCGCTTGGTTTTGATGGTGGCAATGGCAGCATTCACATCTTTGGGAACCACGTCACCACGATACAAAAGGCAGCAGGCCATGTATTTGCCGTGGCGAGGGTCACATTTTACCAATTGATTCGCTGGCTCAAAGCAGGCATTTGTAATTTCGGACACCGTTAGCTGCTCGTGGTAAGCCTTCTCAGCAGAGATGACAGGGGCATAGGTGGCCAGAGGGAAGTGGATACGGGGATATGGTACCAAGTTGGTCTGGAACTCTGTCAGATCAACATTGAGGGCACCATCAAAGCGAAGAGAAGCAGTGATGGAGGACACGATCTGACTGATCAACCTGTTCAGGTTGGTGTAGGAGGGACGCTCGATATCGAGGTTCCTACGACAGATATCGTAGATGGCCTCGTTATCGACCATGAAGGCACAGTCAGAGTGCTCCAGGGTGGTGTGGGTGGTCAGGATGGCGTTGTAGGGCTCCACCACAGCGGTGGACACCTGGGGAGCTGGGTAGATGGAGAACTCCAGCTTGGACTTCTTGCCGTAGTCGACAGAGAGACGCTCCATCAGCAGAGAGGTGAAGCCGGAGCCGGTGCCGCCTCCGAAGCTGTGGAACACCAGGAAGCCCTGAAGGCCGGTGCACTGGTCCGACTGTGGGAGGAGAGGGAGAGACGGCGATCACACAGGAGACATAGTAATGTGATTTAACTTGAATACAAGAATGCATCCTCAGATATCATGTTACCCACCAGCTTGCGGATCCTGTCCAGCACAATGTCGATGATCTCTTTGCCGATGGTGTAGTGTCCACGGGCATAATTGTTGGCAGCGTCCTCCTTACCAGTGATCAGCTGCTCAGGGTGGAACAGCTGGCGGTAAGTCCCACTGCGCACCTCATCTGAAGAGACAAAATGACTGAATTAGGTGTTGTTTCCCTTTTAAGTGGCCTAAGTTCATTTTCAGCCAGACGTGATGACACTTACCGATGACGGTGGGCTCCAGGTCCACAAAAACAGCTCTCGGGACGTGCTTTCCAGCTCCGGTCTCACTGAAGAAGGTGTTGAAGGAGTCGTCTCCTCCTCCGATGGTTTTGTCACTGGGCATCTGTCCGTCCGGCTGGATCCCATGTTCCAGGCAGTAAAGCTCCCAGCAGGCGTTGCCAATCTGGACACCGGCCTGACCGACGTGGATGGAGATACACTCGCGCTGCGGAGAGAATAAAATATGTTTTTTAAAAGGAACTACAATTAATTAAGAACACAGCTTGCAAAAAACTGCTCTTAGATAAAATATTTTTGAGAAGGATTAAGGGCTGTTTTGTTTAAAAAAAAAAAAAAACAGATTATCAATGCTAGAGTCACCTGATGGCATTGGCACTCAATAAAAAAAAGATTCTTTCTAAAGAAACGATTAAAGGAACCAGAGACCATTTTGAACATTTTCACCGTCATCATTTTGTGGTGAATATCTTCAAACACAGCTGTAGTTACTGAGATCATTGCAAAAGCAGTTGGCTCTCACGGCATTTTGTGACTAAACATAAAAGACTTCAGAGTGAATAGGGTTGGTTTGAAAGGCCTGTGGTTGCAAATACATAAAAGGCCTGAAGAGGACTGATGTTTCAGGCTGAAAGACCGTTGAGCACCACTAACCGGGTCAATGTACAGACATGAAAGCAGGAAACTGGCACCATTTTGATGCGGGCCGAGCCCTTCTAAAAAATTACACGAAATGTAACGCCTATTTAAGACTTCGTTTGGTTGTCGCAATACATACAATAATATATAAAGTTACTACCTTAACGTTGATAACTGGTTAGGCAAGGTTGCCACGTGATGACAAACTTCCACAGCGTTACGTTAACTTTAAGTTAAATAAAAAAACACGAGCACCAAAGTAAAGCATAAAATGCGTTTATACTCACCATGTTTTCAAGACTCTGTGCAAAAATCCTACGATATCAGATTTGGAAGAGGACAAAGGAAAAGTTAACTCTCACAGCAAGGGCGTTATGTGTCCAGTGTGAGAAGTAACTGTCGTTTTTTCACTGGGAGGGGTTATTTATACCTTCTTATCCGGTGGAGAAAAAACAGATGAATCCGATTGGCCGAAAGTCACATGGCCCCATTTCCTATTGGTTAAATTGAACATTCATATGCGGCATGAAGTACGCAGTAGACATGTCTAGTTGCACCATTGATTATATTTTGCAGGGTCGCAATGGCCAGAGTAGGTCATTGGCTCACGATTAACATCAACGCCCACCGGCTTTTTTTGCCCAGTAGCTTTATTGTCTCATTCGTGTCAATCAAACTAACCGCTAATCCCGTTACTGTGGTTGTACGCATGGTCTATTTTTAATCACGTTCGGTGCATTAAATGTGACTTTGATTAAACAAGCAGAACAAACTAAGCCTACGAATCGCATAGTGGTAAATGTTGTACCGACCCGATTTAAACAAAAGGGGCTAGCGTCCAGGCTTAACAAGCTAGCGAGCTACTAGCCATGAATCAGCATCTAATGGACCGTTAACCCCGTCCTCACATCGCCTCTACTAGATAACTAAACATTGATCTCTGTCAATGGATAACGTTAGTCTGGCTTTGGGTGTCTGCGCCCGTTTTGTGTTTATCTCCCCGATGAAGAGTGTACACACATCCATGGATACAATAATTAACTGTTAAAAAGACCACAATTGAGACAAGTGTTAGCATTAGCTTAAGTTACCCCCCCGCCACCGGACCCTTCCACCTGCTTCGCTGCCGAAGCTATTTAGTTATTAACGGCAAACTAACGGCTGTATTAGTAACAGCGGGGAAGCAAAAACGAATGTAAAAAAAAGTAATCTTCATCATCATGATCCATCTAACCCTGCCACTGTACATAACGGTATAAATAACACAAGGAGGAGAAGCTGTTAATTGTTAAGGAATATGAAAACAAGTTGGGCCCTCTCGTGCCCCACAAGCCCAATCAACGCAGCCTGGTGTTCGTCATCAAGACTCTAGACGAGAAGTGGACGTAGAGCGTGTGACGTCACCCGCTACGTTGAGGACCACGGTTATGACTTCGTCGCCGTGTTGAAACGCAGCCTCTCGCCATATTTTTGTATCCGATGAGCGGAAGCCATGTTTAGAGCTCCATGGCACTATTTTCTCGATTTTAATAAAAACCAAACAGTCTTACTAGAGCTTTTTTTCTATGGCTGGTAAGCATCAAGTAAAAAAACAACAGGTTTGATGAACATTCCTTCTGTTAGCTCGATTAATAGTAAATGTGTGATATTGTTTCACAAACAACCATTTTGAATAGAATTTCAATTACTTAAGAAATATGTCACGTTTTGACATCTCGTCTGAATTTTCAACACTTAACCAACACTTTTTTTGTCGCTCATATTGTTTACTCAATATTTATTTAATTATAAATAATTCAGGCCTTTTTTTCTCCATTTCAAATTAACAGAGCGTTTTCAGTTCTGGAATTGGGCCCCATTTATAGTGTAGTTTATAGTAAGTACCACTGATGAAATCAATTTCACTGCAAAAGTATTGGTTGAGAGGCATATCGCTTGGATATCTTAAAATTTACAGCAAAATATCTTGCATGCCTGGATGGCATAGAGGAAAGTAATAAAATGCTTTGTAACCTGGATGAACTCACACCTTAAATTCAAACTAGAATGTTTTGGGGCCTTTCTGTGTGGAGTCTGCATGTTCTCTCCGGCTTCCTCCCACAGTGCAAAGTCATGCGCTGGGATCAGGTTAATTGGTGACTCTAAATTGCCCGTAGGTGTGTGGATGTGGGTATGGTTGTTTGACTCTGTGTTAGCCCTGTGATCGGCTGGCGACCAATCTAAGGTGTACCATGTCTCTCGCCCGAAAGCTTTAGGTTTAATCATCTCACCATAACCATATATAATAAATGTTCAGTCATTTGTTTCCATATAATTGAGGATATTTTAATGTAATGCAAATGTTATTTGCACTGTGCTTTACAATAAGGCAACGGTTTAGACAGTTTACTTTTGTAAAAGTACAAAAGTATTAAAATACCCTCGAAATATCAAAAGTAATGCTACCCACTATGCAGGATGATTAATTTCAAAATAAAATATACAGTGTATTTGATCGGAATAAGTGATTGTTCACACGGCAATTGGTACTGGTCAACTAATTATTGTATAAATGAGAATCCAATATTGGCGCATTTGAAGAAATACAGAAAGTTTGACTAGATGGATTGAAGATATTTAATGAGACCCAATAATACATTGATTGAGGAGCATTCAAGCAAGCCTTTTCCAGCAGCATTTAACCCAGATACAGATTCAAATCTTTTACCAGAGTTTTCAACACTTAACATCAGATCTGGATCATATGTTATATTTCTACACAGGAATATTTAACAGGAAACAGGACCTTTCTCCCCATATAAGTACGGACATACTAAAAATTTCGCGAATCCACATCCCGCTATTCGGTCCCACAACAAGATAGACCTGCAATTGGGCTACCAGACTCCACGGCCCCAAAAACCACAATACTCGGGACGTGTTCAGAGTCCTCGTGTCTCCGTTTGACAACCTTTTGTTCTGGTTGTGGTTGTGAAACAGTTACTGCGGCAGAAGGAGGAGTTTGTATTCCGGGTGCACTTCCCCTGTTCTCCTGCAGGGGCAGGTCGAGTACATGGGCGCTGTGCATCTGCGAATCTGCATCAAACACCGCACCCTTCAGACACAAACGCTGCTCTGTCTTGTCTCATTACATTGCATAATATCGACGAGCCGTCATGGTAAGTAATATTTGACGAAAAAAAAATTCTGTTTCTGTTTTCATGTTTCGGTTCAAATTATTTTTTAGAGTCGGCGATTTTCGTTCACCCGTTCGTTCCTTTACTGAAGAGCATCGTGGATGTATACAGCTTTATTTTTAATATGGCTGCTGTTAGACAAATACAAATGTTGGTGAATCGCATGCTTAATAGAAATTTAGCCAATTTGAGACGACCAATCTTCTCCCCACATATCTCCTTAATCAGCTTGATTAGCTTCACAGCAATGCGTGCAATAGTCTGTAATCCTGATTTAAAGAAGCCTTTATGGCTTTTTTATGATTCGAATTCAGAGCACCTTGTTCTAGAGAAGATGTTATATTCAATTATACCACTGAATAATCAAAACCACATTCCTTTATTAATATGACATAGATGTATTTAAAATGGGAACAACACCTGTGTTCATTATTCATCTACGAATGTGAGCGTTCTATTCCCAGAGGAGGATGTGAATGTGGCTGTTTAAAGGGACAGCACAGAGAAACATGTGCCGACCTACATAATCATCGCCCCAGGAGTAATTATGCAGCAAACACAATCTTATTTGGCAGATGAGAAAAACAAAAATCACATTATGGACTGAGCCTCAGGCACACGCACTACAACCGCCGCAAACACCTCTAATGCAAAGTGAAAGTAAATAATTGAAACCGTCTCTGCACTGCCATTTTAGAGTTGATTTAAAGTCTATTTGACAAAATCAAATACATATGTTACTCTTCTTTTTAACGAGTATAAAGACTTGTTGAAAGAATATTATTTAAGAAGGTGCTGAGATCAGTGGAAATCTATACTAAAATCTTTCCTCTTTCCTCGCTACACAGCGCGAGTGTATCTCCATCCACGTTGGTCAGGCCGGTGTCCAGATCGGCAACGCCTGCTGGGAGCTTTACTGCCTGGAACATGGGATCCAGCCGGACGGACAGATGCCCAGTGACAAGACTCTCGGAGGAGGAGACGACTCCTTCAACACCTTCTTCAGTGAGACCGGAGCTGGAAAGCACGTCCCGAGAGCTGTTTTTGTGGACCTGGAGCCCACCGTCATCGGTAAGTGTCATCACTTCCGGCTGAACATTAACATTGGCCACTTAAAGGGGAAACACCTAATTCAGTCATTTTGTCTCTTCAGATGAGGTGCGCAGTGGGACTTACCGCCAGCTGTTCCACCCTGAGCAGCTGATCACTGGTAAGGAGGACGCTGCCAACAATTATGCCCGTGGACACTACACCATCGGCAAAGAGATCATCGACATTGTGCTGGACAGGATCCGCAAGCTGGTGGGTAACATGATATCTGAGGATGCATTCTTGTATTCAAGTTAAATCACATTACTATGTCTCATGTGTGATCGCCGTCTCTCCCTCTCCTCCCACAGTCGGACCAGTGCACCGGCCTTCAGGGCTTCCTGGTGTTCCACAGCTTCGGAGGCGGCACCGGCTCCGGCTTCACCTCTCTGCTGATGGAGCGTCTCTCTGTCGACTACGGCAAGAAGTCCAAGCTGGAGTTCTCCATCTACCCAGCTCCCCAGGTGTCCACCGCTGTGGTGGAGCCCTACAACTCCATCCTGACCACCCACACCACCCTGGAGCACTCTGACTGTGCCTTCATGGTCGATAACGAGGCTATCTACGATATCTGTCGTAGGAACCTCGATATCGAGCGTCCCTCCTACACCAACCTGAACAGGTTGATCAGTCAGATTGTGTCCTCCATCACTGCTTCTCTTCGCTTTGATGGCGCCCTCAATGTTGATCTGACAGAGTTCCAGACCAACTTGGTACCATATCCCCGTATCCACTTCCCTCTGGCCACCTATGCCCCCGTCATCTCTGCTGAGAAGGCTTACCACGAGCAGCTAACGGTGTCAGAAATCACCAATGCCTGCTTTGAACCAGCCAACCAGATGGTAAAATGTGACCCTCGCCACGGCAAATACATGGCCTGCTGCCTTCTGTTCCGTGGCGACGTGGTTCCCAAAGATGTGAATGCTGCCATTGCCACCATCAAAACCAAGCGCTCCATCCAGTTTGTGGACTGGTGCCCCACTGGTTTCAAGGTGGGCATCAACTACCAGCCTCCCACTGTAGTTCCTGGTGGAGATCTGGCCAAGGTCCAGAGGGCTGTGTGCATGCTGAGCAACACCACTGCTATTGCAGAGGCCTGGGCTCGGCTTGACCACAAGTTTGACCTGATGTACGCCAAGCGGGCCTTTGTTCACTGGTACGTGGGGGAGGGAATGGAGGAGGGAGAGTTCTCAGAAGCCAGAGAGGACATGGCAGCTCTGGAGAAGGATTATGAGGAGGTCGGAGTCGACTCCATTGAGGGCGAGGGAGAGGAAGAGGGAGAGGAATATTAAACGGCAATAAATGACGCTTGGACAGGAAAGAAATTGATTTAATTAGTCCTTAGTTACATTCCAAAAGACAGTTAATTACCACATTGGCTGTTCAGATAAACCTCCACAAAATTCACTTTGGGATTTTAATTTAATGTGATAGGAAATGTCAAAGAGAACATAAGGTTGTTAGGTTAGAGTTGACTCCTTCACCGGTGAGGAAAAGGGTGTATTAAATGGGACAAAAAACACTATTTAAAAGGAACTAATTGCTTAAGGCATTCCGAAATAAATGTTTATCAAATCTATTTTTGGTTTTTCGGCTAAGTGATGCAAGAAAAATGTCAGTTTGGCTCTGTTCCAAAATAAATATCCTGTAAATGAAAATTTCTATGTTGTTTCTCATTTATTTTTTTGTTATTCAATAAAATAACCTTTAGTTGGTACATATGGTTAATGTGATCCGATAAGGACATTTATTTTACAAATTGCTGAATATAGTGTAGCCACAGTGGTAACACTCTTTAGTGTGTAGTATATGCTACGGTCAGCATCTGGGCAGGATCTTTATTTGGAAAGAAAATTAGGCTCTCAAGTTCATATAAACCTACAAATTTAACGTGCCCCATTCTAAAATTCAGCGTTTGATCTGTAAAAGTTTCACTGATATATAAGTCTTTTAACTTCAAGTCAACCTTATTTGTCTTTATATCATTAGATATGTTTTGCTTATTGCTACCGAGGTCTTTCTTCATCCTAATGATGATTAAGATATAATATTAAAATGGTGCACACTGTATTGGCAAACAGTTTGTTTAGTAAATGCTCACTTGTCCAACTTTATTACTTCAGGGACATTGAACGCCTTAACTTTTACTTATGTAAAAATATTAAAAATAAAAAAGTTCTTGTGTTTTTTTATCAGAAATCACAAAACAGTTTTAAATGTAAGTCAGTGATCAGCTGTTTTTATACTGAAGGCCATCCAGCCTAAATTCAACAGTAAACACACTTTCACCCTGATGCAAGTTCACATGCTATAAAATCATAAGACCACTTATGCTTTATAAGTTTCGTCTCAATAGTTGAGAGTAGGCTAATTGCTTTATTGCTGTGTGGTAATACAAAGAAGTGTTAAAACAATACAGGGAGATTAAGATTGTTTCTATGTGGAACCAAGTCCTCGTAATTTGCGCTAGTCAGTCAGTCAGGTTGTTTATAACAAAGCTCAAATGCCTATTATTTTTTGGGGAATAACCAAATATCGGCAGCGCCATGAAAAATACGTCTATATTTTAGGTTTTAGGTCTTTGTCTTGACACTTAAAGAAGCTGCTTATATTTTTTAGAGGATGAAACACTATCTATCTTTCTTTCATCTTACAAATCATTTACTTGCTACTTAGCACAATCATTTTCACACATATCAATATTAATAATTATTATAAGCTTTCAATCAAACATTCAATGTATAATTGGGTACAAGTAAACAAGTAAAAGTTGTGTTTCATTTTTCTAGAGAGAAAGAAAGGACACAGACAACTGTATGTTGCATGGAATTTATTTAGAGCATAGTGAAAATGGCATATTCTGGATAGCTTAGTCTGAAAAGCCCAACTCTCCTCTAACTCTGAGCAATTGTCTCCTGTTTGAATAGAGCTATTAGTTCCTTTTAATACTCGTCTTCCTCACTGTTAAAAGAGTAAACTCCAATCTATCAACCTAATTCTGGTTTCTCTTTGACAAACTTTTCTGTTGGAATGTATTTACGGTTGATTTGGAGCAACTTTTTCCTGTTTAAGCATTTTTTAGTCCCTTTTAATATTCCTCTCCCTCTTCCTCTCCCTCGCCCTCAATGGAGTCGACTCCGACCTCCTCATAATCCTTCTCCAGAGCTGCCATGTCCTCTCTGGCTTCTGAGAACTCTCCCTCCTCCATTCCCTCCCCCACGTACCAGTGAACAAAGGCCCGCTTGGCGTACATCAGGTCAAACTTGTGGTCAAGCCGAGCCCAGGCCTCTGCAATAGCAGTGGTGTTGCTCAGCATGCACACAGCCCTCTGGACCTTGGCCAGATCTCCACCAGGAACTACAGTGGGAGGCTGGTAGTTGATGCCCACCTTGAAACCAGTGGGGCACCAGTCCACAAACTGGATGGAGCGCTTGGTTTTGATGGTGGCAATGGCAGCATTCACATCTTTGGGAACCACGTCACCACGGAACAGAAGGCAGCAGGCCATGTATTTGCCGTGGCGAGGGTCACATTTTACCAATTGATTCGCTGGCTCGAAACAGGAATTGGTGATTTCTGACACTGACAGCTGCTCGTGGTAAGCCTTCTCAGCAGAGATGACGGGGGCATAGGTGGCCAGAGGGAAGTGGATACGGGGATATGGTACCAAGTTGGTCTGGAACTCTGTCAGATCAACATTGAGGGCGCCATCAAAGCGAAGAGAAGCAGTGATGGAGGACACGATCTGACCAATTAGCCTATTCAGGTTGGTGTAGGAGGGACGCTCGATATCGAGGTTCCTACGACAGATATCGTAGATGGCCTCGTTATCGACCATGAAGGCACAGTCAGAGTGCTCCAGGGTGGTGTGGGTGGTCAGGATGGCGTTGTAGGGCTCCACCACAGCGGTGGACACCTGGGGAGCTGGGTAGATGGAGAACTCCAGCTTGGATTTCTTGCCGTAGTCGACAGAGAGACGCTCCATCAGCAGAGAGGTGAAGCCGGAGCCGGTGCCGCCTCCGAAGCTGTGGAACACCAGGAAGCCCTGAAGGCCGGTGCACTGGTCCGACTGTGGGAGGAGAGGGAGAGACGGCGATCACACATGAGACATAGTAATGTGATTTAACTTGAATACAAGAATGCATCCTCAGATATCATGTTACCCACCAGCTTGCGGATCCTGTCCAGCACAATGTCGATGATCTCTTTGCCGATGGTGTAGTGTCCACGGGCATAATTGTTGGCAGCGTCCTCCTTACCAGTGATCAGCTGCTCAGGGTGGAACAGCTGGCGGTAAGTCCCACTGCGCACCTCATCTGAAGAGAAAAAATGACTGAATTAGGTGTTGTTTCCCTTTTAAGTGGCCTAAGTTCATTTTCAGCCAGACGTGATGACACTTACCGATGACGGTGGGTTCCAGGTCCACAAAAACAGCTCTCGGGACGTGCTTTCCAGCTCCGGTCTCACTGAAGAAGGTGTTGAAGGAGTCGTCTCCTCCTCCGATGGTTTTGTCACTGGGCATCTGTCCGTCCGGCTGGATCCCATGTTCCAGGCAGTAAAGCTCCCAGCAGGCGTTGCCGATCTGGACACCGGCCTGACCGACGTGGATGGAGATACACTCACGCTGTGGAGAGAAAAAACAAGATTAGTTGTTTACCTGAAAGTGTTCCAAAACTAAAAAAATATGTTCATTCATAAAATGAAAAGGCTTTTACATTTTCAACTATTCAAAATAAATTTTAAATCAATTAGCATTTTTTGAGAAACGGTATTAAAATCCTTTGAGAACATAATTCTAATATGATACCTAAAACCTAATATTAATCAACTCACACCATAAACCGTTAAACTTACATTTTGAGGGATGTTCTCGGAAAAATATCTAACCAAAATATTTCAAAACAACAGCAAATAAAGCTCCCATTTCCGACCGTAGACAACCAATGACAACCAGCCTGATGCTTTAATGCCTCGCGCCCTGCTGACAGGGCACTTAATCCAGTCGTTTCCGGGGCGTGGGACGTCTGGAGAGGAGCATCCTCCCGCTGGGTAACGTTGCCCTGTAATCAGGGACTACGGGTCTACTGCTTACCGGTGATAAACGAGAACAAAACACCGCATAGAGGAGCTAATTGGACCGAAGGCTTCGTTATTCATTTCGTCCATATAACTGATGGAAATCTCTTTTGTTCAATCTGCCCGTCTCGTGACGTCATCTGTGTCTCCATCCGTAGTAGTTCTGCCTTAGCGTCTCGTATTAAATGGTGTATTAAACCGCTAATGACACGTTTAAATTGAATATTTTAAGAAAGTTACGTTAAACTTCGTATGATATCTCAAGCTGATTCACATTTTTCTATCAATCTTAACGCTCCTCCCACCTCGCGTCAATAAAAACAGCCGAAAAATTTGTCTCTTTAGATGTAAAACGTTCTTACCATTTTGACGAAGGGGTTGAAGCTCCGCGAAAAATCTCACAGTTCGACAGTTATGGGGCCGATGTAAGAGATAATGGCCTTCATGAATGGACAGCGGTTTATGTACAAGTGCAGCACCGGCGTCGGCGGCTTCTGCGTCGCCATTGGTCAATGGCCTGTCAGTCTGGCACATCCAAGCCACCCGCGGCTTCCTATTGGATGAGAGTCTCTCTCGCTGCACGGACCGCCCCCCGGGCCGCACCCGAATCACTACATCATCACTTATTGTGCAGCACCCATGGAGCCTCTGAAGAAAAATCATCCCTCCATTTCATCATGCTGGTAACACACAAGCCCAGTTTCACATGCATTAAACAGAACATTCATATGACCACATTATAAACCAATGCCGAATAATATTAGCTTGTTGTAGAATACAAAAGATAAGATATGTGTGTGCATGTTTATAATAGACCAGTATGCAATTTGGGAGAATATTACGTTGTTGTTAACTTATCACATTGGTTGTTTATATTATCTTTGTAAGCATCATACTGCACATGCTTGATGGCAGAATGAATCAGTCAAGGAGTCAGGTGATCCAAAACATGAATATTAACTGCATCTTGGCAAATTATTTAAATCTTGCACAATATTGAGATACTGGTACAGTGTATTATTATTATCTCTCTGCCTGATGACAACATCGAGAAATATGCATCAGCAGTTCATGCAAAATGGCATAAGTACTTTGACCCATGTTTCCAGGTACAAAAAAAGTCCAAATTGCTGCCTTTTGGTATATTTTGATAAAGGCCTATCAGTAAATTATTCCATTTTTTTTTTGAACGTGATGGCTGTCGCTTTTGTTAAACAGTGGTAACAGTTTATTTTTCCTTTGGATTTTTATTCTTATTTTTTTTTCAGTTACAGTGAAAAGAGGTCAAACTGCACTGCCAGAGATGAGGGACATGTAGGCCATTGAGATCCACAGACGCCCAACCCCCAGCCCCCCTCCTAAGATTTAACCGTTGCTAGGGACTGAATAACGTGGTTGCCTGGATACAGCCTAGTATTCACATAGACCGCCTTTATCTGGAAGTCACGTGTTCCAGCTTAAATGGCAGCCTTAACGAGCTGCAGTGCAGCTGCCACTGTGGGGGATTTGAGGCCCGTCAGCCATCTTTTTTTCCCAAAATCTTTTATCCTGATGACGTGTGTCTGGAAGCAAACACGATTTGTCTCCCCCTTCTCCTAAAACTCAGGACAAAATAAATAAATAGGGCGTTGCCCATGCAAACTCAAGATGTATGGCATCAATGTGAGTAAGCTCTTTTGTTCACACACATCAAGGCAGTTCTTTCTGGTGTGCGTAACAGCTCTGATTGGCAACACATTGTTCTTCTGTGGACCTAAAGAAAAGACAAGAAAGCTAACTGGGAGTTGAGCCGCTCAGCTGAACAGTTGTTTTGTACCGCTTTGAATGTGAGGTCCATTAAAATAAACAACTGAGAGATGCAAACTCAAGAGAAGCTGATCTTCTCGGTCACAGTGAAATCTAAAAGGTTTTCCATCTTTTTGGGGAATATGTTGAAGACCACTAATCAACCTTCTTTTTTTATCACATTAAGTCATTGTCTGATATGTGGCACCTTTACGTTTTGGGCATTTGCCATTGTTGTCCTGTATCATACCAGCCAAATTCAGACATTCTCAAAGTCCCTGACCACCAGCTTATTTTACCAATGTTTTAACTTTAAGTAAGTTATTTTGAATGTCCGTTGTCACTTTGTTGTCATACTTCCTCTTTGCAGGATGCTGGTTGCATGCTATGAAGGACCACTCCCATCTCTCTAGCTCCCATCCTCCCTCTCTCCTCTTGGTTTGCAGCTGCTCGGACCCTCCCGGTTTCACAGCTGCCGTGGAGGAGGAGGAGCGGGATGGGGAGTGGGGAATGTTCCCTCAAGAAGTCCTGGCTACGAGCCGTGGCTGCTTCTCATCTTTCATCCCCCTGCAGTTGTCATTGAGTACACCAACCACAAAAACTGATTTTAGATTCCAGACACTCAATTCCCTGCTGAATATACAACAATAACTTATAAATATAACTTACCTAATGGTGGCTGATCACACAGTCACACTGTGAGCCTGGACACACATGTGCATAAGGTCTTCAGTGCGACCATTATGTCACATAAACTGCAATTAAGGCCATTTCATTTCCTCAAAGAGGAAGCACGACACAAAGTCAGTGCAGCTGAATGGCGCACAGAGGGACACGTTGACACGGTGTCACGTGATCAGCCCACTGAATGACATCATTGCAGAGAAACTGGAACAAAGAGGGGGGGGGGGGGGGGTCGGTGAGCTGGCATGTCGGACAGATACAAGCATGGATGCCCAGCTGATATGTGCTCAAGTGGAATGGAAGCATCTTGTGCAGCAGATGTCTTGAGGGATTTTGCATTAATTATAATGCATGGGGTGTGGAACTGTAAGAACAGTCGGACAATTTGCTTTAATTCACCAGGATCTGGTGAGCTTTGTCTTGATTCGGAGTTTTCCTCTTCGCAGATGTCCTTGATCACTCCTCTGCCAACACATTGCCTCTGCATGCATAATAAATTGGCTTTGTTTGAACTGGCCCTTTATCCATGAGAATTTGCTTTAACTTATCCACACAAAAATATAGGGAAATAGGGAAACAACTATATATTTTATAAAACAGATAAAGACAAGGCGCCGTGGCATTACCAAATAGACCAAATCCTTTTTTGTCCACAATGCACAGAGGCAGATCCCCCTCCCTGCACGGGGGCTATAAATCGGGTAGCACCGCCCTCCCAGTCAGCAGTTGTTGCATCGACCCCGTTGGGTACAATACGCAACGCAAACCACAACGGTTTTTAAAAGCCCCTTTCTTCGTTTTTCTCCTTCTGTTCCTGAACAAAAATGGTAAGTTGACTTTTCTGTCTGTCTGTCTGAAGCAGTTGAGGTGCACTTTAATGGAGGCTGGTGTTTCCAAAGGGTCTCCATCTCTCGACGACCCTCTCCAATTGAACAATCGGGCCGATTTTTACGAGCTAAATTTAAAAGCAAGCGGACAAATTCTTTTTTTGGGGGGGTTGAAAGTGACCATTACGATGTGGCTGTTCATTGATGCACGGAGTGATTGTCCCCGTGTGGAGATGAGAACAATGCACCCACTGTCCGCATTAAGACGCGCAGGTAGATGAATCTGGTGATGTTTGTCTATATATTTATATTATTGTCGAGTTTATCGCGTGACTACATTCAAAATCGAACAACCTGCAAATGCCCTACCCTGTCTGGGGGGCGGGCGGGGGGGGGGGGGAATCGGTGGGCATCGATTAGATCCGATTAAAATCATTCATTTTCACTTTAGACATGATTGTAAAATAAATCCACATTCAATTGATTTGATACAAATTGCTATTTTTTTGGCTAATATGCAAATAAAATGCGAAATGTTGAGATTTTGCGTCCTGAAAACGAAAGAGCAAGTGGAATATTTCCAGCCGTTGATGGGAAGAGCAAATTCATTTGCATTTGTGCTTATGCTTGCAAATGAGGAAGAGTGTCGGGTGAAAAAGACAAGAGGACAAAAAGGGCTGCAGGAAAGAGGAGAGCCTCGGTGGAGGGGCCTGTCGGGCATTTCTGTGCCCTGCAGATTGTGGTGCAGGGAGGTGCCTCCTGCTGCACTGCCTCAGGAAGGTGGAGCGACTGAATTATCACAATGTTGAGAAGCATTTATATTGCAATTATTGTGGTAGAATGAATGTAAAAACTAGCAGCACCAGAATGTCATTAAACATGAACGTTAAAGGATAACAGACATTATAACAGATATAATGTTTCTCTCCGCAGCGCGAGTGTATCTCCATCCACGTCGGTCAGGCCGGTGTCCAGATTGGCAACGCCTGCTGGGAGCTTTACTGCCTGGAACATGGGATCCAGCCGGACGGACAGATGCCCAGTGACAAGACTCTCGGAGGAGGAGACGACTCCTTCAACACCTTCTTCAGTGAGACCGGAGCTGGAAAGCACGTCCCGAGAGCTGTTTTTGTGGACCTGGAGCCCACAGTCATCGGTAAGTGTCATCACTTCCGGCTGAAAATGAACTTAGGCCACTTAAAAGGGAAACAACACCTAATTCAGTCATTTTGTCTCTTCAGATGAGGTGCGCAGTGGCACTTACCGCCAGCTGTTCCACCCTGAGCAGCTGATCACTGGTAAGGAGGACGCTGCCAACAATTATGCCCGTGGACACTACACCATCGGCAAAGAGATCATCGACATTGTGCTGGACAGGATCCGCAAGCTGGTGGGTAACATGATATCTGAGGATGCATTCTTGTATTCAAGTTAAATCACATTACTATGTCTCATGTGTGATCGCCGTCTCTCCCTCTCCTCCCACAGTCGGACCAGTGCACCGGCCTTCAGGGCTTCCTGGTGTTCCACAGCTTCGGAGGCGGCACCGGCTCCGGCTTCACCTCTCTGCTGATGGAGCGTCTCTCTGTCGACTACGGCAAGAAGTCCAAGCTGGAGTTCTCCATCTACCCAGCTCCCCAGGTGTCCACCGCTGTGGTGGAGCCCTACAACGCCATCCTGACCACCCACACCACCCTGGAGCACTCTGACTGTGCCTTCATGGTCGATAACGAGGCCATCTACGATATCTGTCGTAGGAACCTCGATATCGAGCGTCCCTCCTACACCAACCTGAACAGGTTAATCAGTCAGATCGTGTCCTCCATCACTGCTTCTCTTCGCTTTGATGGCGCCCTCAATGTTGATCTGACAGAGTTCCAGACCAACTTGGTACCATATCCCCGTATCCACTTCCCTCTGGCCACCTATGCCCCCGTCATCTCTGCTGAGAAGGCTTACCACGAGCAGCTGTCAGTGTCAGAAATCACCAATTCCTGCTTCGAGCCAGCGAATCAATTGGTAAAATGTGACCCTCGCCACGGCAAATACATGGCCTGCTGCCTTCTGTTCCGTGGTGACGTGGTTCCCAAAGATGTGAACGCTGCCATTGCCACCATCAAAACCAAGCGCTCCATCCAGTTTGTGGACTGGTGCCCCACTGGTTTCAAGGTGGGCATCAACTACCAGCCTCCCACTGTAGTTCCTGGTGGAGATCTGGCCAAGGTCCAGAGGGCTGTGTGCATGCTGAGCAACACCACTGCTATTGCAGAGGCCTGGGCTCGGCTTGACCACAAGTTTGACCTGATGTACGCCAAGCGGGCCTTTGTTCACTGGTACGTGGGGGAGGGAATGGAGGAGGGAGAGTTCTCAGAGGCCAGAGAGGACATGGCAGCTCTGGAGAAGGATTATGAGGAGGTCGGAGTCGACTCCATTGAGGGGGAGGGAGAGGAAGAGGGAGAGGAATATTAAAAGGGACAGAAAGGCCCAGAAACAGGAAATTATTTATGACAATGTGTTCTTGAATGCAACCTGAAATGTTTGTTGATTAACACGTTGGCTCTGTTCTAAATAAAACTCCTGTGACATGCAAATATGTTTGTGTTTTTATTAATTTAACCAAAATGTGGAAATACTGGGTTTTGAGCTGTCTAATAGGAGGAGTGGGCTGAGCAGTCAAGGAGCTACCTAACTCCTATATCAGTTAATGTATTGTCTTCTTATCGTTATTATCAAGGTCCCATGAATCGGACGGAAAATACAACTGCACAACTGTTTTCAGGAAGGTTTATTGGAAAACATTAAAATTCAATTTTGTCCAAATTAAAGTGTACACGTTTACTACCAAACGTTAAAGTACAAAAGATAAGAGCATGTCTTAGTTACAGGAGGTTTTGATCAAAAACCCAAATATTAGACACATATGAGTTTTTGTTTTCGCTAGAAAATATGTAATAAAAAAGTAAAAAAAGACATCTCTGGTGAAAAAAACTTGCAAATCAGAAGTTTCTTGTTTTGTAGCATCCTGGCTTACACCGGTCTGTCCTGCAGCAGAGGGCAGTTGTCCACAGCCTCTTGTCTGTTCAGAATCTTCCCGAACATAGAGCCTCCAGAAGGGAAGTGAGCCCGGCTGTCCTGCAGGTCTGCAGCAAGCAGGTCTTCCTTTAGAGGACGGTAGGACATGAAGCGCCTGTTGAGTGAAGCAAACAATCAAGACAGTTGCAGATTTCAGGGACAAAACTCAGAATGTTTTAAACAAAGTAAACAGTGTATATATATACTGTACTGTACTGTATATATATATATATATATATATATATATATATATATATATATATATACATATATAGACGATTACCAAACCTTACTTTGAGGCAGACGCATGAGATTGTGCTGTGATGTGTAGAAAATTGACATCCCTTTATTGCTAGTAAAGCAGTCCTTACCTATAAGAATATGCCACCATTCCTATTGCTAGAACAAGAACCAGGACACCCAACACCATGCCAATGGTGCCAGGAGAGGACAGACGTGAACCTGGAACAAGGATCACACCGTCAGCAGGCCGGGATAAAGTAGAAGAGCACTGGACTGCTGCATGGTGGGTAAGTTGCGGATACCTATGTCGATGTTGACCCTGGCACTGGTTACAGCTAAACTGACGTCGTTGGCCATGGACACGTTGATGCAATAGACCCCGGAGTCATTGAAGAAGTGACGCAAGAGCAGCTTGCAATCAATGGAGGGCTCCACCATGTTGCATTTTGTGTGTATCGGCCTCAAGCACTCTGCATCCAGAATCATGCTGCACACCTCTTTTGGAAGGCTGCAGGAAGGAGATGGTGCAGTGAGTAAACAACACGATGCTTTTGAAGGACTGTTTGATAAAGTGCAGTGTAGCTTTCACCTTCCCTGGCAGGTCACAGTGACATCCAAAACATTTCTCTTCGTGTCCGGTGCTGCCATCACAGCGTTGTCCATTTTTACGATCTCTACTTTTTCAATGCCCTCTGAAAACAACGACAAGAGGTCACTGACAGCCACTTCAAAAGGGTTTCATTGTTTCCATTTAGCAGGTGCCGTCGAACATGTCGCCGACGAGAGGCAACTCACCACACACTTCGATGCCTGTGGAGAAGGAGCCATAGCGGTAAATCACGCAGTCGTCGTCGGACGGTGCATCTTCAGCATCCCTCTTAGCAACGACCGCCGCTGGAGCGCGGCCCGTCAGGGTCACTGCAGGCTTCGCACCTGGAGGAAGTAAACGGTACGTCACCTGTAACCACGAAAGTCACTAAACACATTTGAATGTGCACATTTAATAAACATGACTCTGAAATGGGCCATTCTGCGTAGTGAGTGCTTCAAGTATATTTTGAATAATTTTTTTTATTAGTAACATTTTGCACGAGCTTTAACTTTTGTGTGTGTGTGTGTTTTGAAGAACCATGAATAAACCAAAATAGATTAACTGACCTGTATACCATCATTAAGCGTTTAAATAAGAATACAACTGATAAAGCCGAGCAGATCGGGTCATTCTCAGAGCCCATCGTGTTTCATTACAGCGACAGTGTGTTTGAAGCTTTACATCACATTTACATTTAAGGAAATTGCTCTGACTCATTCCGGTCAGCTGGTACCAAATGTTTGCGTTTCTGTTGTTGAACACGCTACATGTTGGGATCAAACCCGTTACCTTCTGGTAAACCTTTACTCTTAATGATGTACAACTATTCAAAGAGCTCACCTGTTTGTGCCTCCTGGTCAGCTGGCATTTTGTTGACGCGATTGACGAGGGAGGGAGTCTCGGCCACCGCGGCCGCTTCCCGGGCCGACTGAGCGTTGGGCGCGGTGGAGGCCTCGTCCTCAGCGTTGTCCTCCTCTGTGTCCGAAGGAGCCGAGTTGACAGTCAGACCAGTGGCCTTGGTTGAGACCAGTATGGGGACAGCAGACGCCAGAGCAGCAGCTTTCACTGCACGCGGGAAAAGGACCGCAGAGTTACTTCTTTGTTTCCACAACACACGTGAAGCCGAGGCAACAATACTGGGAACATTGTTTAGCTTCTCAGGAAAATATTGGATATTTGAGAAGATATTTACAACAGCTGAGGTCGGCTTAAAGCCTGTAGGCAAACGTCTGGCCTGCCTCTGTCTAAAGGCAGAACCTAACCACTCGACTCCTCTGATGCTCATTAATCAACATGCTACATGTTGCTTGTTTAACACCTGTTCTTTACCTGTGGGGCCCTTGTGAGTGGTTGGACCCGGGGCCTCTGTCGGGGTGTCGACTGGCGGGTCGCAGGCCTTATCCGGGATCACCGCCTGGATCACCACCTGCGGCTTGAACGAGCCCGAGTTGATGTAAGTGTGCGTGACGCTCAGCTCTCTGGATATCAGGGCTCCGCTGTCATCCCCAAAGTCCCAGTTGAAGGTGATGTCCGCGTTGCCGAGGTACTGGCTGGGGTCGTGGAGGGTGACGGTGAAGGCGATCGCCCTGTTCTGGATGAAGCGCATGTCCTCGGCCACGATGTCGTTGACTTGGTCCAGGGAGACAGCGAAGGGGATTTGATCTGAGGAGAATACTCTTTCGGTCACTATGTTACGCACGGGGATGCGGAATGTTTTGCCTTTTTTTTATCCCCTCCCCCTATAACCAACCGGTGATGGAGAACTGAGTGGAGGCATAGCCCAGGGGAATGAACCTCTCTTTGCTGCGGTAGTGGTAGATAACGATGTCCATGGTGTAGGAGCCCAGTGGGATGTCATCGGTGTCGATGGTCAGGGAGGAGGAGGAGTCGTCTGCCACCTGCCAGTACTGACCTGCCCAACGAGCATCAACGGGGCACGTGAGAAACACTTTGTTCACTACAAGTATCCGTTTTGTTTGCCTGTTCATCCAACAACATTAGGCTAAAATAAGAAAAGGACAAATGTGGTGATGTAATGGGATCATATGTTAATGCTCGTAATCTAATCCTGGCTCGTGGTTCAGGTCATGGGCCTCGAGAAACTCCACTCACTCCAGGTCTTCCAGACGAAAACGTAGGCTGGCTTCTTGTCCTTCTTAATTGGTGTCCCATCGGGGAACACAGCCTCCCAGTCTGTGTCCTGAGTTGGGTATACTGGCTCCGACTGGTGGTACTTTGTTCCTGCAGCGGAAGCAAGAGTGGTTTTAGAAGAGTCTGCAGGCATGCAAGCAGCTGCTTGAGGCCGCTTAGTCTTTGAGCTACATGCTAATGTGCATTCAAACGCTCACAATGACAAAGCTAAAACGTAGCCGTTTGGTAGCTGTGTTCAAACTCCTCTTCATGGCGATCACAATCTTCACCACCTTTTTGCTACCGCACCAAACACACAAAGCAACCAGGAATTTTACTGTTATAATCATCCTGAGAGGGACGTCTGAACGAATCTTACCACGGTCGTTGAGATATTTCCTCAAATAACACACAGGTTCAATAAGCTTTTATTACAACCAGCACTTGTTTAGGTATCTCATTGAGCCCAATCGATGTCCTAATGCAGTAACATGTGTGTACGTGTAGCATTTCACCATGTGTGTGTGTTACCGTTGACTGTGCAGTCTTCGGCCCAAACAACGTCTCCATTAGGCTGCACCTTCTGGTTGTGAGGGAACTCCAAGTCGATGGTGAAAGTAACTTTGGCTCCAGTCAGAGTCGGTGAGTCGTTCCCCACATTGAAAGTCACTTTTCCCCCTGGACGAAGAAAAACATCTATGAGTTTTTCTTTCTTTTCTTTTTAGAAGTATCAAGTAATTAGAAGTGTGTAAAAATTGTTGATGACAATGTCATAATATGTAGCATCCAACATATCATCTACCTTTCCAGGAGTCTTTGTATCGCGGGTCTCCATCTTTCCAGATTGGAAACATCTTATTGTTCCACGACGGGTAACGAATGAAGCGGTTTCTGGGCTCTGAAACAGCAAAAATGAATATTCAATGCAAAATGTGAACACTGCGCCTTGCACACGTATTGTTTTCAATCTTTTCCCGGAAATAACTGTTTATTTATATTATTATTTAGTAGGGGAAATAGGGGGCTAATGCTGACTTCATGGATTTGACAAAAGGTAAGAGAGGGTTAAATTCCCCACCATGAGACCTTGAGTATGTAAATCTCTCATCCCTTCAATCCCTCTCATGTGAGGCTCAGCTGAGTCGGGGCAGGATTTCTACCACGGATCAACAATGTCACACGGCAGAATTAAAAATATATATATAATTAGAAATTCAATGTGTATTATTCATAAACGTTGTGGTTTCACTTCATGAATTCCCTGCAGGCATCACAGGAATATCGAAGTGTTTTTGTCTGTGATTTAATTATTATAATAACCCAAAACTCTTTTAATTCACACCCAACGTGCCAAATGCTTGAAGTCCTGTTTGAAAGAATGTTGAATTTAACCTGTTTAAATTAAGATTAAGAGGATTAAGGTAAATCATCTGTTCTTTGCTTTACAAAGGTCACATTCTGTGTCTTTCATGCGTGGTTGAATAAAGGAGGTCATGGGGGAAAAAAACATGAAACGGGACCTTGAACTCAGATCTATGAATTAAAAGTTGAAAATTGGGTTTATCTTAATGAAAGGAAAGATAAATTAGAGCGTAAAATTAAGCTCATTTAAACGTAAATTGTAAAATTGTAAATTATAAGGACTTTTGATGCTTTAACTCAATGTGCATACTAGTGCTTACATACATGGCATTTCAGAAGCATATTTTTTACTTATAAATACGTTTTTTATATTGCAATATTGACACTTGTACAAAAGTAAAGGATTTGAATATTGTACTATTGAACTAAGTTTGTAAGACTCTCAGTCACAGAGCCAACATCTCTTTCAATTGCTTAAAATAGTCCAAATAATCCAAAAAATAGTCCCTCTGAACTAGTTCATTATGAGGATAGAAGATATATTTTCTCTACTTACTCGCCGCAGTGTGTGAGGCCAAGGCCAGCAGCACCAAGAGCACCACGAATGTCCCCATCTTCAGCGGTCCTCCTCTGTATGAAAAATCCCTTTAGTGAGCACCAGACAGCAGAAACCAGCCTTTATAAACTGTGTGATGCTCGACTTCGCTCAGATTATTAGTAGAGAAACGCCTCCTGGCTCACAAAGCCCCGTGGACCTCCTCAAATCAGATTTTAGGGGCGTCTGTATTGCTTTTTTAAAGTTTGTATTTAAAGTTAAAAGCCTGTCTTGCGGATTAAATTTCAGAATACTGTGGAGAAAGGAGCCCATAATCACACAAGAAGGGTTGAATTTCATTTTTCTTTTCGTTGCATTCAACAGATTGGGTCACAAGACATGCTCGAGTGTGCACAAACCAATCAAAAGAGATGAAAAATAAGCATCCTGATGAAGCTGTGCTGAGTGATATCAATATATTTTGGTGGAATGTAGCGTTGCTTATATTCCGCTTAATATTTTAAATATATACCACTTCCTACTTCTAACCCACTATATTTGAGAGAGGAAATCACTACGTGGTTTTATTTTATTACAACTGCAATCAATTTCAATACCAAATAAATGATTCAATCATAAAATATGATAAACCGGCATAGATTAAATTACCCAGCAGTGGGAAAGTGGTTTAAATTACAAACATTGAAATGCTGCTTACATATGTGCTTACAATATAATAATTCCCATTATTATTCTTGCTGGGAATTCCTTGTATGTCCACAACAAAACAAGGCCTCTTTCAGAATAATTAAATAAAAACACAAAAATGTATAATTAATTATTGATTAATGTCAACAATACCATCAACAATACCTCAATAGTAACGAAATTGTGAGGTTACAAAGTCATGCAATTTTGGTTTCAGGTGACAATTCCCCAAATCACGTGTTTACAAATACAATATGAATGGTCACAGAAATTTTTGCTAAAATCACCTGACACATTTTGGGCTGCCTAATTGTTCCTAATTATGTGCAGATTATCTCTGAAATTCATGTTGCTGCTGTTGATTTAATCCATAAACTCGAAAAGGAATTCCAAACTGGTAGGAGTTACATAAGATGACATACTTGAAAATGACACTGTGATGAAATATAGCGTCTTGAATATTAAAGTGTAATGGGAAGTTGCACATTTTTTGCGTAATTAGAACAATAGTTCACACAGTCTGCTGGGAGACGCTGTGCTTGTGGGGGGAGGGAGGAATGCAGTGTTAATGAGGATTATTGAAGCACTTGTGACTCCCTAAATTCATCCGGCTTTGACCCCCTCCAAACCCTCCTCGAGAACTATCGACTGACTTTGTTGAAAAAGATTACTTGTCTCAATATCATACGTGCCAAACACCTACACTGTTTAAACCTCTTTTTTTAAAACAATGTCAGCATTCACACCAAATCCTGTGCAGACCTCCTTCATCACGAACCCTTTAACTCCATTCCGGGCCTCAACATGTACGTACAGACCCGTGATATGACTGAAAGGTCACGGTGGGACATGACATCTCAGCTCTCTGGTCAAAAAAGGCTGACGCATCAGACAATGGGGCGAAAATGAAACCTGGCTTAAGCTTCCAGTAAACCATTAGATCAGCGTGTTAGGTTGGTCAGGGCATACAGAGGCTAGAGAAATAACAGAAAAGTGAAGTAGATTGAGACCAGTTCCAATTTGCAAGAATACAAATAGTCCCGAACCTAGTTAGATAAATAATATATATTGTGCATGCATAACTGAAGTAATAGCAGCAGTTAGACATTATGTACAGAATAAGCCAAAGGTGAAGTGAGTTCCAGCTTAAATCTCGTATTTGAACTCTGAAGTTGGAACTGGGCAGTATATGAGTCTGGAGGAAGAAAAACAGATCTGTTCATTTGAGTAGATCTGGATGATGTGTTTTTTTGTTAGATGGTAGTGTCTGTTCCTACACGGGCCTGCAGTTGGTCCGTCCGTCCACCAGGCGGCGCTGTGAGACGTGGCGAGTGAGCGCGCGGGCGCTCAGAAGGAGAGCCGCCTCAGTTTGATTGGAGGAAGTAACACATCAACAAAGAAAGATGGCGGAGGTGATAGAGCTGCAGAAACTGAAGGTTGGTAGTGACATAAAAATGTATTTATAACACAGACACGGCGATTTAATCAGTAAATGTTGTTCGGTAACCGTTCTTAGTGGTCGTAACTCGCCAGATAGTGAAGTTAAAAAGAGGTTTGGAGCGTAAAATGCGTCCATGGGGAGTCGGGGCTAACAACCGGCGTGGGTTCACGTTGTTCATTCGAATGCGAAGCGAAAACGAGTCAACCGTACAGATATACGCTTTAAACGCGGGCGAAATGTTTAATAAGCAGCTGCGAAGTTGGAATCATCATATAACAACGATGATCTGAAACGGTAACCGTGTCCCCCGGTGTTGGATTTAAAGTGTCCCGCCATAAGTGCCCCGGGTCCAATTAGCTAACATCGCTCTCCGACTGTGTTTGACCTCCGACGCCCGCGTTATGCTGTTTAATGTTTACCACGCTTATTGCTCGATGTTTCCACAAAAATCGTCCCTTTACTTTAAAATTACAGTGACGTTGTTGCTAAACCGGATCACGTCCTACCGACGAGCAGCGGTGGAAAGTAACGCTGCAGTTTATGTGCTTGTATTTGACTCGAGTGTTTCCTTTTTAATCGTACACTGTTTACTTCCACTCTACTTCATGTATCCGAAAGCTGTTGAGAACTACTTTTTAAGTCAATATTGGCCATGAAAAAAGTGCCCTCTTTAAAATATATCGTATTAATACTTTTGTATATCACGTGACGTTAGTGAATATTTTCTCCACCATGACGACTTGTAACGCCTCACACATCTCGCACGGTACTTGTTTTATTAAGTGTCGCTTCTGTTTCTTTGGTTGTTTCAGCTGGCTGAGCTGAGGCAGGAGTGTGAGGCCCGAGGTCTGGAAACCAAGGGAAACAAAGGAGAGCTCATCGCTCGCCTGCAAACCTATCTGGATGAGCACGGTGAGGCAGCATCCTTCCTTCGCATGTAGACACTGGTCAGACACGGCATGCAAATGGGTGGATGGACTGTGATCAAAAAGCATTCATTTCTCCATGTGACCCACTTCCTTTCTGCTTTAACCTGTGGTCCAAACAATAGAGGATGACGTGGACGTGGATGACGTGCTGGCAGAGGATGCTGAGGTAAAATTATGATGCTTTCTCTTCCCTCTCTCATCGGTACGTTCTGTGAACTGAGGATGACCGTTTCTATTTTCCCTTTTAGGACTTAGACAAAGTTGAGGATGCCATTAATATAAAAGACGAGAAGACTTCCGAGTCTACTGAGCAAGAGCCGTAAGTTCATTCTCATTGAGTTCTCATTTTGGTCTTACAATGGGAAATCCTACTTGAGCCTGGCTCCAGAAGTGAGTCAATCCTTCAGACCTCCATTTTGAAATGCCACTTTCTGGAGCAGAAATCTCCCTGTTTATGACGGCTGGATGGGGATTTACATTTGATTCAACCAACCAACAATTTTATGGCGGCTGCTTTAAGATCCAGCTTACTTGGCTTCACCCGCAAACTGCCTCAGCTCCACCAATTACTCCCCGCTTTGCCCATTTTGAAGGGTTTTCTGTATCGGCCAAAGCCACCTACTTTGAGCTTCAGGTGGCTCTTCACAAATATATGCCGGACGTTACGAAGACTCCCATCTTATTTCAAACTGTTAACGGGATTAATAGAAACAACAATCTTTAAAAAAAGGGTTGGGCTTTATGACTGAGTCTTGTAACAGCATTATTAAAAAGATATTAATCAAATCATGCGATCTAATTCATAACCGTGACATGATAACCATCAATTCTATAATTTGTCTTGAGTTTTCCCCAATTGGGAATCTTTGGTCATCCCACCTCGCTTTACGTTCTTTCAGACCTGCTGATAAGAAGGTGGTGAAAATAGCTCCTCCATCATCTACCGGTGAAGTACGTATAACATGTTTGCATGCACTTTAAAATCTGATTAGTCCCTTTCAAACTACCTATTTTTATATTAAAATCAATGCCATATGTGTAGTGATATCTTGTGTGGGTGAAGGTGTAAACCGTAGAACACATAATAAAAAATAGCAGATTTGGTTTCTTTGTAAATATTGATAAGCAGAACCTAGTCCTTTTACCATTAGCTCGTATTCTGATGTTAAATCTTGCCGTTTGTTGAGCAGAGACTACAGAAGAGGGCAGAACGTTTCAACATGCCTGCGACAGCTGAAAGCAAAAAGGCAATACGTGCAGCAAGGTGAGTTAACTGGGCTCCGTCTCTAAATGTCCTCTCCACGTTACTCCCTGCTTATTGCAATTTTATACTTGTAGTTTTGAGCGACATTGAAATTGTATTTCCTGCAATCCTTCATGGGATTTGTGAATGCAGAAAGTTCTTGATTGCTTAATTGGACCAGTTTGAAATAAAACGTGTGAACTGAACGTACATCTGAAAATAAAGATGAGCATTCACATGATTTTTCATACTCAATGTGTTGTAACGGTCCATCAATTTACAGACAAACTATCAATCAATTGGAATAAACATACTAATATCGAAATATCACAATCTTTTCTTTCTGAAAAGAGACAACGTACAGATCAATAACCTCACATCAATTGTATGGAAAGAAAGCTGTCACAGCGCATCTGTAATGTGTAACACCGAACCATCACTAGATGCTAAATACTATTTGTCAACAGAACACTCTTCCCTGACAACTTGTTTTCTAATCAACAGAAATGCTCGAAAGAAGTCAATACTTACAGTCAATACAAAACTGATTTCTAGACACATATCTCTTGACACATTTTTGGAAAGTAAAGGGTCAAAACCTTATCAGGGAAAGGTCTTGAACAAATAAAGTGCAGCACGTTCAGTTGCTTTTGTAATGTATTATTATTTAATGTTCACTTTTATTGGAAAATGTACAATTTCTAGATTATGACAAATTCACTCTACTACTACTATACTATAAAATATATTATTAACACTGTGTGAGGGAAAGAAGAAATATGACCTACAATGAAATTAGAAATGAGGGAAATGCCAGTTAATAGTCCTCTGTTAATATAATATTAATAAAAATGTTGGCCTGAACTGTAAAACATGGTCGTCGTGGCGCAGGGGTTAGAGAAGGTGTGCTGGGAAGCACAAGGTTGTTGGTTCGATTCCAGGCTGCCTCATGTTCCACGTCGAAGTGTCCCTGAGCAAGACACCTAACCCCTAATTGCTCCCCTGGCAACAATGTGAAAAAGCCATGGGTTTAAAGTGTAATGTAAGTCGCTTTGGATAAAAGCGTCTGCTAAATGACGTGTAATGTAATGTGTCTGAGGTATATGTAGGATGCCATATTGAATTGTTTATGCTCCTTTTCTTCAGGTTTGGTGAATCCACTGAGAACTCCAATCCCGCTGCAGGTCTGTAGTCACTCATTACTCTTTCGTTTAACTTTGTCCTCGTATGTTCTCAATGGAGCAACGATGTACAGTGAAGTATTGTTGAACTTTTTCTCAGGATTTTAAAATGATTACTTTCCAGGACAGTCCAGGAATCTTTTTTTGTTTGGGATGTCTCGCCATAAGTCAGTCAACTGTTATCTAGATATGCAGGAGCTAAACAGTCGCTCTGTTTATTGGAAGCTGCACACGGTAAACTAGACCAGCTGAGGTGGTGCAGGCAGCTGTTTGGAATAAAATGAGAGTGAATCTATTGTGAGATTTTTAACTTAAAAACACGTGTGATACGGCCGATCACGGTTTGAATTAATTCACTCAATAATAATAATAAGTAATTATCAAGAAATACGAGCGTCTCAATCCCCATCCTCATAACGTGTACAAACATAGTAGTACTTAGTGAACATCTAGTTTTACTGTGTATATTTTCTATCTGCTGTTTCTCGCCGCTTAATTTCAATAATCTGTTCCCCGAGCAGGTGCCGTTGCAAACAGTAAAGCTCCTGTAAGTGTTCCATCGTATTTCACACATTTGTTAAATTCCTCCGGTTAATAAGATATTAATTGTATTTTGTTTTTTTGTGGGCCTCGCAAAGGTGAACGTTGATCAGCTGAAGAAGAGAGCGGAACGATTTGGCATGAACGTTTCATCCGTTTCACAAAAGGCAATGAGCAACACCTTCAGACATGTTTCTAGATTCTTTCTTATCTCTGGAACAATATGTATCTCAGTAAGACCTGAGAAATATATTAACCACATGGTTTTGTATACTCCTGTGTTTATTAAATACTTGCAGATGAGAAGAGGATTTTCTTATTTAGTTAAGAATGTTATTTTTGAGGAAATATGAGATGGACAAAATTATTGTTCATAACAATATCTAAATGTCTAATTCCATTTAAAGACAAATAATTGAACATCTTTGAACAACAATTTATGATTTATTTACACTTTTATGTTGCCATTTTTCCACCCCACTATTTGCCTTTATTAAAATGTTGTTGATTTTTTGCAGATTGAAGAGGATGAAAAGCTGAAAAAGAGAAAGGAGCGATTCGGCGTCTCAGCGGTTGCCGGTGCAGGTTCAGCCGAAGTTGAGGTGTGTTTTTCCTTTGACATTTTTGTTGCTGTTTCACAGTTAAGGCAATTGTGGTCGTTTATATGTTATGATGAAATTCATTACATGTAAACAGACCAGAGGGAATGAAAATTGTTTTTAAATCATTCTTTTCTTTTCATCTTTTTCTACAGGCGAAGAAAATGAAGCGTGCTGAAAGATTTGGAAAAGTGTGAAAAATGTTTTAGAACTTTTTTTCTTTTTTTGTAAAGCATTTTCATTACAGAAAATCTCTGACGACGACGACATATGTCACTCATAGGATTCCTGTAAATCAAAAGTATAATTAAATGCCGATTTGTGAGTTGTATCATTAAACCGTTTCGAAATAAAATAAAAAGAAGCTCTCAATTATTTACTAAGCATCAATGTCAGTGGCTAATCTAAATTCCCCAAAAATGTAATAGAAACCACCTATTTAGTATTTACTGGCGCACCATTTTTTGCCAACCCTTGGAAGCATCCAATCCTGTTATTTGCATTTCCGTTACTTTTAAATTTGTCTTTTTGGTTCGGTTGTTTGTTCCCCTCTACTAACCGCAGTTCACTGCTTTGTCGGAGCTGCAATGAAGTCCTGTTGTCATGTTTTTAATCCAGAAACTAATCAAACAAGGGTAAGAGATAAGTAGTTATTCATGTATCAGGAGATACCTTACCGCATCATCTTAAATCAAAATGGTCCATTAAACCACTCAAACTGCAGCAAGTAAATGTGAGAAAGTTGAAACATGAAAAATATTTAATGAGAAGCAGCGATCTGAAGTTCTGCACTTGATAAAAGTTGTCTTAAAACTTTTTCGGGACCAACCCGGCATCTAAAAATGTTCTCTCGTTAAAAGAAAATAGTCGGAGAATAGGATAAACTTCTGTTGGTTGGAAATGGAAAATGTATCTAGTTTGGGGCTCTTGAAAGGTACATCGTTGGTCCATTGTAAGTAATACATTAAAACTCATTTTTTAATAATCCATTAAAATGTTGACTCAACTATTTGTATATCTGATAAGTATTTTATTTTAGATTTTTTGGATAACGTACATTTTTTATGTTATCTTTTGGAAATCCAGTGGTGCACTGCTTCAGTTATCTGTCCATTTTCTAAAATTTTGTGGTTTAAAATAAATAGTTACCATCTTTCTGGAATCTGCTTCACATGACTTTTTTTTAAATGTATATTTTACATCTGCAGTCTATCATTGAGTCACTTGCTTGACTTTGTGAAGAAAATAAAAGTCATTATCCACTTATGTAATGGAGTAATAATCAGTGGTATCGTAGACCTATGATGAACAAATACTAAGGTTGATCATTAAATTATATCAGAATATCGCAGGGATAATACAAAATGAAAGGAAAAGTGTTCACCCAACATCTATGTATATTCCTAACTGGTTGCTAAAGTGCTAAAGGTCACATTTCATGAAGACTTAAATTGGTGATCCAAAGGAGATCCTTTCCCTGGGAGATGGCTGAGTTTGTCCATTGTGCACAGCAATGTGCACATTGTATGCACACGGAAGCATACCCTTTTCACTTGCTGCTGTAACACGAGCCCCCGGGATGATTGACGTCTGTGTACACAGAACACCAGAGAGGTGTAAGTATGACCCCTAACGGTCATTAAGGGTAATTACACACACGTTACTACGTGTGACGTAGGTTCCTGTGACGCGCAGAAATTTTAAACTATCGTCCTTCTCAGTGATGGCGGCTTCGTTTGGTTCTCTCCCTGCAAGCTGTAATAACAAATGGTACTACACCCGACAACAGATCGACAACAGCCCATCTCGGCGAGCTGGACTTGATCCCGACAAGGAACTGTCCTACAGACAACAGGCGGCGAACCTGCTGCAGGACATGGGACAGCGGCTCAATGTGTATCTTTTGTCGAGGGACGACTTGCGTCTCACCTAGCCAACATTAGCCCGTTAGCTAGCGAAGTTTAGCTTCCCGTGGAGCCGGCTGGGCGGAGGAGAGCTGTGACCCGTGTCCTGTTATCGTGCTTAGTTCGAAGGCCCTTGGGTTGTTTTTACGTTTGCGTTGTGTTTCGTGCGGTGGTTTGCGGGTTTTACCGCGTTAACGTCAGCGTGTCGGCGTCACCTGAGAGCGGCGCAGTGGGCTAAAGCGGAGCTGCGGAGGCCCGTGTGGCTGGAAGGCCTTCGGGACGTTAGCATTAGCTTTGCCTCTTGTTGTGAGTGAAGGTGCAGTGATAGTGGATAAACAAACGTAAGAAAACATTTTGGTTTTGGTGTGTTTGAGTGTGTAGGAGCTTTATCTATCTAGCCGACCTTTTTATTTGTTGCAATATCGTCTTCGGGCTAATATCGGAAGCTAGCTATGTGATTTGTTTATCTTTGCTGTGATATTGAGTCATTAGCCTAATTAAAGCTCATTTAGGTTTGTTATTTCCCACGTGACGTTAGACAATGACTCCATATCAAATACACGATTTACAATAATGCGAATGTTGCGATCTGTCAGTATTGTTTGCCGCGTTGTCCTTAACTACCGTTCTTCAGGTCCCAACTCACCATAAACACAGCCATCGTGTACATGCATCGATTCTACATGGTCCAGTCGTTCACCAGATTTCACAGAAATGTAAGTGCCGATGTCCCCTAAAGTCCCAGATACAGCTATCCGTGCATATGCTCAATCAACTCATGAATTTATTTTTGTTATCCGTCAACAGGTCATTTCTCCTGCCGCACTTTTCCTGGCTGCAAAGGTGGAGGAGCAGCCCCGAAAGCTGGAACATGTTATCAAGGTGGCCCATGCATGCCTCAATCCTCAGGACCCGCCACCAGATGTACGCAGTGATGTAAGTGTTGGGCTGTAGTCAAAATTGCCTGCAATTGTGCTCTGCCTCCTCCTGAGCTTACTTGATGGGGTAGATATTTGACCTCTTAAATACTACTAAAGGGAATGTATTATTTCATCACTAGAAGATTAATCTTGCTTTATTCGTCTTACTGATTTTTCTTTTTAATTGCAGCTTTAATGTTGATGCTCTTATGTGGCATATATTTTGCAATACGTTGTCTTTGTTGTTACTTTTCACATTGCATTGAAACTGAGTACAATGACTTGGTGTTTTGTAATGAGCCACTTCAGGTGATGGGGGGGATGATCCGACAATTTTCACGCGATTATCAGAGATTGCGGTATTTGACGTCTAAAATACAGTGTCTAAAAATTGTCTAAAACTGAACAAACAACCGAGTAAAAAGCTAAATAGATGATAGTGCTGACTGGATTTGGCTCCTCTATGGGGGACTAATTGTTAACCATGCAACACACGTTCTAGTTAAGGGTACGGCGGATGTAACGCTGTAGGCAGCTGGATTATTGCAATGGCACGAGATCAAGCGACACTCTTCTCTGATGGTTCTGTGTAACGCACCATTGTGGGACCGGTTTCTGGGAGATGAGGAGCTCGTGCCAAAAACTCATGGCAGTTGTGTAGGAATGTTTTGGCTGTGTTGTGTCAGATATTTCCCAAGATAAACTAAGTTCACCTTAGAGTATTGTTTTGTTAGTTGGCCTTTCCCCCCCGATTGTGAGTTTTCTGGTACTTAAAAAAAACTAAAAGTCAACTGGTCTTAATCGCCATTTTGAAACTTGTTTGACATCTAATGCAGTGCAATAATTCAATACCGTAGACGGAGATTTTTGGCCCGATCGCACCACCTCAGGAGCTTTTCCTTCTTGATGATTCAAGAAAGAAAAAGACAAGAATGTACTCAAATGTCTTTGTAGATTTTCAGTGACCCGGATTATGTGATGTTTAGTAGTAAAACAAAAGCATCTGTCCTGCCTGTTAAGCTTTTAATCGTCTCACTACTTATCTGTGAGGCTCCATCAGCTCTACCTGAAAGGTGGGTTTAATGTGTTTGAAAACGGATGGAGGCCTCCCAGTGAGTAACGTGCCTGTCTCCTCAACCTCAGGCCTACCTGCAACAAGCCCAAGACCTGGTCATTCTTGAGAGCATAATACTTCAGACCTTGGGTAAGTTGGGAAGGAAAAACTGGGTCCATTGATTTCCCTCCAGAAACGAATAGTTCTAACCTGTTTACTTTCATCCACAGAAAGCCCATATGCGGTTAGCAGCACGGGAAACCGACTTAACGCTTAATACTAGCAGCACTTACACACTGTTGCGTTGCAGTGTTTCTGCTTCTGTTTCGATTATGTCCATAACTTTTTACATTTCCCCCCTTTTACATCACCTTTTACATTTTTTTTTTTAAACCATTTGTTTTAAGGACTATGTGATGAACCGCTGATTCCTGATTTATTTTAGTATGTTGGCTCACTGGTTTAATCTTTTTCCGTGTTTCCAAGATTGTAGGAAGTTCAAGAAGATATCCGGGTTCATTTGAAAAGACCTGATTTTGTTCTTTTTTTTTTGTTAAACAAGTTGCACTTTGTGCAACAAAGCAAGAGTTGGGAATCGAGAATTGCATCGGCACGCCTTTTAATATTTTTTCACATTCATCTCTTTTCATGTTGTCCAGGATATCATTGGAAAGTTAATCTCTGCAACACTTACTTTGGTATAACAGTATTGATTTTCTCGGTTTTCAGGGTCTTGAATGAAATTTATCTGGTGCATATGTTAGTTTGACTTCTGCATTTCATTTATCGAGACTTGTCTCTTTTTGTCCCTTTTTTTATTTTTATTTTCATTTTTTTTGCAGCTTTTGAAATCACCATTGACCATCCTCATACTCATGTTGTCAAGTGCACTCAGCTTGTCAGAGGTGAGCATTAACTCTTCAATTTAGCATATTATTGTTTGTATATTCCGGCCCGATAGGAAGTGCGCACGTTAAATCGTCAATTCGCAGGTTTTAAGTGTGTTTTTTTTGCTCTATTGTTGTTCCAGCGAGTAAGGATCTGGCTCAAACATCATACTTCATGGCGACTAACAGGTATATTTGCAGTTCACTGTTTTTGATACGAACAACTAAAATGGCAACGCGTGTTTTCAAATATTTTGTATATATTGTGCACAATCCTCTAACTCAATATGTCTGCTTTCTCTCCCCTCTCCTCATGTTTCTGTTCTTTATTGCCTTCTGGGATGTATCCTGCCACGTAGTCTGCACTTGACCACGTTCTGCCTGCAGTACAGTCCGCCGGTTGTGGCCTGCGTGTGCATCCACCTCGCCTGCAAATGGTCCAACTGGGAGATCCCTGTGTCGACAGATGGCAAACACTGGTGGGAGTATGTTGATCCCACAGTTACCCTCGAGCTCCTGGATGGTATGTGCTGTAAATTACCTCTTGATTTAGAACATTTCAAGTAAACGCAGGAAAAAATAACTTCTGCATCAGTTAATTAATAAGGAGGTTTTTTTTTAACTTACTCAAGCAGCACTCTTCTTCACTTCTCCATTACTTATTTCAGAACTCACACACGAGTTCCTGCAGATTTTGGAGAAAACACCCAGCCGGTTGAAACGGATTCGCAACTGGAAGGTACACATATTTCTTTTTTTCTATTTCTCCTTTGTGATCGACTGTACGGAAGCATCTTGCATTGTGTCAAGATTTAATTGGCTGTGTTTTCACTGCTTTCAGGCCGGAGGTCAGACACCAAAAGCCAAGCCCAAAGTTCAGGAGGACGGGGACCAGAGGGACACCATGATGAGCATGATCTCAATGGCCTCATCAGAGAGCACCGTGGCGGGCTTGATGAGCCTCTCGGCTCCACCTTCCGCCTCCTCCTCCACCAGTGACAAAGACCGGAGTGAACCTGGTAGTGCTCCCACTTGGAGTGGAAAAGGTCAAGCCGGATCTGATCCACAGTCCAACAACGAGGTTCACGCTCCAGCTAAGGTGTCGCTGAGTGAGTACCGAGCCAAGAACGCGGATGTCCTTGCTGCCCAGAAGAGAAAGCTGGAGAACATGGAGGCCAGCGTGAAGAGGGACTATGCCAATGCTGCCCAGGCTCTCATTGGTCAGCAGCAGCCGAGGAAGGAGAAGCAGCATCACCAGCAGTCAAGCTCATCCTCGTCGGACATGTCCAACCCGTCGCCCATAATTCTGAAAATCCCCCTGGAGAAGGAGAGGCACGAGAGGACCTCTCTCAAAATGCGCTTCCCCCTCGCTGGGGGAGGGGGCGGCGGGCAAAGCGGCAGCGCCCGAGGTCAGGAACAGGACATCAAAGTTAGAATACGAGTGCCTGAGAAGCAACGGGGGAGCTCAGGAGAGGAGGGCAAGAGCAGGGAGAAGCACAGGGAACGATCGAACCACCACCACCATCACCACCACCACCACCATTCCTCCACGGGCGCTTCACTCTCCTCTTCACACAAACATTCTTCTGGGTCTAGTGGGACTGTTGGAGCCAGCAAAAAAGTCCCCAGCGACTCGTCTAGGACAAGCTCCTCGTCCTCCTCGGCGTCCCGTAAGAGGACGCACTCCCAAGACCCTGCAGCAGGCCCCCACGCTGGCTCCAAAGTCAGCAAGTCCTCCAGGAATCCCTACCAGCTAGCTTCCCTGTCTTCCTCCGCCGGGCAAACTCTGGGGCACGGCTCTGACATTCTCCCCGCCCTGGGCCTCCCCCACCACCAAGGGAGCTATCCGCACTCCAAAGGCGACAAGACGGACACCAACGGGCACGGTGCAGCCGGGGGGGCCCAGTCGAACGAGTACCAGGACACTTTTGAAATGCTGAACTCGCTCCTGAGCGCGCAGGGGGTCCAGCCGTCCCAGCCGTCCATGTTTAACTACAGATCCCAATTTGGGGAATACCGGTACAGCGGTGGCTCCAGGGGGAGCAACCACAGGCCCCCGCCCCTCCCTTCAGAACCGCCTCCCCCAATGCCGCCGTTGCCCAAATAAGTTCCTGATCAGGAGATGTGAACATTGTACTTGACATTACCGACATCCATCTTGTTTCATAAAGTATTGTATTTTTATTTTTTTAACTTCACCCGACATGTTTTATAGGTTTCAGTGAGACAGCAGTGAAATGTACCGGTGTGATAAATGAGTATTCAACTTTATTGTTTTTACACTGTTGGGGCAATAATGAGTGGCATTGAAAGCTTGCAAAATGTGAGACAATGAGTACAGGAAAGTGTAGTTAATGTTTTTTTTGCTCATCTGTCGAACTGAGATGAAATGTGATAATGGGACCTGGTATTTTTAGCATCACTGTTTTGGCGGAATTCATTGTCTTGAAATCATGAAATCACCTGTTGGGTCTTCTTTCCGATTGTCTTTTTGTAATGTTTTTATAGTATGTTATTTATTAATTGAATGCTTTTAAAAAAACATAGCCCTCTTTTATACCTTTTTTTTTAAGGTTCCCTCTTTTTGCTCTTTAGGGAGAATGGTGATTTCTTCATCACGACTGTACAGGCTAGTTTGAGAGTGCATGTCTCCAAAGCCATCGTCTTTCATATATTTTTTTGGGGGTCTTTTTTTTTTTTTTTTCCCCAAACAGCCATAACCTAAAAGAAATGTGAAAACCCTTTTGGTGTTCATCTATTTTATTTCTTTCATTATTTGGTAAGCTTGTACAAAGTTGTTTAAAACAAACATGAAATATATTTTACATTTTGTTATGAAAAATTGCAAAAAAAATGTAAATTAAGGAATCTTGTACTTTTTTTTGTTTTTAGATTTTGCGTGTTGCAGTCATTGTTTTAAATGGTTGTAAAATACCCACGTTCAGTTCTCCAATTATTACACTAATGGACACTAATAGTTCATACCAATGATAGCCGTCTATGGTTTTATCAAGAGTTCAAACATATCTACAAACTATGGTCACAATGATGGAATGCCAACAAAAAATTGCTCCAGAGAAGTAATGTGAGTTTTTATTTCTTATAAATTCTCTAATTGAATTACCTTTTTGAGGAACACTCTTTGGTCACAGCTTAATGAAGAGATGGAAATAATCTGCATTAATCATTAGACACCGTTCTAAATGGTTTTAACAGCAGCACCTGCAAACTGCCAGAAAGAAAATATTTTTCATGCTTGTGCTCACCTAATCTAAAGAACTGAATTCATGATGAATTTGCGTTAAATTATACTGGAAGAGTGGCTACTTGTTGGCGAGAGTATCGGGTATCATCTGTACATTTAATTCATACTAAGCTTTATGTGGTTTTGATTGTATAGTATTACTGCTCTTAACCCGCTTTCTTTTATCAGTTTGTAATCAACTAAAGAAAAAGTCAGCTTTATTACATAAGTTATAGACATACAGGTACATACATAAAAAATTACCTCTGTATTTAACTGTAAATCTCCCAGGCAGCATTTTGAGCTTTAGTGTCTTGCACAATGTCCCTTCAACATGCAGACACTAGGGGCTGGGGATCGAACCCCCTACTTTTTGGTTTAGGGATTTCCCACCCTCAAAACGTTATTTTTAGACAGTTCACAGCAATGCAGTACAACAAATCATCAGCCATACAATTGTAATATATGTGTTCCCATGATTATGTGGAAGATATGCTGAAAAGAGTACTGCTCTTTGCTCAGGCAGCAGAGGTTAAGTGGTTATTCAAGTCTTGGTTGTAACAGGGAAACCGTAAATGCACTGGATATTTATCTCAGTAGGTTTGCCTACAATGCAAATGACAAAGTGTTACATGTATAATGGTTAGGCTATTGGAATAGATGTCCAATAAATTCTCATTTTTAAATAATTTTTTGATTCATCTGGACAAGACAAATTTAAGTATAAACTTTGTTGTGAGAAAGTTAAAGGATATTCATTTCAAAATAAACATAAGTGAAAAAAAACAATGGAACACACTCATGCAACCTAACAATGCAAAATCCAATAGCTACAGTCAGTTTCATGTTTTTCACGTCTTAGTGTTTTTAAGCGACACTCAGGTCTTGAAAGGAAACGTTTTAGGATTTTACTTTACTTTTGTTATCAGTTATGTGAACACTGTTGTTTTTTTATAATATGTGGTTGCTTTATTCTCAATTAAAGTCAATAAATATTTTAAGAAAACTTAAAAACAGCATTAAATATTTCAATGAAACCTCCCTGCAATATTATGTATGGGTGTAGAAGAACGTTTTTTGTTGCTATTTTGATTGACAGCTGGATTGGCCAATGAAATAGCTTATACTTTGACCAATCGGAGTTCAGAGTGGGAGGGCCCGTATTGCCCTTGCACTGGCTGCGGCAGTTATTAGGGAATTGCAGGGAAATCTATGTGGTCTGTCTCGGAAGCAAGTTGAACCTTGTCGGACCTTTGTAGCAAAGGTAAGCAGTTATAGACAATACACACGTCTAAATTATTGTTATGCCGGGTAAGCCCTTCGATGATACCGAGACAGATAGCCGTCTGTAACCATTGTTCAGCAAAACTCCCTTCTTTGTTGCAAATGGTGAAAAGTAGCGGTTGGCTAATGTTAGCAACTGCTAAACAAAGATGGCCGCGCCATAACTGAAAGCCTGACGCAGTACGTCGCACGTTCGTACAGTTTCAGTTGTTATGACATTAATAACCGTCATTCGTGTTGATAATTTTACGTACAAAGTTACGGTGGCTAACGTTGTCTTTTCAAAACATATTTCTAATGATGAATAGCAAAATGTTCTTTCAAATTTGATCAACTTTGGTTTACACGGTGCTTGTCAGTGAATGGCGTTATTTATACGACGATATCGTGTAACAATGTGTATAAAATGTCTAAAAGTTAAAACTACGTCACGTTTTACAAAATACATGCGACGATATATTAAGAACTATGTTGTTTTAACAGAACTTTCTCTCCATTGGATTTTTCAGTTATTGTTTATGTGGATATAATGATTGTTGGGTGAGTCACAACAGACTGTAATTTAACAGTTAACTAGGAAAAGACGGCTGTCATATTCCAATATCCCAAATCTTAGACAATATTTAGTCTCGTCATAATATTAAAATTATTTTATTGTTATTTATTTGCAGTATTTTGTTTAGCACTACTTGTGATATTTTCAGTCTCGTTTAGTCTGACTGACACAAATATATTCTAGTTAACGTTTTGTCATACAAGACAAAGGAAATTAAGCATTACATTTGAGAAACCAGAATCAGTGTTTGCTTTTTTTTTTTTGGCAGGCTTGCAATGAACAGAATACGAATTCACGTTTTGCCTTCGAGTCGCAACCGGGTGACCCAGACAAGTCGTTCTCAGGAGCCCCAGACGTGCTCCTTTACCCAGCGGCCGTGCTCTCAGCCCCGGCTTGACGGCCTGGACTTTTGCATCAAGCACATTTTGGAGGATAAGACTGCCCCGTACAAGCAGTGCAGCTACGTGTCTGCCAAGAACGGCAAGCGCTGCCCCAATGCCGCACCGAAAGTTGAGAGAAAAGATGGGTAGGGGAAAATGTTTTTCTTTAAACTCTTTGTTTCACCTCAGCTTTATTATTAGCTGTAAATCTCTGACATTTCTCTTCCCATGACCCTTTCTTTTCTTTAGAGTGACCTTTTGTGCAGAGCATGCTCGCAGGAATGCCATGGCCCTCAGAACTCAGATGAGAAAGGCGTCTTCCGGTCCGTCGCCAGAGTCACTTTTGTCCCAGCTGAGTGGATACAACCGAGCAGAGACTCACAGTGTTGACGGAGGTCGCTCTGAAGCTAGCCGTGTTTTAGGTACAAGGTCTTGTTTACTTTGTCAATTGTTGACACAAGTAAATCTCTCATGCATTGACATTATCTTTGTATTATATTCAAGGGGTGATGTGGTCAGTTTTTTAGCCGTTTATGTTCACTTGTAAATCTGATTTTAATGTTGAGCTTGTTCCCTCCGTACAGATGAGGACAGTCTGAGTGAGGAGGAGCAGGGTCCGTTGGTTCTTGACCAGACATGGAGAGGAGACCCTGACAGTGAAGCAGACAGCGTTGACAGTGATCACGAGGATCCTCTGAAGTAAGCTAAATTAAGTTCTCTTTATTGGATTCAGATTGTAGTGTAAATCTTCATTTTTGGATGCCCATTTACTGCCTTAGGCAATAGCTGTGAACACGTTCATACAGAAAATTAATGCTGAGCAGATTGTGTTAACTTTGAAACGTTTACAAAATTAAGTCAAAACTCTGTATTAAAAAGAAAAAACGGATATCAGAGTGTGCCCTGATGCACAGTATTACAGGGCCACAATGTATGTACAAAGAAACTGCAAAACAAAAGGGTTTGACATTCCATGAAACTGTTTTTTTTTTCGGTGAAGTTTATCACAGTGACTGTATTTGTTCATTGTTTACTTTCTTAAATTGCAGACATGCAGGGGTTTACACAGCAGAGGAAGTGGCTCTCATCACGCGAGAGAAACTCATCAGGCTCCAGTCCCTTTACATCGACCAGTTCAAACGCTTGCAGCACCTGCTTAAAGAGAAAAAGCGGAGATACCTCCACAACCGCAAAGTGGAGCACGACACTCTTGGTAGATATACGACTAGTCGGATACTAACTACTCTTTTTGCCTGGTTTACCTACCTGTTACCCCGCAACCTTTCATGTTTACAACCTCCCAGCCCTGAGCGTTTTCTGTACTTGTTTATGTTGCTGTCAGGGAGCAGTCTGCTGACAGGGCCCGAAGGTCTGTCCATGAAGGAGAGAGAGAACCTGAAGAAGCTCAAAGCGCTACGCCGATACCGTCGTCGGTACGGAGTTGAAGCCCTGCTGCACCGGCAGCTTAGGGAGAGGAGGCAGGCGGTGACAGAAGGAGCATCTCAGGTGACACCCCACCACAGTAGTATTAAATTAGTAATTATTACACGTCGATTCACCTAAATGACGTTTGTCTGCACAGGTTTCAAGGTATCCGTATCTGAAACTTCCTTCACCCTAGTCTACGTGTGTGAGGGGGATCCAACAGCACATGCTATTGTGCAATTAAACATTAGACTTTAATCAATTGATTCCAAGGAGTTGTTTAGGCCAAATGAGAAATGTTCAACATTAAGTGCTGCTCAATTTAGCGCAAAGCGGCTCTAATATATAGAGGTGCGATGTCTACCTGGGAGTGTTAGGTGAACTTCTAGCTCAGCGCGCCTCACTGCTCGTCTCACGGCCAGTGAAAGGTAGTTTTGCACTTAAATCAATCCCAGGAGGAGAATAAACATTTTCCCGCATTTCATTATTACTTGTGTTTTCAAAAAAACCTTAAGTTGAATAATTAAACTTGTCCTTTAATGGGTTTTTAGAAGAAGAATGTGCTATTTGCCTACCACTTCACCATCTACTTACCATATTAACAAAGAGGATTTCTGTGGAGCTTTAAATGTATAGATTTTATTCCTGTTTTTGTTTTGTATGTCAAGAGGCTTTTATGCTTTAAACGTAGCAGGTCTTTAGTGTCAACAGTAATGTAGTCAGCTACTGCCAAAGCTGAGGATGACGCATACTTTTGGTTGGAGATTATACTCCACATATTTGAGGTAGATCACTCTGGGATTTCATTTTAATTTTATACTCAACCCTCTGGCATTCAGGAATGCTGTTTTTAATGGTGGTTTATAGTTATTATGGAAATCCTTTACATTCGTTTTTGACTGATTCTTTGCTCTGTTGTAGCCACACTCAAGAACCGTGCACGAGAAGTGCATCTCCTTCGGGGAGGGAACCCGATGTACCAACCCCTGCCTGCCCATGACCCGTCACTGCGTCGCACGTATCCTCAATGATGTTTCCGTTATGTGTTTGGGAAATGGTCTGCTCTGTTTACATACAAAACAACCTGGGCCCTGTTTCAAAAAGCAAGTTTAACAAACTCTGAGCCGAACTGTGTTTGTTAATTGAGTTAAGCTTGTTTGTGGTAAATTCAGCATGGAAACATGTAAACAACAAGAATTTTCCATTTCCAGTCAGTGGAATTAAAGAAGAGCCAAACTGTAATCGAATGTAGTTAAATTTAATTTGACGTGTGTGTATGTCATGTTCACACTACGCTGTACCACAATCCTTCTTTCAGAAATAACACGTATGCCACAATATCATGGATATTAAGGATATTAAACAACTGTGCACCTTTACTAAAGATCTCCTTGCAAAAAGGATATGAAAAGGTGTTATTACACTAGATTTTCCCCAATATCAAACTAAGTCAAGCAGTAATTATACAGACGGTAAAGTGCTGATAATTAATGTGCTGCGAGGAGCGATTTAATACAGATAGACTAAATTGGGAACTGAATCGGCGTGTCTGGTTCTGTCGGTGGGGGGAGGCCGAGAAACTTTTTTATTTTTAAAGAACCCCATTGCAAGCAGTTAAGGGTCACAGTCAGTTACCACAGTAAAATAAGTTTCCCCTCATCGCAGGGTTTTCGGTTAGATAATTTACTCTCTGAAACCGTTCCCTGTTTTGAATGATCGATTGAATGAATATATTTAGTTTTAAGCTTGTCTGTCGCTCTGCTCATGGAGCCATCTGCACCACGGCCCTGATCAAGACGAGTAGCTTGCGGTAGCTGCTGGTTTCAAATGGTGCCTACATGAACTGCTTCCTGTGGTCTGTTGATTTTTCCCAGAGTTCTAAAGGGACTAATCTTTTCAGTTGGAAGGAACAAAATCCCATCTCAACATCCTTCATCGTAACCCCAGATTATTGAGGGTAGTTTCATGTGTCTCACATTTCAACAAGATCTGCAACATAGTTTCTTATTGGAAGGATTGTAATTATGCTTACTCGGCGCATACTCAAACTACTGTATTGCTTTTGATCAAGCCCTCAAACAAAATATGTATCATATGTATTCTAAAGGAACAAAATTGGAATCACGTAAACACATTTGTAAAGAACTGTTTTAAAGACTTCTTATTTATAAGATTCAGGGGAAGTAGTTTCTGACAAGTAGGATTTATTGGCAATTTTCTGCTTTTTAAGTTTGAATTCAGTTTATTATATTGAATTGACAAATGTGGGAGACGAAGCGATTCAAATATTTTTTAAACAAAGCCATTGGAAAGATTTGGGTACTAAGGCAGTAATCCACATTATACTGACTTGTATAGTTGACAGGACCCACTAACCAAAACCACAGGCCAGAATCCAGTTTAACGTTTTTAAGACGGGAGCTGTTGTCTTCAATTTCCCAAGTAATGTTTGTTGTTGTTTTTTTGGAATCTGTGTGTGGACGTCGTGTGTCATTGCCCTTGACAACCAGACAGACATCTTCCAGGACAGCAATCAGGTGCTTTTCAAAATGTGCCCGGGCGTGAAAGATGTCCCCTGTGTCAGCCCCGTGCACATGGGTCAGTCGGACGATCCCCGCTGTCCCCTCCACCTCACCCTGCCTCCACCCATGTACCAGCCTGAGCAGGAACCCCCACCGCAGGAGCAGATCACCACTGCAACCAGAGACATGTATCTGAGCGCGGCAGAGCTTCAGCCCACAGAGAGCCTTCCGCTAGAGTTCAGTGATGTACGTAGAGACGACATACCGCTGTCCTCTGATGTATATGCGTTGTATTAAAAATGTGAGTGCCACACTTCCTGTTAGCTACGGTTGCTGGTGCTAATACGTTGATCAGAATCCTGTTCTACAACAAAAGAAGCAACCTGTTAAATTCTGCAGTGCTGTAAATGTGATTTCAAAGTGAGAGCTCTGGTTCTGGTGTTGATGGCTGGAGGAATGGACTTGAGCTCTTACGTTGTTTGTAAAAAAGAAAGTTAGCGTCAACAACTAGAACCATAAAAGGCAAAAATGTTTCAAACAAAGTGTTTTTACAACCTTGAAGTACTACTTCCGACCTCTATTTTAGTAAGCCATTAAAAGTAGAAATTGGGGATTAAAGGATGCACAAACGGCCTGCGGTGATCTAGTTACCCCAAAACGAGGACGCTCCGGCTGTCGGTCGGAGGTGTAAACATAAATAAAATATATATTCATACAACTTCAAATGGCTCCTACAACGTTTATGTTAAGCTTTAGATTTCATCCTATTGTACAGGACCTGGATGTGGAAGGCGACGGTATGCAGGGTCCTCCGTCCCCCCTACAGTTTGACACGGCCCTGGCCCTGGAGGACCAGACCATCAGAGCCATCGCCGAGGGCCCGATGGACATCCTGACCGGAGAAGACCCGGACCAGGGGGACCTGGACGCCTCGGGACAGGAGCTCTCGGAAAGGGACGTGGATGCCATCTTGCATGACCAGGTTAACTCTCAACCAGGGGCGTCTTGAATCGTTCTGTTGACAGACTGCACCGGTACGCTGGTCCTTGTATATAATGTATAGGTCTAATAAAATGTTGGTCACAACCTTTTGTCAGCACGGCATCTCTTTTAAGGGGCGTCACATTGCGCGATGGATGTTCTTTCCAAACCTGCTTTCAGTGTAAATGATGGGTAACAAATCATCCGTCATGGTTCTCTTATCTGAAGTTAACACGAGATCCAAGAAATCAGGTCTGTATCCTTCACGTCATTGTGTTTGTCGACCGTGTGGTCTTTGTGTTAATGCCCCTCCATTGGTGTTCAGTAAGGCAACAGTGAATGGGGACTTGATACTAGAAACGTATGTTTGAAATGTACTAAATAGAATGAACACTGTATTCAGTTCCTCGTACTGTCTGCCGGGAGGCTGAAGAGATCTCTTCATCAGCCAATACAAACTAGCAGAGAAAGTCCAATATTCTTTTTATTCCTATAGTCCTCGTGAACATCTGAATACTGAACAGAGCGTACGTGGTCCTCTGCTCAGCACGTTGATTTGTAGCAGCAGCCATGGCTTTGCATCTACTGTTATTCCGTGAGAAAATGGCATGGAAGAAGCTCTAGACGTCAGCTGGACACGGCTCGGTGAGATGTGGAACCACTGTTTTAAATGGATGACCAAACCATCTCAACCCAAGTCAGTGACAGAAACTTTATTTCTGTGGTTGCGTCTCTGCATTCGTCTAAATCATCTCAGACAGACACACACACACACACACGAAGGAATTCCAACCATGACATCAACATAACCAAGAACAGCATTCTCTGCTTCAAAAATGGCACATTGTTTCAGTGGCAAAGAGGTAAACGTACCGCTGTCCTCCCGACTTCCTGCTCTGCTGCTGTCGCTGGATGAGTCACTGCCATCTGAGAAACAATAGGTTACACTTTTACAAATACCTTTCTAAAAAGGCCATTTCCAACAGTTTACTGGACAATGCATGAATTGATTACACTTATGCTCAGCGGATGGATTTTCTTTTTCTGTGTCCGATTACCTTGAGTTGCACTCGGCCTGCGCGTCTGTTTTAAATAAAAAGGATGACGTCCACAAATATACAATTTGATGATACATTTGTTGAACCTAATGATCTCCAGATGGTGTTTAAATGATATTGGTTTAAAGGTTTAAGACGGTTAGCACATCCCAGATTTCATAATACAGTAAAAAATATGAATAATTTACTCTTTGCTGGAGTTTTTAGTTATTTAATACACACACATTGAAGAGTACGCCAATCTCACGGCACTCTAAACATGCGACTTTTTAAAGAAGTAAATTAAAGTTATGTTTGGCAGCTTGGGGACAGCCTCCCAAAAATAAGCAACCCCAAAAAAAAAAAAAAAAAAATTGGGGCGGGTGAAGCAATTTCATGCAATGACATCACTTTTCCTGAACCCAAAACACTGAGCGCCGAGGCGGAGAAAGCGGCCACTGCTGCGGGGGAGACGCGGCGGACGGGAGCGCAGCTGCGGCGTGTTTTAAAGCGAAGCGCGTAGAACGCCGCCGTCCTTCAGTCCGCCATGGAGAGGCAACGTCGTCCTCGGCCGCTTACGACCACATGAGGTGAGTTTAAAGAAAATACATTTAAAAAAAAAAAACAAGCAGGAAAACGCCGTTCCGCGGCCGCTCGGTACGAAGGTGACTGCAGGAACACCGACGGAGGCTCCGGGCGCGCCGCGCGGGCACCGAACAGAACCGGCGAGACGGGCTTTTTTGTGGGGTTTTTTTTTAACGGTGACCGGCCCCGGTGTTTCCCATCCGGTTCTGTCCGTGTGCAGGAGAAACGCAAGGGCGTAACGACATGCACGGTACCCGGGAGAGGGGGTGGTGGGGGCATGTCGGTGCAGGGTTTGCTTGTCTTTCGGAGGGCCTGTCCCAGGGAAAAAATAAAACAAAATATATATATTTTATGTTTTACTGAGCTGACCTTTCGGTTTTTGGCCAGTCGCACGCGCATGCACGCGTGCAGCAGCCATGTCGGGTTTCACAGCCTCGTTTTGGGGGGTGAAACCTTAAAGGGGAACATGACACGCTGACATCCTAACGGTGCTCCGGCGGCGTCTCCTCACAGGAGCGACGAAGAGGAGCGTTTCTGTAACGATGGAGGTGAAAGCCCAGTGGTCCACATGGACCAGGCTCAGATCCACCACGTAGCCAACGGAGGTGGGATCATGTCCCCAGCAGGGATCTGGGAGAATGAACCACCCTGCTTCATGTCACGTCAAGTTAGGATTGTTTTTAGGGTTAAAATCCATCGGTCCGTGTTTATCTTCTCAAGGCCAGCTGGTTTAAAGCGCGCGCCCCCCCCCCATCACTCAGAAATGTAAATGTGCATATATTTCCGTCACATGGGTGTTTGAGCTTCAGTCTGCAGAATGATGTTTGTGATACTTGCAGGTTGTTGTTTTTCAAAGGGGGGGGTTTAAGAAGTGGATGTCAATCTGGAAGAGTTAATTTGATGTAACTTAAAACTTCACACATAACTGATAAGTGATTCCATTACATTTTTGTACACAAGAGATGTTCAAGTCATTATGAATCTCACAATCCAAACCCCAAAAGAATCCCAGGGGTCTGGATTAAGACCCATTTATGTTCCCAATAATCATATACTGTTCTTATATCTTGCTATTCGTTTGAACTCGTTTTGCATTTTGCTGAAATTGGCTGTTATCTATTCAGTAGCCTCTCCAACCGGTTTTGCAACATTTTTGCAATTTTGTTTCTTGCACATGAATTGAAAACATACTTTTAAAAAAGTTCAGAATTTACTCCCAACAATAATACTCTCAATAAAATATAAGACCACAGAGCCACAGAAAACCTGTTGTTACATTTTCAAGTCAAAGGTCACTTACTCAAATTGCTTGTTTTTGTCTTCCCGGCCAAAAAAAATCAGTAAATCCTCACAACCAAGACGCTTTAACAGGAAATGTTTGTCATTTTTGTCAGACAATGAATTGACCCAACAGTTCTAGCTTCATTAGAGGTGCTCCCCTCTAAGTAACGGCCTGGATTGGTGCCCATGTTTGCCGCTACAGGAACTTATTGGGAGCCGTATTGGCAGTAAACACGTGTTGTTGGATCCCACTTTAACAATGCTGCTATTCACTCAACGTGATAACACATTTTCTGAATGGCATTATAGTCCCGAGGAGTGGATTGTTTCTTGTTTGTTTTCGCATAGCTTAGGACTTTATTGGCCATAAACCTTGTCCCAGTAATCTTAATGGGTTTTTACCATATTTTATGAGATTACACTAGAATTAAGCCATCGTAGATATTGCTGTGTAGCTTTTCCAGAGTCCAGAGGAAAAACAGCCCCGTTTAATGATCTGTGTCTGTTGGTCCTAGACCAGATATAAGCTCATGCTGTTTTCATTGTCCCATCAACTTCTCAAGGACGACCCAACTTTAGGTCAAAAGAAACGAGGATGGAAAGATTGTTTGAACTGTGGCCGACGTTCAAGCTATAAAATATTTAAGTTTCGCCGAAGATCTCCTTTGAAACGCGCCATGAATCCTAAACTAAAAGGACGTATCCACCGTGCCTCTCCCATGCGGTATGTTGATGTAATGTGGTGGTTTGTTGTCTTTGGCCGTCGGAGACAAATACGATCCATCATGAAAGACGTCCCCGCGGACTCCGTGGCACAAAGGTGCGTTAGAACAATGACTTCATGATGCGAACAAAGCGACGGGCTAGTTTTCCCGAAAAGCCTGGTTTCTTTGTCAAAACCTTGCTCCCTCATTATCCAGAATGTCGCTCGATTGCCAAACTTCAGTCTGAGGTTTGTGTTCTGAGGTTGGTGCAGCAATTGTTATCGTTGAAGAAACGCTAACAGAAGAGGAACTGATACAGAAGTCTGGTTTCTTCTTCTTTCGACCTCCGAGCCCACCCATTTTCTGTTGCTGTCATCACGCTTGTTGTCTCAAACCCCAGTCGGCGCTTCCTCCAGTGACGTCACTCGAGGACGTTTGAAGCATTTTTCTTACACCAGCAGTAGTTCTCCTCAACTAGACCCACGTTATTAAAACGTGTAAATTCTCCTGGAGTTCCCAAAACATTTGATAAGAATGTATGTCTATGATTTACCGCACCAAAAAACAAAAAAGCACAGCTGCTGTACAGATTCTTAAAACGACATCTACTTGTTCCTCTTCTCAACGAGACGTCTCCACTTTCACCGAGAAGTCCACTCAGGAAGTTTCCACATCTCGTCCACCTGCGGCAGTTGCATATTAGATCACGATTGGCTGCAACCAGCCGCGTGGCCGCGTCTGAGATCTCTCACCGGCGCTCGCAGCATTATCATAAATAAGTAACATGAATAAATGAGCGGGCCAAAAAACACACTCATTCTTGAGGCCTTATTGAACAATTCAATAAATGTTTACATTCAGGGCTCAATAATCACCATCAATGAGTGAATATTTCCATGCGCTTGGCTGTAAATACCAGCAAATCGTCTTGTTTGAACACGTGTTGAACTCTGATTTTAAGGTGAACCTCCTCCAGCAGATGAATGTAAACAGCGAACACAACCCTGCGCAGTGAAGGTTAAACATCCAAGTGAAGAAAGAATAAGCAAAACACATTTTTGGAGTGGAAGGCCGAGAGGGCAGAAATAGAGCAGCTTAGATTCAACGTTTGCTCTGGACACGAGTGACTTATTGCTTCCCTTTTGGGGGTGCAGGATTTAAGAATGAACTTGTTACATTTGGAACGCTGTTTCGTTTAGAACGCGGGGACCCGGAGGCGCTGTGAGCGTTTCTGTCCCGAGGAATGACCTCAGCGCTGCAGATAAATGTGGTTCCGCTCTCTCTCCGCCTTGCGTTTATGGACCGCTCGCTCGATGTCTGAACTTGATTGAAGTTTTTGTGAGCGGCTCTGTCCCAGTGCAACTCTGAGATTGCATATCCAAAGCTGCGGCGCATTACATCACGGAGCGCCGAGCCAGGGACTTATTCAAGTGTAATGGGCAGAATAAGTGCCCGCTCGCTCCGCTCGCCTCTAATTGTTCACAGATGTTCTGCACGCCTTTGTGTCCCACATCTTGTTGCAGTCACAGGCGGCGTTCAGACTTTATTATAGCGGGGAAACGTGGCATGGAGTAAGTGTTTAATTTGGCTGGTGGTCCTGTTAACTGGTTTTGGTTATTTAATAGGCGTTGTAGTCCACTAAACGTGATACGGTTTAAATCATAAGTCCAGCACTTGATCACGGTTGTGCAGGTGGTTTATGCAGGTATCTATTTACCGGCCTGATGACAAACCACGTGTGTCATAGAGGAAATGAAATGAGGAAGCGCCATGCCGAGCAATTCCTTCTTCAACTTCAAGGTTCATTCGGGAATATAAAACGCTGATATACTTTGATGGTTGATGAATCCTTCAAGGTATTTTAAGTCCTCCCACTTATACAAGTTTGGATCTAAATCAATGAATTGCTTATTCAATAGATTTGGAGACCTGCAACTTGACATCCCACATTACTGTCCAGTTGGTATTTCATAAGACTAAATGATTATTAAATAATACAGTTATTCCTCAGTCCGCCTGTGAGACGTCGCTTTATTGGGTCGTGGTTCAGCAGTTTTACACGGGGGAAAGCGCGACGGATGGTTATCTAGTGGGTTTGAAGTCTAGTGGGGCGCGCAGACGGGTCTGAGGCTCCTGCAGTCGGTCTATCTCTCCAGTAACCCCCCCCCCCCCGGATTCCCCCCCAACCGTCTGTGTAAACGGCCGTGCTTTGAAGAAAGGCCAAGCTGGGGCTGAGACGTCCTTATCAGCTATCGGTATAATCACTCGTCTGCGGGTACCGTGGTTACCATGGTTATACACCAAAGGCACTTCTGGGGCTTCACATTAACGTGGCAAAATATTCATTAATTACCCCGCTGAGTCGGCGCGATACAGCGGAGCTCACAGCAGGGGGGAGGGGGGGCGAGGGGCTCCGCATCGACAGCGTGACCGTCTACACACATTGCAGATACTTGGATCAAAGGGATATTATCTTCTCTGCATTGTCTCCTCGGAGCCCAACCACCTCC